AATATCTGCGCTTGTGATAGTTGATCTGGCACTTCTGTAAATGGATTCTATCTGTCTCTTATGGGTGAGACACTCCGATGATGTCATGTTCTCAGAATGAGATGTAGCACTATATATCAAAGCACTACAACTCATTAGATTCATTTGCCGAAATTCCTAAGGTGTCACTGATAAGAACTTTTTCTCTAAACAGTGATTTCATTAAATTTTGTCTTTAGCAAACAGAACTAGTTTCACATAAAATGTGAGTTTGACCACTACCAGAATACTGTCAGAATATACCCCTCTGCTTACGGTTTTAAAGAGGCAGAGGACAGAATAGGCACAGTTTCATCTCACTAATTTTATAGTCCTGAATATGTCATGTGCGGGTAGATGTTGTATCATCCAGTATGACTGAAAAGAATAAAATTGGACCTCTTCGATTCTTTTGACGCGTTACACCCATACTTAAAATAATCTACCACAACATATTCGACGTCAGAAAACGTCACTGAAGTTTGAATTAGACCTGAACCACTAAATTAACCAGAATGGTGCCTGTAGAAAATTTAAGGCAACTAATATTGTAAGCTGCAAAATATCTGCACGGAAAAATATGGACGATCTGTGGTTGTCCATAAGTAGTGTCTGTGTATTGACCCATATTTTTAAACTAAACTTTTAAGGCTATAAATATATCACATTTTCATTGACTACTGGGAACTATCTTACCGACTCAATCTTTTGATAACAACAGTGATTTATATTTCATATACAGGTTACTTTATATGAAATGCATACCATTTTTATAGGCACGATCAAGCATGATATGAGTTATAGCCGTAAAATATGGGTAAACTAGTGCTGTTTCAACTGTTCAAATAGCTGAATTTCAGTATAAGTTTTCAGAACAGGTCCACATAAACCTTACCTTGTACAGCCATTACCAGCGTCGTCAGCAACGTTGAGAGGCGACCGGGATATCGCTTCGTTCTCTACGGGTGGTTGTACACAACTGGTAGCCAACCAACATTCAGTTAGCAACTTCACCAAAGCGTGACTGAGAGCCATTTTGAGTCGACAAAGTCGCTCTGAAGGATTGCAAAGTGCGATAGAATCAAGTAAGGGTAATATATCAGAGTACAGTGATTCTCAGGCAGAATTATTACGAAGTATATAGGTGACAGTTTAGTCACAAGTGGCTTCAAAAATCCAAAATCGTAGATTATGCTGACTAGTAAGATGTTTCTGAAATCTGTGTGGGGCCAACAGGCTCGTATCTGGACCAGAAGCAGAAGCATCATTTAGATCTAGGTAATCAATATTGTTTTTTTAAGAATAGGATCTATTCTCATGTTAAAATCTCAACCTGTTAAATATTCACCTTGCTGTCCTGCAGACTGAGGCGATTAACATTTGTAATCACCAGTATATCTGCTGATCAGCGTGCCTCACCCACCCTTCTTTTGTGATGTTAGGCTCTGGGATTTTTATTACACAGTCATCAAGATATCGCGGTAGTCTCTGTTGTTTCCACTATTGACCAAGCTTTCACAGGTAATATATATACCCTTGATAATACCCTCTTGCTTTATATTCTCCCTGCATCTTTCTCAACTGCATGGGTGTGAAACGTAGTACACGGATATTTATGGAAAATTCCACCTTGGTCTACTGGCATATGTCAGTCCTTCAAACTGGTCCCATCGAATGAGATTTTATTTCAAATAACCTTTGACAGAAAGTAACAGGTCAGCAGACTGTCACGTAGTCTTGAACATGTTAGTTGTCACAAAAATAGTGGCCACTACAGTCCTTTTTATTGAACTGTTTTTGGCCTGGTAGGCTAATTTCTTTTGAGAAAAGTCATTGTTTTTTGCTGCTTAACTCCGATGTTCCCCATGTATTTTCATTAATTTAATCTGGATATAGATGTTATGATATTACTGCTTACTTTACGGAGAAATGACATCCTAGTTATAAAATATACTCAAGAACATAGGTAAAGTGAAGTATTTTTGGGAACGTCGAAGGTAATGTAGATAAAAGTGGTCAGATATTCTAAATCACATGGGTAATGTAGGATGAAGTGGGCAAAGACATGGACAAACTGAGAAAAATAGGTAACTGATATTTTAAGAAATGAAGAAAAGAAGAGAACAGGGATGGCAACATGGGAAAATGGTTGAAAGTAAGGGAGTAGGCATTTCATATTGCATTTTGTCCACTTTCTCGTTCACAACTCATTTGGTCGATATCGTTGGAACTAGACCTATGTCACATCACGACGTTTTGTAGGACAGGTAATCGTTACACAGGGTGTAGCTTACAGGTGCGTATTTGTATTACTTTGCATTTTTCAGGTATTAAGTCATAGCACTGACCATCGCCCAATCATCCAGACTTTTGAGGTTTGCTTGTAGCCTGAACCTTCCGAGAACTTTAGTTCTCTCCTGATTTTTATGCCGTAGGCGAAAAGAAGAGTCAGGCAGTTGAGACGGCATTGCAGGTCATTGATAAAAATCAAAAGCATAAATGGTTGCAGTATAGGGCCCTGCGGTACTGCTGGTGCCGAACTGTGCCGGGACGGTCGGATAAGACTGACCTCGGTGCAGGACTTCCTTACGTCTAGTTGGCCATTCAACCATGAGAAAAGCGAGCCACCAATACCCTTCCAACTTATCTTGTATAGGAGGAGCTTACGGTGAACCGTGTTGAATGTATTCCCAAAGTCTGGTAAGAATACACGGACTGGGACATTCATATCCCAGCATGATATCCAGCTAAATATTTAAGCGATTCATAGGTTAAAGAACTTTCGAGATCAGCTGCAGATCTGCCTGGATATCAAAAGAATGACAAAACAATTAAGCTTATGTGGCACCCTACATTGGTCCTCGTGCTTAACACGTAGGTGAATGTAGTAGAACATGATCAAAAAGACTAGCGGAGCACAAGAAGGCAGCAAACCTGAATTAGTCGACTCCAAAGAGATGAAAAGCCTGGAGCATTACACGAGACTACATGCAACCACAAAATAGGATATAATAAGGTGACAGTCTTAAAATCCGATATAGCGGTGTGGAGTGAGTGATTGATAACGGAGGCTCCAGTTGTCGAATCATGTGAGAATACGTGCAACATAAGTGGTCCAACACCTGTCTCTGACTTCTGGATGATTCATCCTCTCCTACGATGAATTGGGAGGAATAGTAAAGGCTGTTTAACTTATTTTTCGATGTTGTGTGGTTGTAGTTGGTGTGATTACAGACGATAAATTGTGTTCGGAACGTCATCCGGTATATCAGGCTACTTTACTGTGTGCTGTGTCTTACGAAGTTAATATGGAGTCGCCATTTTTTTACTGCTATAAAGAACGGAACTTACTAACTTTTGAAGGGACGCAGTACTAATCAGTTCGTTTCTCTACTCATTGTTTATTCCATTAGATCAATCATGGTTATCTGTGGCATTTAAAACAGTAGTATTAATGTAACTGAACGTCTCGACATAGAAGCTCAGTTCTTTTGCAGTGACATTGTATCTGCAGTACATCGCGTGAATTTTAAATGACCTCATCGTTTTAAGAAACGCTATTATTGTTTGGAGGTCAACAACTGTTTTGCCATAATCCTATTTGCTCTGATTTAATTCAATTAAGCATAAAGTGGGAGTCTAGATATTAACCCGTAAGCTATGCTTGTTTCTCTGCAAACCCACACTTTACTACATTTATTTTGGATATAGGTAAGGGCTACTTCTCATTGTGCATGTTTGAAACACCTGCTAGCTGATACTGTAGCAATAAAATATTTGATTAAATTGTTGATAAGATCATCAGCTGCTTGGAGGTACAAATACAAGCGCAAAACAGTGTTTAAAGGCTGAAGGTGTTGACATCCACGGATGGCATGATATATCCTAACGCAAGATCTAATACCCGCAACTTTCATAGTATTCATTCCGCGTAGACCAAAGGCAATGCAAGACACCAAAGTGATAGTCCAAAATACGAAGTATATTTCGGGACCAAATCGTAGTGTTAGAATGTTGCCTAACTAGCTAGGGATCATGCACAAACAAACGAACGTAACACGACGGCGTGCCAAATGGCGTGGATTCTTGACCATGAGCCTTAGCTAAACGAGTCGACTTAAACAGTGAAGGTCAACATACAGTGTTGAGTGACATATTCCGTGACTAAAAATTCTGGGGAATTATCCAACGTAACAAGTGTTATGAATCTCAACGTAAGCTCTACAATAAATGGCCACAATTTTTGTTTCTATACCTTTCACTTGACGTGTACAAACATTGATTGAATAATCAGTATTCCTACTTACCTGTTTGAGGCAATCCTAACTGTCAAAGCCACCGTGTATTTACTTCATCTGAGTTAGAATTTTTGTTCATGAAGCTCCCAATTGGTTGATCACTCTTCAGGAGGACAACTGCGTTCAATAAACTCGAAACCACACTGAATTAAATGGTAGGAATCGTGCTGTGAAGAGTCTTGTTCTAGTTCGCACTGTCATCATTGTGCACTTTATTTAAAAAAACTTTCTCTGTCTGAATAACAGACGTATAAAAAAGCGATTCAAGTTACACCAAATTTCGTCTAACTTTACTGAATTCCTATACATTATCACTTATCTAATTTGTTGTTTGGATTGACCATCGAAAGTCCTAAGATGAGGAATCGTTTTTCAATACCAACAAAACAGTGAAAGTAGGCCAATTCTCATAGGTGTGCTTCACATGATCCAAAGAAATACCATATAAAAAACACTTAATAAATTTCTAAAACAAAGAACTATACTATATCAAAATATCTCAATCCTTCGCTTACAAAAAAACAAGTTAACTTACACTGGCTCATAACGAGCATATTATTAGAAGAAAATTTTTTGTCACAAATGGCTCAAAATGTTTGCCTCCCGATTTAAAATCGAAAAATAGTTTAAGTGATATTAGTGGAACTACTTGCTATTGAAAATTGAAGTGTAGATGCCGGTATTTTAAATTTGGACGGCACGTAAGTCAGTAAATGCTGTTTCTAGGTTTTTGTGCTTTATTTTGTTGGGCACATTTCACAAATACTGGTGAAAATAGGTCTCAGAAGCGTTAATGTCACATAAAAGTGAGGGATGTATTTACCGAGTATTAACAGTGTGCACGAAGTTAATGCTATCCATTAATAAATGTGTTGTCTTACATTATAGTTTGTTAATTCATCTACATGGTTTTGAGCCCAGTTAGGAGTTGCTTTCAAATATTATGTCTCTAAGCGACAATAATTTGATTTTGGATTTCGTCTTTGTATATGATTATGGCTTTCAGAAGTAAGCAAAAAGGAAAAGCATGTTTCTTATTTAAACTCCATTTTGCCAAAGAAAATCAAGGCTGAAAAACGTCTACTGACAAAGTTTTCTAGTACCAAAGAAAAGACCAAGTCAACTTAAAACCATAGTTTTATCTCATGCTACTAAAGTCTGTAATGATTGCTACCCAGATTTATGTTGTCAGTTTATTTTATGCACCTAATGTTATAAAGTGAGGCATAATTCAGCAACTTGATACAAATTTCTTACTTCGCCTAAATATCTAGTATTCGTAAGGAGCTGTTTGCGAGCACACCGATAACTAGATTGGGTTAAACGATGCCAAGTGTTGCTGAGTGAGTAATTAGCTCATACCAAAAATTTTTGCAGTAACTTAAGTGGAAGCATTTTCCGATAGTTTTATATAGGCAACATAAGCAAGAGGTGGTGGATTCTTCGAGAGCATAAATTTTAGTAGGCTTCATTGGCTGGTCACTCCGCATATTATGCCTACCGTTAACTACATATACTTGCGAAATTTCGACTAAGGAATTGTGAAATGGACTGAACAACATGTATAGATCTTGTCTTAGGTAAGTAATAGGCTGCTTAGAAATATTGGTTAGTTACATCTCTCCAAGAATCATCAAAACTTAAAAAGTTTTGAAATAACGCAGATCGCACGTTTTCACAAGTGTATACCGATTATAGTATGGTGATATTCATTGCTTGGTGATAGTTGATATCTCTGAAATAAAGGAGTGATAAGAACCTAAAGAGTTGTGTGGACTATTCATATACCTAGTAACAGCAGACTGATAAAATGCCTTGCTGAATTAAAGAAGGTTGAAAGCTGATAGGTGGATGTTAATGGATTACCCGTAAATGTTCATATGGAATGTGTTATAAAAGAAATTTACTATAGTGTAGATACTGAACTTTATACCATTAGATTGCGTTCAGCTAGATTTACTGCCTATTCCAACATACAATGTTTGATCTTATAGCATTAGGTTAAGAGAAGAACTGTGGTGGCCTTGTTAACATATTGCAGCAATTCCTAGTGTGATTCTCATATGTAAATGCAAGTTACCCTGTCTTTAAGACATCAGAATTGTTATTCGCAAGCTGGATGATCAGTCTCAGAATCGATTATGGTAGTAATATGTACCTGCGTATGCACACAGCGTTCATTAGTATCATTCTTTAGATCTAAAACAAAATATTTGTAGTTTTTGAAATGCAGAGATTTGAATCGTAATCCAGTATTAAATATGGTTAAAAAACATTACATGCACCTATAACTAGCCGTTGATGTAGCAGTTAACATGTATGAGGGACACCAAAACACTGAGTATGGCCGGAGAATGTGCGGTTGTCATCCTAGCTGTCCTTTTTCTTCCCGTCATTCGAATATAGACAAAGTTGAGGACCTGTATGTTAATCTGTTGTAAATATGCGTATGTATAACCTGAGGAGTCTATACGACAAATTACTCAGTGGTTTAGTTCAAACCAAATGTAATTTTCAAATAACTGATGTATAGTTATCCGGTTTTGAATGCGGGAAAGACATCGGAAAACTCTGTAATATAATACCGTGTTAGGTTTCTAAGTGTAAATAGCCATTAATTTCTGGTGAGTAGTTTCACCAGGTCGTTTAATCTTGGTTATTTGCTTAATGATTTAATTTAATTCACGAAAACTACTCAACCAAACATAAAAATTCGCTGAGAAAAACTTCACTGACCTGTTTGTTATCAATTAACTGTTAATCTAGTCAGTGTAAAATGTAGTACATTTGTCCAAATTCTAAATTCATCTTGAGAACTGTAGCTAATTAAAATTCTAATGACTCAATATTCAGTAAGGGCGAACATCTGGCGCTTACAACTGAACTGCTGAACATGTAGGTCTACCTAGAGGAACTGGAAAACCCTGATTTCAAACATATAGTGTAAATGAACTCTAAAATTTCATTTTATTTTGATTATAGCTTGATTCCACATCGTATTTTTGGTACAAGTATGGAATTTTCAGCATGTGATATCGGTAGCCCAAATTTAGCAGGCTGACAATTGATATCAGGTGTGCGTCGGCAGGGAATCGAACCCCGAATCATGTGCATGGTCGGCGAGAGTCCTAACCGCTGTGCCACTGACGCACAGGATCGAGTGGCGTATGAACCTGTTTCGCTCACCACAAACCATGGAGTCACTAGCCCACTGCATTGTAGACACGACTTCAAGTCAAAGGCCCAGGAGGTGTTCCCTTAAGACAACCATCTACTTCGGTCAGGGCATCCAAGCAGTATCCTAACCGTCGCACAAACTAGTCCGGTACATATCTTGGTGTGCATAATTTACACAGTTTGTGTTTTTAGTAAATAAAAGTTTATTCACCCAATACCCTAAATCACTTTTTCATAGCTGAATGGAACGGCTCAGATGAAATGAGATAACTCTTAGGAAATCCGTCAATAATTTTACTATTATATTTCCATATTATATGTCATCTTTAATTTTATTTTACAGTTCCCAATCAATCTACGCCAAACTGTTACAGCAAATCTAATCATATAAACAGAGCATATCAACTTCATTACAAAATTATATATTTCGTACCGAATTTTCCCCTCCCTTTATTTTTACACCCTAAATTAATGCAACATTTTACTGGGCATTAAAAGTCACTCCCGTTCATCATATTTGCATATTTAACGAAAAAATTATTTAATTAGTAAGTTTAAGTCTGTGTGTGTGTTTTTTAAGACTTCCTTTCTAAAGATTTACAGTAATGGATGATATCCTTGAAGATAGCGATAAGAAAGAAGATGTGGTAAGTCTTATAATTGAGTAATGTGTAATTTCCCTTTTTTTAGTCAATTGAAGAACAAAACACAGACATAGATTTTGTTTACAACGATGCTGATGAATACAGTGTGGAGATATCTGGTAATGCTGTATAATTCTAATTTCTTTTTTTATCTTTCTATTACTTATGTAGAACTATATAGTTATTCAGAAGAGCCTGAGTTTCAAATTAATCGTTTTTATTTTCAATATTATTTCCGTAAATTTGGTAGGTGACAGCTTTTCATAAACTACTTCTATGCGTTTGTTTTATTTTGATTAAAAATTGTATGTTTTTAAACTCTTTACTGGTGATATTGTTTTTGCTTTTCCTTAGAATTTGTACTAGTATTTTTTCATGAATTTTGTGTCATACAACTAATCTATAAGATTATGCAACTGACTGACTGGTTTCAACATAGAACTCTCAATGACCAGATCTCACAGCCATAAATGAGGACGGAGCGGACTGCTGAGCAGTAAACACACCCTTTGATCGATAGCCAGCCGGATATCGCGTCTACTAAGCCAGAGACGGCGTAAACTGGCATATGCGGAACGAGCCTTCTGTATCCTCGCTGAGATTTCCTCAGCCATTAACCCGTTTGGGTCAACACGCTCTACCACTTCACTCCCTATTTCTAAGCTAGGAGTCAATGTAGTCCAGTCCTGTAGCATCATCGTACATTTGGTGGGAGAGAATCTCATGCCAAACATTAGAAGATTGCAACTCAAGATGTTGCTCGATGTCCCTGTTCAGCTGAATGTTTTTGCAAAATATAAAGGGGATCAAATGACTGACTATAAACCTTTTGTATTGCATACTTACAGTAACTACGTATTTCAAAGTTTTTCTATCCACCAAAGCTTTTTTTTAGTTTGTATATCTGCCGTTTGGATTTTGTAAGGCGTTTGTATAGAGCTTATGTATACCTATTTAATCACTCTGAAGGTATTTCCAGCACTAATGTTCTCCGTATAAGAATTCGCATAATTTAGTGTATTATTCTAATTATTTGAAATTGTTTCCCTCACTTTATTGTCATTATTATTTTCAAATTTCAGTTTCTGTGAAATGGTTTGAAGCTAGTAATGCAGAACGTCATTCACATATTCAAAGATTATTGTACTACTTAGAGTCTGGTGATCGTTTAACCCGTCAAAAAGCTACACGTTCATTACTCTACTTATTACAGGGTAATTTCGGTGATTGTGAATTAGAAGAGGATCAAATAACCTGGGCCAGACATAATGTTTATTTATGCATTGAAGCAGGTGTATTACAGGCTATTACAGCCCTATTGTTATATGAAATCGATTATGAGTAAGTTATGATTATATATGTGGGTTTAAAGTTTGGTCATGGATTGATATTCAGTTAGAGAACCATTGAAAACCAGCAGGCACTACTGGATAGATGTTTCGTCTCTTTTGAGGATTCTTCAGTAAAAGTTAAGACCCATGAGCCTTCGGATTCTGTCCCAGTGATCGAGTTGTCGATGAACTCGTCTTGTAGCCTGAAGGTTCATGGTTCGCTATCCGGCAGGAGTGGGTGAGTAGGTGGGTCATGGGTGCGTTGTGGCGTCGTCAGCTGTCCAGTACTTTCTAAGTTGTTTTCAGTTATTTTCCAGCTAAAGTCATTTCCTGATCAAACTTGAAACCGACCAAATCCCTGCAAAGCCAACGCTTGATAACTGAAAACTATTTGAGTGCAAAGTATTTTATTTGAATTGTAAACTGATGTCAGCTAGAGAAGGAACCCATTGGAAATTAAAGTGCACTAGGTAGCTGTTTCTTAGGTTTAGGTCGGTCGGTCGGTTTTCGACATAGAACTTTACACATATGTGCGGCAGTTCAAGTCGCCACACTCCATGTAGCACACAAAGCAAGAGAAGAAAGTAGAAGAAATGCATAATATAGTCATTTTTTCATTTTCATTTACTTCGGCTATCTCCTACGGAGGATGAACCGGCTTCATGAACATCTCGAATCATCGCTGCCCAGGCGCGGCGATCTGATGCAAGGTTTTGCGACAGGGTTATCCAATTCTTGTTCCACAGACGGAGTCCGTAGACGGTTTTTAGCCCCAGGCACTCCATATCAGCCTTGACTGTACCAAGCCATGTACAGGGCGCGTCGCTTGCCGGGAACGCCGTAGCATGGTGAGAGTCGTTTGTAAGAGAGTTCATGAAGTTTCATGGGAATTTAGTACGAGTGATGTCCCCAGAATCGCTCGGCCTTTTGTTTGAGAGTGCAGCTCTAGCCTTTACACAACCAAGTGTGACCTACAAGGCAGTAGGAGTGGAGTAGGGAGTCCACTATCCATTAGCAGCCGGTGACCGGAGTTTGGTTCATACGCCTTTTTGAATGGGGCCAGATATCCAGGACATCCAACAAGCCCTTTGTCCATACGTCTGCCGGTGAGCTCCAGTGAGCTTCACACGCCAGTCGTTGGAGGTTTGGAATCAGGGTTTAGTCATCTACCCTAGATTGTCATCCAATGGACAGTCAACCCTGTGAAGAGCGCCGGGCATCCGCTTTCGCCCTCTCACTTTGGTAAGGAAACACCTCCGCCACGTGAAGGCAGTGAGTAGGACTTCCTCAGGAGAGGTTATGTAAGATGCCCGGTCATATGGGAGCATTTCAAGAGGTGTTCGGAGGAGTGGCCAACCCGCAGCGCAAGGCACCCACCCCCGACCATCCTGAGGCTTTGGAGGCTGATATTAGATGGTTGGAGTGTGTATCTCTGATTGTGTGTGCGTGTGCGTGTGGTGAGTACAACACAAATGATGACAACGTTGAAACTACAGCATAATAATCATAAGGATAGCCATTTTTCGCTAGTTTGAGACTCATCATCAGGCACCCACCCTCGACCATCCTGAGGCTTTGGAGGCAAAATATAGTCAGTAAACAGAGGTGTGAGACAAAGGAATAGTAATAACGAAGAACAAAATAGTTTCATTGGAAATCATAAGTCACAAGGAGTGAATGCATCTGCACCAGTCACTGAGAACGATTTTGAGCCATGTCACCAATTGTGTCCAACCATTGGTTTTTACCATCCCGAGGACCCCAACCAGGAAGTCTACATCTCCCTACCTGGCTTCGTACGTGGCTCTTAGGTTTAGAGTCCTCATCAGTAGCACGTGCTTATAACCGTCAAAAATACCAAGTCCTGGGGTGCTGTCATCATATCTGTTGACTGACACGTCTGTTTTCAGTCATCTCTGTTTTCCATTTACTGTCAGTTCCCTTACGAAATGAGTCAAGAGGACGGTTATTCATCTTTGACACTGGCTGGTGTTTGCGCGAATTAATAGAAGTTGGAATTCATTCACCATTGGGTCAGGCCCTAGTGGCTGTGAAATGGCCTGCGAGCTCGCCTCATTCTTAACCGGAAGGTCCTGGGTTCAAACTCCGGTGGGTCTCAAACTAGTTCGAAACAGCTGTCGAGTACTCTCTGGCTGGTTTACAAATGGTTCTCTAACTGAAATCAGCTCGCGATCAATCCTGTAATTCTCAATGTAACAAAACCAACAGTCTTCACAGGCCACTTGTTGAATCTTGTTGAAACATTTTTGATAAATCTATCTTGAAACTAGTTAGTTGTGTTTCATTCTATTTGGAAGGCTCCTAGGAAGTAGCTGGTATCGATTCTCCCTTGTAATAGGTAATCAATTAGCGACAATTGCTCTAGAGCTGACAAGTTTCTAAGGAATGAAATTGACTCGCGTTCAGATTGTTTTCTTTTTGGGATTTTATTGAATCTAGTCGTTCTCACTCTTCTGAAATATGAGTTTATTATAAAAAAAGAAAAGTGAGACCAAAAGGCTTTTGACAGTGGGAATCAAGTTATTTGATTAACAGCAATATGTTGTCGTTGTTGTTTCTGTGGTGGTAAGGTGGTCGTGTTCAATGGCCTTTCTCCAGATTTTCTTATATTTTTTGTTGTTAAATAGCGCTTGTAATCTTCTGTCGAGCTGATTATTGATTGTAGTAATAATAAGTACACAGTGTAGGTAGGTAGGTTGCTGTTGAATTTAATTTATTCACATTTTCACGACTGTTTGGATATTATTAGGCGTTTAATGTGCGCTTTTCGAATGTAAGATACTGAGAAACTGGTATTCCTGTAGATGGCATATGCTAATCTAGTGTGTATGTGTGTGTGTACGTCCTGATATGGATTGCCGTTATATCTAGGAGATTTCTATGGTAGTCATTAGCCTCCCAAACTGAATAAAGTACTTAAAAGAGGACAAAAGAAAGTTCGAGAAAAGAATATCCTTTTCGATAAATTCCTCCTCCAGCTCTATAATTATATTCATATACATAAAATATTCTAGAATAATCGTCATTAACAATGTGTTGGTGTGCTTTCTAAATAATATCGATTCGCTAATATCAGTGGAATTACAGTTCAAGGAAGATGTACAAGTTATAATAAGCATGAAAACGTAATAGTGAATAGAATATCGAATAAAATTAAAATTAAGGAAATCTCTACAACAAATTAAGGATCATTAAAACCTTGATGGCCAGTGGGGTAAAGACAGTGTCTGAACCAATTTTTTTTGAATACATAGATTAGACTTCTTGATGTGGATTCCGACAATCTCAGCAATAATGTAACGAACTTCTGAGGTAAAATGAGGTTTACTCGGTATACTGTAGATAACTTCAAAAGCCTTGTTGACATCAATTTTATGGCTGGCTAGCTGGATTCAACATAGAACTTGGCACCGAAGTGCAGCAGTTCGACTTGCCACATTCCAAATAGCACACAAAAGTAGACAAGAAAATGAGTGAGGAGAATCAGTAGAGTTTTGACAAGTATAAGAGTGAAACAGAATGAGTAATGGTAGAAAGGAATATGAAAGATTACAGAGACTGAATACATCTGCGCCACTGACAACGATTTTGAGCCATGTCACCTATTGTCTCCAGCCATTGATTCTTAGAGTCCCGAAGGCGGGCTCCAACCCGGAAGTCTGCATCTCCCTCCCTACCTGACTCAGTTTAATTGTCAGGGATTTCATGGATTGGTGAGGCCATGTTTTTGTTTGGCCACCATTTACTCTTTTCCAACCAACCTGCACCTATATCAGCTAGCAATGCTCGTCGGGGGAGGCGATGGCTAGGCATGCGCAGCACGTGCTCTAACCATCTCAATCTATGTAACTTCATAGCCTCTTCGATTGATTTTCCCTCTTTGCCCAACACTCTACGCCTAACGTCAACATTACTTACCTTATTATACCACCTAACGCGAGAAAGAGATCGTAGACATCTATGATCAAATTCAGTCAACCTTTACATGTCTGCAACTCGTATTGGCCATGTTTCAGAGTCATAGAGAAGGACGGAGCGAACTGCTGAGCAGTACACACGTCCCTTGGTTGACATCAATTTATGCTGTATATCAGTGAGATGAAATAGAATAGAACAGAGCTATGCGTAGACTTTGTTTGACCCTGGCTTAACAACGTTGGATAGTGTTTAGAAATCCACCGGTAAACACACCTAATTGTACGGCCTATGTAACTGGCTTTGCTGGAGCAGTCAAACTGATAGATATACATAGAAGATGTAAAATTGGGCAGTTTATTTCTTTGTTTTTCGTTTTGAAGAGACAGCATACTTCAACAGTACTGAATGCTGTTTTATCGCGTTCCTTAGGCGTTTTGTTAATATCTTACTGATGTTATCCCTGAGGAACTGAAGTTGTAAGAACAGGGCTCTTTTAGGGACATATAAGCAATTGTTTTCACTCAGTAATTCTATAATAATGTTGAATGTCTTAATGAACAGCTCAATGTTATTAAACAGTTACCGAGTGAAAACTGTTCCCCAGAGAAATTCCTCGACAAGAATATAAATCTAGAGCCAAGGCATACCAAACTAGCAACAGTTCCGAAAAAGGCATTGATATTAACGAACCTTTTAAAGTCACCTACCGTATACTGACCGATCTTAACTTTACCTCAAGAGTTCATCCGTTACATATGTTTAGCTGAGGCTGTGGGAATCCACACTAAGAAGCCTAACTGATGTTTCCGAAAGAAGTTGATTCAGACACTTTCTTTACCTTGTCCATCAAGGTTAAAGTGATCCATTTATAGAATCTTGATTGATCAATATAATTTTGAGAATGTGTTATTCCATGTCTAACCAATCGGCTTCCTCGACGGTCAGTGTTAGCTGACATAGGATTAGGTTGGAGAAGAGCTGCTAATGGTTGTCAAACAAAACATGGTATCAGTCTATGGAATCTTTGACAGTTGGTTTGCTGTAAAGTACCTGATTGGGGTCCTTGAGATCCTAAGAAGCAATAGCTGTGGAGACATTTGGGGATACAGCTTAAAATATTTGTTAATGGCGCAGATGCAATCAATCTCCGTGATCTGCCATATATAATTAAACCCTATTGTCTTTCCACGTTAATATTCTTTCTACCTCACATTTTTACCTATTATCGTTCTTTCGAATCTCTCTTTTTCTTTATTTTGTCTTTCTTTGTTTACTACATGGAGTGGACTGTGGCAACTTGAATTGTTGTACAGAAGTGCAGCAGTGAGTCAGTCAGTTAATACAATTAATACATTTCTCTGCCGACTATTGAAAGGATTCATGTCCTGCTTTAAATTGCAAACAAATGTAATCATCATTATCTCATTTCATTACACTAAGTAGTGAACCTGTGGCTTATATTGACGTAAGCACCTACCCTTTTCGATGTAGTTGTGTTATCTGAGCTGGATGGCTTATTTGCGATTCACTGGAATACCAGGCAGTCTTCTAAAAATCCTCTAGCATTCTTGGTGTTTCCTCTGTCTAATATTTGAACGTTTTCCTGGTCGAATTGGTGTCCGTGGTATGCAGCGATATGAGGGAGTGGATGTCATGTTTTTTGACGGCTAGTTTATGGTCGTGGATATGAAGACAAGGAGGAAGTCCACTTTGGCCAATGTAGTATTTTTCACAGTCGTTGTAACTTATTTCGTAGATGATGTTGATTTTGTCTTCTTTCGCTGTTGAGTCTTTTGTTTGACACAGAGTTGAGTGAAGTGACTTTGTTAGTTTGTGTGCGATATCAATTCCTAAATGTTTGAAGAGTCTTGCAGTGATTTCAGAGATGTCTTTTATGTATGGTAGGGTGATTTTTTTGTGCTTTCTTTGGGGTATTTTGGTTTGATAGGTTGGCTTGGGGGTATATGTCTTTTGATGAAATTCCGTGGATATCCATTCTTTTGGATGACGTCCATGAGATATTTTTCTTCAATTTTCCTTAAGGTGGGAGTGCTGCAATGAGTCCTGGCCCTCTTGAATAGTGTTTGTATACAATTCCTTTTGTGTGTTATTGGATTGTTGCTGTTGTAATTCAGTATTTGGTCTGTGGGAGTTGATTTTCTATAAACTTGAGTTTCTAATTCCCCTGTGGTTGTTCGCTTGACTAAGACGTCCAAAAATGGGATTTTGCTCTCGGATTCCTCTTCTCTTGTGAATTTGATATCGTTGAAGACGTTGTTTATTAAGTTGTGAGTTTTATCCAACTCGTTTCTTTTGATTATTACAAATGTGTCATCTACGTAACGTATCCAAATTTTGGGTTTGATCTTTGATAGGATTATGTTTTCGAGCCTTTGCATCACTGCTTCTGCAATTAAACCTGATATTGGCGATCCCATAGCTGTTCCTTTGACTTGTTCACATATTTGGCTGGCAGTTGAATAGGAAGTACGTTGTTAGGCATAAGTTTAAGCATTCCATCCAATTTGTGTGTTGTATTTTTGATTGTTGCACCTACCCTTCATCTAGTGGAGATCCATAATTTGAATCCATCTCCACTGACTTCATCCCTGGTGAATGGCCCCAGTATCATCACCACTTACACACACACACACACACAATAAGTGCTGTTCATAACCTGTTACGTAAAAAAATATGTGATCCTGACACAGCTGAGTTCTTAGTAGCAGCTAATTAGTATGAAGTTTGTTTTGTTAGTGACTATATGAGTTTATTTTATTCATAATTATTTTTTGTTTTGTTTTTTAGTTCATGGGCTTCAAACTCAACTGGAAATAATACCAACGGTGGAGTAAATAAAGTCCAGACATCAACAAATGATAATGCTGGCCAAATTTCTGCAGTTAGTTCAACTCGACAATCAGAATGTACACTGGAAGATTGTGCTGATCTTCGGATATTATTATCTATTCTATATATTATGGTAGAAACTGTTCGTGATGGTATGCAGACAGAGCAGACACAACAACAGACTAGTTCGTTAGATAGGCGAAATATGCCCACATCATCAACTGACACCACCAATCAGACAAGTCATGATCCAATGGCAAAGTTGAGAGAACAATTCGTTGAAGACTTAGGTAACGTATTATTATTATTGTTTCCTTTAATTCCTAGAGGAGCATAGGGCTTCAGCCGTGCGTCTCCATTGCGTTCGGTTCTCTGTTAGACTCTTCACCTGGCTCCAAGTCTGTCCACACGTTTTCATCTCCTCTTCACATGACCTCCTCCAAGTCACCCTTACACTGACGACCAACTCGCCACTTCCCTTTCGGGTTCCACTCGAGCAATGGCTTGTCTAGTGATGTCACTTGATGGTTTGTTTCCTCAGAGTATGGCCAATCCATCTCCATTTCTTCCTGCTTATTTGTCTCACAATCGGTTCCTGGTTGGTTCGCTCATTGCCAGAGATCCCTCTTGCTGTTCTTCGCTGACCATATGATCTTGACTATTGAGCGAAGACAACTGTTAATGAAGGTCTGTAGTGTGTTCGAAGTACCCTTCTTGACGCTGCACTAAGTCTGTGATCCGTATAGTAGCACTGACTTCACATTGGAGTTGAAAATCCGGATCTTATTTCTGATGCTGAGTGCTGTTGACCTCCACACAGATTTGAGAGTGATGAAAGCTTGTCTTGCTTTTCCGATTCTTGATTTCATATCCTCGTCAGTTCCATTTGCCTATAGTTAGGTAAAGGAAGTTGTTTCTTTCAGGTTCCTTCCGTTTATGCTGACTGTTGTCTGTTGTTGTTGTTGCTGTTGGTGGTGTTGCCCAGGAATCTTCATTACCTCTGTTTTTTCTATGTTCACCTGAAGTCCTATCTTCTCTGGATGCTTTTTCTGCCAACTTGTTGCTTTTCACTTGCATATCTTCCAGTTTGTGGGAAATCAGACATATATCATCGGCGAAGTCCAGATCTTCCAAGTTTTTTGTGTGTGTCGATTTTATACCTGTTTCCTCGTTCCCCGCTTTAGGTAATGTACATTTGTGTATTTGTATTTTTATGAATAATCCACAACCACACAGACATTAATAAAAACAAAACAAGTGTAGTTCAGCGAAGAGGGTCTCTCCACAGCGAATTCATTATTCTCTACAGCTGTACAATCCTATTCATCCACAAACTTTTCATAAAAGAGCATAGTAACAAAAGTGATGAGTTGTCATTATCACGGTTATTAATGTTAGTCAATGTATAAAATGGAGTTGAGTGACCTCATTAGAGTTACGTAATAAGATGAACAGTTTAATGAATGAGTAGTAATCAGGGTGCATATAGAAACAAAGGAAAATATGGTATTACGTAAGAGTGCTAAAGAAACACAAGAGTTATAAGTAGTTAGTAGAAATCAACAAGGTTGTTACCATGGTAATAAGAGTTGGTTCAGTAATTTCATTTTGTATACATAGATAGCTCCAGCTTATATATCTGTATGGCTACGACCTTAATAGTGCAGAGGAGACGAAAGCGTATTGCCTTTGTCAGATTCTTCTTCACTTTGTAGAGTACTTTAAAGGAAGTGTTTGTTGAGATGGAATGACGAGTGTTGACGAGGTGTTCGGTTATCGCACTCCGTATACGGTCACTACTACCTTTCCGCGACCATGTAAGGTTAGTGTTGTTGAACAGGGATACGTGTCGAACGGCCAGTATACTTGGCTACCCAAGAACAAGTGAACTGATATATGCACATAGAAGTGATAAGTAAGCGAGATTTTGTCTTTCAGGCTTCTGTGGATAAGTAGAGAATACTACTTCTAGTGTTGCTGCGAAGAATATTCCTCTAAAAGATGATGAAATTGTTGTCGCAAGTTAAATTCCCCTTGAAATCCAGGTTCATATAGAGTTTTTTATTTTTGGAACAAGTAATATTTTGTTTCTCTAAACTTTTGGTTTGATATGCTTATCAGAAAATCTAGTTCTGCTTCTAGTGTGTCAGGACTACAGATGCGTTGGATCCGAGTGGCAAGGGATTTAACTAAATTCCAATTTCGTTCAAGTATATTTATCTACTGTTTATGTAATCTGTAAAATCTTTGTTATGGTAGTTAAAAAATTTAGGTAGGTGTGGAATTCTCCTATTCTGAAGTCATGCGTTGTATTTAGTATTATACTGATACTGGAATGAGTAAAGGGGGATAGATCAGTGAACGCGCGCAAAGTTTGGGTATCCAGAAAGATAATATATAGACGCGAATATGGTTTTTGACTTTTCCGGTAATTTTTGTGACTTACTAAACAGCCAGCCTTCTGAAATAGCACTGAAAGAGATATCTAAGTAGAAAGTGAAAGCCTTGTCAACAAATTTACCTAAGTACTCATATCCTAAAAATGTATATGTGACAAGTACGCGTGTGTCCGGTTATGTAAATACATACGCCTTACACATTTAGGATAAATTACATCTTGCTTGTTATGTTTTGTTAAAGTTATTTTATTCACTCAGTTAGTTAACCTATTTATCAACTGTTCCCGTAGACTGAAATTCGGTCTAACCTGTTATGTTTTGATCAATGATAATACTAATCAAGTCCCTCTACTCGAACTCATACAGACGTGTAAGAGCTTGCGGAAAGTTGTCATCTGAAGTCGTGACAGCTAGTGGTGTCCGTTAGGGATGTCAGCTGTCCTCTTTTCCCTTTAATTTCATCATAGATGTACCAATGGAATGATCCCTAACTGACTTCAGCGACTCAGGAATTGACTTGCTACCAGGGTATAATCTCGTTGACTTAGAATATGCAAATGATACAGTCCTTCTAGGTGAGAACGCTGACATAATGCATAGTCTTCTGAACACCTTGACAGACAGCAATCTTCGAATGTTTAGCATGCGATTCGTTCCTGTTAAATGTTGCATGATGCTATAGGACTGACTGGACTACATCGATTCACTCGTAGCTTACATATAGGCAGGAGTGAAGTGGTTGGTTGAGCATGTTGAACACTTCACTTATTCGAGAAGTTGCATCAGCTCCAGTGGGTTGATTGCCAACGAAATTTCAGCACAGATCCAGTAGGCTCGTTTGGAATATGCCAACTGACGCCACCTCCAGCGTAGATGTGATATCCAGCTATCGATCAGAGGGTGTATGTACTGCTCAACAGTTCACTCCGACTAGCTGTATTTGATCATAGGTATCTGAGTTTTATCTCCCGTGTTAGGTGGTATAATATGTTGAGTAATATTTAGGTTAGGCTTCGGTCGAGTGCTTGGTAAGGAGGGAAAATCAAGCAACGAAGTTGTGAGGTTACATCGGTTGAGATGGTTAGAATATAAGTTGCTGCGCATGCCTAGCCATTGATCGCCTTCCTCGACGGGTAGTGTTAGCTGACACAGGATTAATCAGGTTGGGAAAGATCTGGTAGTGGTCAAACTGAAACTTGAAAGCTTTAACAGTCAGCTTGAACCACATAGAGAGGTATAGATTGACTGGTCCGGATCGTCGGCATTCTAAGAACCAACTGTTATAGGCACTATTAGTGATATGGCTCAAATTGTTGTCAGTAGCGCAGATCCATTCACTCTTTGTAATATCTCATGTTTTTCCATGTAGCTATAAGGTCTTTCAATGTGTACTGATGATTTGTCCAGTGTTATCGATTAATAATTCGATTGTTATTGTCTGTTATTTGTTGTTACTGTTTTTGGTAGCCTCACCTATTGGAAAAGATAGTGAACTCACGCTGACTGTTGTTCTCTTCGATATGGTTTATCGTTTTTGCAGTGGTCTTGCTCCACATTTTCCAATGAAAAAAGTTTTACTATTATTGTGGAAAGTTCTACTGGTAAGTTGTTGTTCAGTGAATATTTATTACTTTTCAATTTGTTTTTATGGACGAATTACCTCAAATTGTCGTCTTTTTTATTGATAATTTGTCCCTTTTCTTTTTGTTCTGTGGAAAAAGTGTATACAAGTAAAGTTTCGCAGTAATCTTTGTCAATATATATATATATATATATATATGATGATTTATCAGCCATGTCCATTGTATAATGGTTAACTAGGGTATTTATCCAGCGAAGAAAATTTTCTTTGTGATGATTCATTTACAAAAGCTGTACAATCGTATCTGTATTTAACAAAGACTTCATGAGACCAATCAGGTGATTTAGACACCAGACGGCTGTTTCACTTGTTTGGGGCCTTCGACAGACAGCGTTGACCGAGAATTAATTTGGAAACTCCTTCAACACTACGGCATACCTCAAGTTTTTATCAACCTCATTCAACAGTTGGCTATGTGACAATGCCATGCATCAGGTGATCCACAACGGAAAATTCAGCGAGGCGTTCTAGGTGAATACAGGGGTGAGACAAGCTGGTTGCTTATTATCACCGATAATATTCCTAACTGTGGTGGACTGGATTATGCGTCAGACTGTGCATTGGGAGTGAGAAGACAGGAATACGCTGGACGATCGATAAGAAGACTAGAACTTCTGGACTTCGCAGATGATATTTGTCCAATGTCACAGAAACTCGAAGACTTGGAAGCGAGAACCAACAAACTGCCTGAAAAGGCTGGCAGCGAAAACAGAACTGCAGGTGAACACAGAAAAGACGGAGGTGATGAAGATAACCAACCAACCAACAGCAATAACAAACAGCACCAAACACCAACGGGAGAGATTTGACAGAGATTACTTCCTTCACTTATCTAGGAAGCATTGTTTCGAGTAGGGGTGGAACGGATGGAGATGTCAAAGTCAGAATCGGAAAGGCAAGACACGCATTCATCAACCTGAAACCAATTTGGAAATCTTTCGCACTCAGTCAGAATAAAAAAAAAGAGATTTGGATCTTCAACACAGATGTGGAGTCAGTTCTTCTATATGTGTCAGAAACTTGGCGCAGACTTTCACCAACATTTGCCTTGACTGGCTCCATACTGAAGATCAAATGGCGAAAAAGAATCAGCAACAAAAAACTCTGGCTGGCGACGGACCAACCAAGAGCCGATCGCTCAACAAATATGTAGGAGAAAATGGTGGTGGATCGGGCATACATCGATGAGACCGTCGAATGACATCGCGTGGAATGCACACTGTCACTCGATTGGAATCCCTTTGGGAAACAATGAGTGGTTCGTTGGTGCCAGAGTGAAATGGAGGAGATCGTGTGGCGAGGAGGAGATGAGAGATTATGGGCAGTGATGAACTCAGATGAAGAGGACAACACCAAACAGAACAAAGTGTAGATGTGTTGTTGAAGCCCTATGTTCCACTCGGAACCCAAGGGAATAATAAATAATAATAAGAATAATCAGTTCAAACTATCCGAGTTCTGGCTAGCTATTTAGGTGAACTGGTCATTAAATTCATAAATGTAAATATTACTAACCACTTTCCAATCTATACAGTGTTCCAGTGGTGAAGTTTCACGTAAACAGCAAAGAAAATTTTCTTTCTAACTAGTCATTTTCAAAAGCTACACTGTACAATCGTATTTATATATTTAACAAAGAATTCATAAGACAAATCAGGTAGATAGATACTGATAAAATTCGTTCTCCAAAGTGTATTGCATAATGTGTAATGTTTCATCTAGATAAGCTATCTATTACACAAATAGCTGAATCATCATTGGTTATTCGGGATCTAAACCCGGACCTTTGAATTGAATTTAAAAGCACTACATACAGTGACTTACCCCTTACCATGGCCACAAGAGTTACATTCTTACCATCACATTTTGCTTCATTTTATTGTGTAATTTCACTACTATTATTATTACTATCCTCATCATATTCACCTTACTACTCTTTTCTCTCCTTTTTTTTTTTACAAAAAATTAAATATTTAGATAACATTAGGTCCATTGAGCGGTTTATTTGTGCGTAAAAATCAAGCACGTGCTCGTTACGGGCTACCACCATTGTCTGAGGATTCTACACATGTGATACGCAGAGTTCGGGCTAATACTCCACCGGCTGTATCAACAGATCAAGTACTGTCAAGAATACCACGGAATAACAATCGACATCCAGCACTGAATCAATGTATGTGGTGTATTTTGTGCTCATTATTTTCTTTTGTGTATTTATTTTTATTTTTACGAGTTGATCACCGATTGATGTCAGTTAGAGAACCATTGAAAACCAACTAGGAGTACTGGACAGTTATTTCATCCTAGTTTGAGAATCATCGGCAGTACGCATCCACTGCCAGGGTTCGAACCCAGGACCTTCCGGTTACAAGGCGAGCTGGCTCGTATACCATTCAGCCACTGGGACCCGATTCAATGGCCAGCCCATGAATTCTAACTTTACCAATTCTTGATTTAGCGCGACCCCGACCATTGTCGTTGGTGGGACATCCATCCACACACGTGACATCTAATTGGATCTCACTGGTCACGACTTCTCACTAGAACTCCAGGAAACTCCATCCTGTAGCAAGTCACTAGTGAGCATCAGATTAATTTTCTATAGTTTGGTTTGTAAAAACATAACTAACCCTTACAAACCAAACTATAGAAAATTTATTTTTATGTTTATTACTACGTGATGGAGAACAAGTGAAACAGTGGTTTCATTCATATAACTGTTTAGCACTTATTATTCTTATTATCCCCTTGGGTTCCATCCGAGTGGAACATCGGGTTTCAACAGCATGTCTCCATTTTATTACCTATTCTCTGCAGTCCATAAGCTTTCATCTATGTGTCACCCTGGGACACATGCCCAACTTGCCGTTTCCTACTCCTGGGTTCTACTCGAGCGATGACCTGGCGTGCAACGTCACTCGATGGTCTCCTCAGTGTGTTTCCGTTCCATCTCCATTTTGCTTCAGGTATTTGTTGGACAATCAGTTCTTGATTGGTTCATTTTCAGAATTCATTGTTGCTTTCCCATTCTGGATTACCATCTAATCTTCAGCATGAAGTAGTTGTTGATGGAAGTCTACAGTAGCCAGTTGGAAATGCTTTTTTGTGATGTGTAAGTCAAGTTTCTGATCCTTACAGAAAAACTGACTGACTTAAAATTAGTTCATTTATTTCCATTTGGTTGTATTCTCTAAGCTGGTTGATTTAATTTCTTTCGTTGTCACCTTCTGGACAACATCTTCAGAGCAGATTTTGCTATGGAATGAACTTATTTGAATTCTCCATGAATGATGATATAAGTGTATCTCCTCCTCACAACCATCGTCGTGATTGGCTTTTTTAATTTAAGTCTCAACTAATCTCGTCGACTTAGAATATGCGGACGATATAGTCCTTCTAGGCGAGGACGCTGACAAAATGCAGAGTCTACTGAACACCTTGAGCAACAATCTTCGTATGTTTGGCATGCGATTCGCCCCTGTAAAAGGTAAGATGATGCTGCAGGATTGGACTTCACCGACCCCTAGATTAGAAATCGGAAGTGAAGTGGTAGAGCACGTTGACCACTTCACTTACTTGGGAAGTACCATCAGCCAGCCCCAACGGGTTGATCTCTGACGAAATCTCAGCACGAATACAGAGGGCTAGTTTCGCATATGCCAGTTTACGCCGTCTCTGGCGTAGACGTGATATCCGGCTGGCTATCGACCAAAGGGCGTGTGTACTGCTCAACAGTCCACTCCGTCCTCCTTTATGGCTGTGAGACCTGGCCATTGAGAGCAGAAGACATGAAAAGATTAGCTGTCTTCGATCATAGGTGTCTGCGTTCTATCTCCCGTGTGAAGTGGTATAATAAGGTGAGCAATTTTGAGGTTAGGCGTCGAGTGCTAGGTAAGGAGGGGAAATCAGTCGACGAGGCTGTGAAATTACATCGACTGAGATGGTTAAGACATGTGTTACGTATGCCTAGTCATCGCCTTCCTCGACGGGGAATGTTAGCTGATATAGGGTCAGGCTGGAAAAAAGCTAGCGGTGGTCAAACCAAAACGTGGCTTCATCAGTCAATGAAATCTACAACAGTTAGTCTTGGCCACGTAGGAAGGTGTAGACTTCCTGGTTGGGGACGGTAAAAACCAATGCAGACTGGAAACAATTGATGATATGGCTCAAAATCGTTCTCAAAGGTTGGCGCAGATACATCCACTTCTTGTAACTTATAGTTTCCAATGAAACTATATTATTGTTTTTCGTTACTACTATTCCTTTGTCTGATATCCCTGTTTACTGTCTCTATGATGCATTTCTCCTACTTTATTCTCTTGCTTTGTGTGCTACATGGAGTGTGGCGACTTGAACTGCCACACATATGTGCAAAGTTCTATGTCGAAAACCGACCGACCGACCGACCTCAACTAATCATTTTTATTGACTTGGAATTCTAACCTTTTTGTTATGTGATGATTTATTTTTTATTAGTTGGAAAATTTGGTCTGTAGTAATTTGTTTATCACTGATTCTTCTTCTGAATAATCAGGCCTCTAGAAATTCCCTGGCACTTCTGATGTTTCCTCTACTTAAAACTTCTACATTTTCCCAATTAAAATCCGTGTCCGTGATTATCTACATGCATCGATATGAAAGAATTCTTGTGGTGTCTTTTTACAACAATTTTTAATGCTCTTGGATTTAGACTCGAAGGAGACGCCCACTTTCACCAATGTAGCGTTTACCGCAGTTCATACAGTTTATTTTGTAAATGGTGTTGATCTTATCTTCTTTTTCTCTGTTGGATCTTCTGGTTTGCGCAATATCGAATGAAGTGATTGAGCTGGCTGGCTTGTGTGCTATATCTATTTCAAATGGTCTTAGTATTCTAGCTGTTATTTCAGAGATGTTCTTTATGTATATGTTAGAGTGAATTTTCTTGTGGTTTTTAATGATGAATATGAGTGGCATGTATTGCTGTTGCTCGATTACATTCGGGTTTTAGCATAATTTAAACTGAAATTTTTAATGGCACTTAAAGTCACTATTATTCTGTGCTACGGCATGCCAAGCTATTGCCTTCCTCGTCGAATAGCTTAAACATGATTAGGTTGAAAAAGAGTTAAGAGTGGTCACACTGGATCGATAGCTGCTACATTGACGTGATGGTGAGGCTCGCATATCCGAATGACCCAATGAGCTACATCGGCTGGAACTGATGTCCCTACAGGTGTCCTACCATGCCGAAAAGGTCGCCTGGATAGTGGGTAGACTAAAAGCAGTTACTATCATAGTGTTAGTCATTTTACACTATTTAATTGAATTTTAGATTTTCCCGTCGATTGATTGCACTGAAGTGCTCGGTCTCAGGTTAACATGTCGGCTTCTTGTGCAGATGCTTTGATGATGTCTGGGCATTTAATTAGAATTTAATTTGTGGATGGTGACTAGCAGTGGAATCCAGGATGCGTATTTCGTCCTATTTGGGACTCGTCATCTAGATTTACCTGCATTTCCCAGTGAGTGGTGATGTTCCCACCGGGGCTCGAACTCAGTGCTCATAGTTTCAAACGCCAAAGCGTTATCCACTAGACCACTTGGGCCACGAGAGCCACCTCTTGTGCAACGGGTCATATTAATGATTTAATTGAATTTTAGATTTTTCCGTTGATTGATTGGACCGAAGTGCTCGGTCTCAGGTTGACATTTTACACTATGTTGGGAGGTGGTGAAGAGGCCTTTTGGCGAAGTTTTACTGCTGGTAAATACGCATGTAACAGCTGTAAGACATTTCCCTCAGGTGATCAGCAAGCCAGTTATATTGCCTCTCCGTTCTGGGGAGGGACGGAGCGTTAGAAAAGGTAGACCCCGAAATTTGTACATCTCAGATTTCCATGTGACAGTCCTTTAGTCGACGGTAAAGTCTTAATACGAAGACAACTCCAAAAATCACCGTATGCGACTGACCTCCAGCAGTTGTCTCCTAGGCTCTGTGGTCAAGCAACACTGATGCTGCTTCCATTTCATGTCAGTTGCTCATATCGTGGGTAATTATGTTCTACAATTGATCAATACAAACTTATAGCACTTCGAAGTTGTCCAGACAGGAGTAAGTAGGCTTAGTGGAATTCAATTTTTGTGCAGAATGTTCGGTAGTTAGAAATCCAAAATGGTGGTTAGGCACAACTTGGTAATTTATTACTAAACATAAGATTCTCATGTATTTTTATCTATAATCATATTGATTAACGTAATATCTGTTTGTTTTCACTTTAGCAAATCAAGCTCCTAGACAAGGTTGTCTAGCTGGTGGTCGTGCAGCATTCGAGCAACAACAACAACAGCAGAAACAATCTGTGCTAACCACAGTGACATTTCCTTTCTCTGCTGATTCGTCTAAACCACCTGTGGTCAATAGTAATCAAGCCAGCACAGACAGAGTTGTTACTTCTGGTTTTGATACGCCTAGACCAAGTTCTCCTGTATCATGTGAATCCAATGATAATAGTGGAGGAGAGAATTCAGTGTTGTTGAAATTTCAACTGCCTAACACTACGACAGCGATGACGACGGCGACGGCGACGACGATTAATAGCATTGACACAGCAACAACAACAACAACCGACTTTCTTTCTTCATCCAACTTGAGTCAGTCAAATCCAAATCCTCAAATTGTTCTGCCTGGTCTGGCGAATCTATACACGGATGGAAAAAGTTTACCATGGAAACCAAAAGTGAAAAAGAAAGATTTAGAGGTAATTCATATATATTGCTAGAAAAGTATCTGTGGTTCAGGGGTGGGCTAGGCATGTTGTCGTGGGGGGGGGGGGGAGGGCTTTCGACTCCTTGCCGATGTACTTCACCTTGACTTAGCGGTAGTAAGGCTGAAAACGAAGGAAGATTAGGCGTGGGCATAGAAAAGCCACCGCGCAGAAACTACCAAAAGTGCTATTGAAGAATAATTTAATGAGTGAATGAATGAGTAGTAATCAGGACGCATATAGAAACAAAGGAAAATATGGAATTATGTAAGAGTCTTAAAGAGTTATAAGGAGTTAGAAATCAACAAGGTTGTTACCATCTAATCGGGAGTGGTTGAATAATTTTCTTTTGTATGCATAACTCTGGTTTTTCTATTTGAATGGTTAGGGCTTCAGCAGTACAGAGGAGACGAAAGCGTATTTCCTTTGACAGGTTACTCTTCACTTTGTAGATTACTTTGAAGGAGCCGTTTGCTGAGATATGGAATTGTGACGGTAGAAGACGTGGGACTTGGTAAAGGAATGTTTATTTGCAATTTGATATCTGCATATAGCCAAATTATGTACACTTTATCTTCAACGCACCGTTTGCACAGATCTTACGTGCTGTGCTACTTCTGACCTTCATATTGTGTTTTTTGTATATTCTTTTCACGTTTCCTACGTGTCTCCGAAACGCTGTAACATTCGCTTTCACTGAAATCATATCTATCTCCCGGCTGTTTGATTTTTTTTATGCCGATGAACATCTCTTTTGACATATATTACTGGTAAATCTTATCAGTAGCACCTGCCACAGAATGACCAGTGTTGACGAGGTGTTCGATTATTACACTCCTTATGGAGCGACTACTACCTTTCCTGCAGCCGTGTGAGATAGTGTTGTTGAACCGTTTTTAGACAGGATACGCGTAGAACAAGCAAAGTACGTGGCTCCACAGGAATAGGTGAACATAGAAGTGGTCAAATGCGAGATCTTGTATAATGACTATATCCACATAAAAAACGGATTGATATGAAGGTTGGTCATGAAATCGTAGAAAATAAATTATTTCTTATCAAGGGTCTCGAATTTCACTTGTCATTGAATTGGCCAAGATCTCAACCAAACAGTGTGTACTGTTGTACATGACTGTTCACTGAATATTACTGACTTTTCACATTGATTTTTCCAATTCAGTACTGATCGTCAAATGAAGAAATGCATGGAGAGTACCGGATCACCTGAAGTGGCATGATTGTTTATTTTGTATCAGCTAGAGAACCATTGAAAACCGCCAGGGAGTAGTGGACAGCTGTTTTGTTCCTGGTTTGGGGCTCTTCAGCAGTACGCGCCCAGTGGGGTTCGAACCCAGGACCTTCCGGTTAAGAGGCGAGCTCGTAGACCATTCAGCCGCTGGGATCCGACTCATTGGCTAGCCCATGAATTCTAACTTCCATCAATTCGTCTTATTTTAGTTGGTGGTGACTATCACTGGAATCCAAGATGAGCATTTCTTCCTGTGTGTGGCTCTTCAGCTAAACGCATGTGTGTTCTTAATGAGTGATGATGCCATCCCCACTGAGACTCGAACCCAGAGTCCATCGTTTTAAAGACCAAACCGATGTCCATCAGATCAGTAGGTCATGGGAGCCACCTTTTTGCATCGGGTGTCGGTTGTACTTTAGTTTAATTTGCATTGATGGTTGATTCATTATGTTGGACTGGAATGTTCGATCTCTGTTGGTACGATGACAGTAATGAAAGAAGTGGTGGTTCAATGGGAGGGAATGCTGTTACTAACCGAGGTGCAGTTACATCCATTTGACGAATCCCAAATAAAGTGATGCGTCTTTTCTCTTCTTAACTAAAGGAAGCAGTAACTGTGATTCGATTAGGTTATTGACTTTTCAAATACTAGTGGATCGTAGATCCCAACTTTACTCCACTTATTTAGGATTAGCTTAGCCAGGTTATTAGTTCTAGTCATCACATATATTAGACATGGAGTATTTTTGAATACGTGGAGTCCTGGAGTTATTATTTCTCATCCTGGTACTGATTAAACTCTCCAACTCTGTGTGTGGTGTGTGTTATTATCGTGAACCATATTCATGCTGAGAGGTGTACGGTTAACTTAGATTAGAAGAAAGTGAACTGCTTTTTAATTTTCTATAGTTTGGTTTGTAAGGGTTAGTTATGTTTTTACGAGTTGATCACGGATTGATATCAGTTAGAGAACCATTGAAAACTAGCCACAGGGAGTACTGGACAGCTGCTGTTTCATCCTAGTTTGGGAATCATCGGCAGTCGCGCTAAATCATGAATTGGTAGAAGCTAGAATTCATGAGCCATTGAATCGGGTCCTAGTGGCTGAATGGTATACGAGCTTGCCTTGTAACCGGAAGGTCCTGGGTTCGAATCTCAGTGGGTGCGTACTGCTTTAGTTTAATCATCATTATATTTCCCTAATGATTGTTTTCAGGACCATTTCCCACTCTGTAATCTTCAGTTTATTGTAAATGTCATTATTCCTATTGGTTGTATAAGATAGTACCTCAGCCAGAACTCAGTTGCGCAAGGGTGTAAATTTTTCCCTGTGCGCGGCAGGTTATAAGCCATACTTATTATGTGAGGTCGAATGATACCACACCACCCAGTTGTCTAGGCTGAAGTAGGTGGTGGCGAGGAATTCGAACCTGGCACCGATTAGTCCCCAACCAGTAAGAATAACTAGGGCTGAGGTGTTAATTAAAGAAGGTGAGTCAGTGAATATGGTAATGCATCTTCACCACTGAACCTTCCTAAAGAATCGATGTTGGCTGGAGTACGAATAAGAGTGAAACAATGAAGCGTATTCTCTGACTGTTAGTTACAGTAGCTTAATTTGTCTGGCTAGGGTCTTCCTCAAGATACTAAGAACCAATAATACTAAAAAATAGGATATTATTTAGTCTGTTTAAGGCATGAATAATCCCCATCCAGACATTAATGAAAAAAAATGAAACAAATAGTTCAGTGAAGAGGCTCTTTTTGGCGAATTCACTTTCTACTTTAGCTGTAAAATCGCATTTATTATATACAATTTTTTTCCAATGAAAGAGGACAGTAACAATAGTGATGGTGAGTAGTCACAAGAAAACATAGTTGTCAATGTTAGTCAGTTCGCCTGTTGTTGCTGTTGAGACAGGTATATTGGTCGTTCCACACGTATCCTGTCTAACAAAGCTTCAAGGATACTATCTCACATGGTTGCAGAAAGGTAGTAGTGTGGCTCTATACGGAGTGCGATAATCGAACACCTCGTCAACACTCGTCATTCCATCTCAACAAACGACTCCTTCAAAGTAATCTACAAAGTGAAGAGTAACTTGTCAAAGGCAATACACCTTCGTCTCCTGTGTATTGTTGAGGCCCTAGCCATTCAGATAGAGAAACCCGAGTTATGCATACAAAATGAAATTACTGAACTAACTCTTATTACCATGGTAACAACCTTGTTGATTTCTACTAACTACTTATAACTCTTGTTTTTCTTTAGAACTCTTACATAATTCTATATTTTCCTTTGTTTCTATATACATCCTGATTACTACTCATTCATTCATTAAATTATTCATCTTATTACGTAACTCTAATACGGTCATTCAACTCCATTTTATACATTGACTAACATTAACAACCATGATAATGACAACTCATCACTTTTGTTATTACCCTCTTTCATGAAAAAGTTGTGGATGACTAGGATTGTACAGCTGAAGAGAAAAATGAATTCGCTGCGGAAATGCCCTCTTCGCCGGACTACATGTGTTTTGCTTTCATTAAAGCTTGTTTAAGAAAGAAAGTGGTATCACATAAGCTCTCTCTCATTATTAATTAAGGATGCCCCTGTTTTGTTGTATGAAGTCCTCTAGTGTATTATAATTTGTTAGGTTGTATATGTATGCTAACACTGATGGGGGAGGGGGTGGAAATAAACGTATAATTTCATATGATTAAATTTTTTTCTTCTGGTATTCGTTCACCTTATGACTAATTTTCATTTTTTTCTCTGATGTTTTCATATGTTTCTTTATGAAACTACTCGGATAGCCCATCTCCGTCAAGGAATCGTGAATATATTCAAATTCCTTTCGCAAGAGGTCATCCGTACATATCTTTCTTGCTCTCCTCGCAAGACATTTAACAACATTTCTTTTATATTTAATGGGCACGTAACTAAGGAAGTGTGTGTATTGCCCTGTGAATGTGCTTTTTCTATACACGCTTCTCCTAAGTGACCCATCTTCTCTCCTACTTAGCAAGACATCCAGAAAATGTAGTTTATTCTCCTGCTCCTCTTCACAAGTGAAGATAAGCGAAGGGTGGATGTTGTTGAATTTCAGCAACAATTCGTCTATGTTAACATTCCCATCAGCTAAGATAAATGTATCATCGAGATATGGGTAATACATATCAAACTCCTTGATGATGTCCTTCAATTTCCCGTTTTCAAGTTTGACGAGAAAGAAGTCAGCTAATATTGGGCCTAATGGTGAACCCATAGCTATTCCATCTACTTGTCGATAGTATGAATTATTGAAGAGAAAGTGAACATTCATTGTGCATTTAAGAAGTAATTCTTTGAGGCTACACATTTGTTTTTCTTTACAACCATATTATTGAAAATGTCAACTACGCCTTTCTTTTTTTCTTCTTTCCCTTCCCCCCTAATTTCTTAGGCTTTTTTAACTAATGTCCGTTTAAAGTTTATCGGTTTTCATGTAGCCAATGATACTGTTTCATTGGCTGGTCTACCTGAACCAATTCATGAAGCTGTACGTGTTATGCGTGAGCATATTTACGTGTCTTTGGGAGAAGTACAAATAGAAAAAGAAAATGAAATAGCTCAAAATCCTTTGTCTATGGTAAGTTATTTGTGTTATAAAAATGTTTTATATTACTACTACTGCTACTAATAATAATAATGATCATTTCGGGATTTCATTCTGAATTGATATCAGTTAGAGATGACCATTGGAAAACCTGCAGGGAATACTGGACGACTGTTTCGTCCCAGTCTGGGACTCTTCATCAGTATGCGGCCACTGAAGTTCCAAGCCTGGACCTTCTGGATACAAGGCAGTCTGCTTAAATCACTAGGCTACTGAAATTGCTTTCCACGAAAATTCTTAATTTCATCTACATTTATCATTGTGTTTAATCGTCCAGTTATATCAGATGACCTATACATGAACTTGCGCACTGATTTAACTTGCTTCAAAGTAAACGCTTTGCAATTCTTCAACGAAATGAAGATATACTTCAGATTATTACTTTACATGTAAATCCTGTATGAAGAAATTAGCCAAATGTCATCGATGGCGAGTATTTGTCTCCACACCTGCTGTATCCAGAAGGCTATGGGTCTGAACCTCTGTGGGTGCTTACTGTTGAAGAGTTCTAAGCTAGGACGAAATAGCTGTCCGGTACTCGCAGGTTTTCCAATGATCCTCTCTAATCGATGTCAGTTCATGATGAAATCCTGAAACCAATCAAATCCCTGCAGACCAACACTTGAATTATATAATGATTGTTACTATTATTCCCTTGTGTTTCGTCCGAGTGTGACAGAGGGCTTCAGCAGCACATCTCCATTTTATCCTTATTCTCTGCAGTCTTCTTTATTTGGCCTCATGATTCCTCATAGGCTCTCATCTCCTCCTGACATCATCACCTCCACGTCACCCTTGGATTAAAGCCTAACTGATCGGTTTCCATTCGGGTTCTGTTCGAGTGATAGCCTGGCATGCGCTATGTCATTCAATGGTCTTCTCAGCCTGTGTCCCATCCATCTCCGTTTTCTTCAGCTTATTTGTTGAGCAATAGGTCCTTGGCCGCTTCGGTCACAGAGTTCTTTGTCACTTATCCTTTCTGGTCTGCCATCTGATCTTCAGTATGAAGTTTTTGATGAAAGTTTACAGTGACACCTGTTTGAAATGCTTCTGGTGATGCATGTGCCAAGTTTCTGACTCATATAGATGAACTGACTTGACAGTGGTGTTGAAAATCCGAATTTTGTTCTTTATACTGAATGCAGAAGATTTTCAAACTGATTTCAGAGTGATGAAGGTGTGGATTGCCTTTCCGGTCTAGGTCTCGACATCGTCATCTGTACTGTCGTCTGTAGTTGAAACTATGCTGCTTAGATAAGTGAAGGAAGTCACGTGATTCATTGTTGGTTGATAATCTTCACCACCTCTGTCTTCTCTATAATTAACCTGAAGTTCTTCCTTCACTGCTCTGCCTTCATCTTCTGCCAATTTGTTGGTTTTCGCTTGTAGATCTTCGAGTTTGTGTGACATTTTACATTAATCATCCGTGAAGTCTAGATCTTGTAGAGTCTTGTAATCGGGGACCCGACGTATTCCTGTCTTCTTGCTCCCCACACTGTCTTGCAGAAAAATATATCTTCACCTCTTTTCAGTAAACACTATACGTATGTTTTAGGCTATAATGAAACGATTCTTCATTGCTTATTACTTCTACAGTAGAAGTGTAACAACAGAAGACAAGGGCCAGGAAACAGATCGTTTATTAAGGAAATCAACACATATTTATAGCTTTTCATGTACATCATTATAGTTTAGTTAAGCAAACAAACACAGTCTTCTTATTGGTTGTTTCTCACTTAAAGTTAATCTTTCATCGCTTTGTGACTGTTTCTTGAATGTCAGATCATCTATATGTTAACTGTATCCGCCTACGCAAAGTCTGCTGTGGTCGGTTTTGAATCAATCTTTGTTCACATTTTCTCACGACAAATCTTGAGAACGTAAACATTGACGTAAATTACTGTCTACCAATTTGGCTAGTAGACAGCTCTCACCACAGAAGGTCAATCCCAAGCCCGAATGCCATAGTGGTAACATCTCTGACTGCAGTGTTGAATGTCACGGGCTCGAATCTCAGAAGGGATGTGAGCTCGTCCAAGATTGCAGATACGCAAATACTGATGCGAGTCAACATCCTTGTAAACCTAGGTGTCTAAGACTTCCTGCCGATCACCTCTAACCGTGTAACACATCAATTCAGAGTGCAGTGTGATAGTAAACCATCTAGCATAATGAACACACTGTAAACTACTTGCCTAGTAGAATGTAGTCTGCACCAACACTCCAAGGACTAGATGCCATGACGTTAGTTGCTCTATCTGGTGACTAATCAAAGTATATTCATCATTGTATATATATGTGGATTTTTTGTTTTCATATTTCACACCTAAACTTAACATGCTGATTTTGAAAATATTCTTTTTCTTATTCTTTATACTACATCTAGTCAGGAGAGGCATTACCCGATACACCAGTTGAAAGGCTATATCGTGCTATGTATCCTATGCTACCTCAGTATATGGTAAATAATTATTGCTTCTTGTTCATTTTTGTTATGCGATTATTTATTTATTTTGTTTTGTTTTAAAAGACTGAATAATAAACAAAAACGATAATTCTTTTCCATAACTTCATCAGCTTTTGTTATTTATATGACATTTATATGTGTCTGTCTGTTTTCGACATAGAACTTTGCACATATGTGCGGCAGTTGAAGTCGCCACACTCCATGTAGCACACAAAGCAAGAGAAGAAAGTAGAAGAAATGCATAATAGTGACAGTAGACAGGGATATGAGACAAAGGAATAGTAGTAACGAAGAACAATATAGTTTCATTGGAAATCATAAGTCACAAGGAGTGGATGCATCTGCGCTAGCCATTGAGAACGATTTTCAGTCACCCATATCACCAATTGTCTCCAGCCGTCATTGGTTCTTACCATCCCGAGAACCCTAATCAGGAAGTCTGCACCTTCCTACGTGGCCAAGACTAACTGTTGTGGATTTCATTGACTGGTGCCATGTTTTCGTTTGACCACCGCTAGCTCTTTTCCAGCCTGGCCCTGTATCAGCTAACATTGCCCGTCGAGGAAGGCGATGACTAGGCATACGTAGCACATGTCCTAACCATCTCAGTCGATGTAATTTCACAGTTTCATCGACTGATTTCCCCTCCTTACCTAGCACTCGACCAAAGCCTAACCTCAATATTGCTCACCTTATTATACCACTTCACTCGGAAGATAGAACGCAGACACCTATGATCGAAGACAGCTAATCTTTAAATGTCTTCTGCTCTCAATGGCCAGGTCTCACAGCCATAAAGGAGGACGGAGCGGACTGATGAGCAGTACACACGCCCTTTGGTCGATAGTCGGATATCACGTCTACGCCAGAGACGGCGAAAACTGGCATATGCGAAACTAGCCCTCTGTACCCGTTGGGGCTGGCTTATGGTACTTCCCAAGTAAGTGAAGCGGTCAACGTGCTCTACCACTTCACTTCCTATTTCTAAACTAGGAGTCGGTGTAGTCCAATCCTGTAACATCACCTAACATTTTACAGGGGCGAATCGCATGCCAAACATACGAAGATTGTTGCTCAAGGTGTTCAGTAGACTCTGCATTTTTTCAGAGTCCTCGCCTAGAAGGACTATATCGTCCGCATATTCTAAATCAACGAGATTCTTCCCTGGTAGCAAGTCAATCCCTGAGTCGCTGAAGTGTGTTAGGGTTAAGTCCATTAGTACGTCTATGATGAAGTTGAATGGGAATGGGGATAATGGGCATCCTAGACGGACGCCACTAGTCGTTACCACTTTAGATGACAACTCGCTGTAAGCCCTCACCTGGTTGCATGAGTACGAGTTGAGTGCTTTAATAAGTGCAATGTATTTTCTCGGCATTCCCTTTACAGTCAAGCATCGCTAGAGAACCTCCTGGTCGGTGACATAGTGGTTAGGACTCTTGCTGACCATGCACATGTTGCGGGGTTCAATCCCTTGTTGCTTGTTATTAACAACCTTTGTTGCTGTTCTCAATTGACATTGAGTCAACAGTATCGATCAACGGTACTCTTCAAAAGCGTCGGTAAGAGGGAAAGAGAGGGATAATATACAAATCACATATAACACAGAATTTATGAACCTAAAGGCTCCACAGTAGGCCAGCCTAGCAATAGTGATCAGACGTGTTTCTTTTGCACACATGGAGCTCCAGTTGATTTAAGCGAATTGTAATGATATGTCCTGTTTTGGAGTGTTCGGTACGTGGGAGCCTTTGGTAATGTATTTGATACCTGGCAAATTATAGAGGAAGATTCTTTAATGTCAGCTTTGTGGCCTGTTTTCACGAGGTGGTTCAGTGTGAGAACTGTTCAAAGTTTTGACAGCACCTTTTTTGTTAACCACACTTTTAGGTAGGTGTTTTTTCAGGGGATGAAAAGTTCCTAGAGCAACAGCCTATATAACTGGCTGCTGTACACAAGGAGTAGTTGAATTAACAAATATAATTACAGGTGGCTAGCCTACGTACATCATCTGCCAGTTTCGCAATCACGATAGGTTGTGTGGAGAATATGAAACTGCAGCTTTCGAAGCGATTTCTTCAAATTGTTGGTAATTATTTCACTTTGTATATCCCCTTTGAATTGTAGTCGTAAATAAATAAAGGCCTCTTGTTAACAGATATAGAAGAATTCCTTTCCACTTCAATTGTCGTAGTTTATGGTGCAATGTAGTGTAGTGAAATATCGTACAGTTCATTTTGATTTGCGTCTTTTTAATGACGAAGTTATACTGTGACACCAACAACACTAAATTGTGTGTATACATTTCATCCAACAGTACATAAACAAACCATCATGTTAAATGTTAGCGGCCTCCTTAAATCATTGGTCTAATTAATTTTCTCCACAGAGCACACTAGGTCAAATTTACTCAAGTATACTTTGTTTTGTTGTTTAATGAATTTTATTTCGTGCCTATCGATCAAAGAACGTGTGTACTGCGCAGAAGTTTACTCTTTTCTGCTCTGAGGCTGAGACTTCGCCACTGTCAGTAGAAGACATGAAAAGACTAACTGTCTTCGATCATAGGTTGTGAAGCTACATCGATTGAGATGGCTAGGGCATGTGTTATGCATACCTCCTCAGCCATCACCTTCCTCTAGGTGGCAGTCTTAGCTGACACAGGGGGTTATGATGGGAAAGAGAGTTAGGGTGGTAGTCAAACCAAAACTTGATATCAGTTTTTGAACCACGTGGGGAGGTGTAGATTGCCTGGTTAGGGTCCTCAGGATCCTAAGAACCAACTGTTATAAAGATTGCTAGTGATATGGCTCAAAATTGTTGTCAGTAGCGCGGATACATTCACTCTTTGTGATATCTTACATCCACTGAACCGTCACGTTTTTCCATGTTACTATTCTTTCTCTCGTTCATAATTCTGCTAATTATCCTTCCTTTGAATATCTGTTTCCATCTCTCTCTCTCTTTTGTCTCCCTTTGTGTGCTACATGGAGTGTGCCAACTTGAACTACTGCACTTCTGTATAAAAATCTATGTTGAGACGAATCAGTCAGTCAGTTCCTGCAAGAGGATTTTCATGTTCCAGGCTGTTAACCATACCGATGTGAGGATTTGAACTCAGGACCGATTAGCTGAAAGTCAAGTGCTTAAACCAATGAGTCACGTCTCCATACTTTGTTTTAATTGTTCATTTGCCTGTTTGAAGAACAGCCTATGTACTGATGCTCACTTTTAAATGGTAATCAAAGGAAAGTAGGCATAAAAAATGCCTAAAACTGCACAGTATTGATTGTGATTGAGATGAGTAGTTGTATGTTACTCACATCAACCTGGCTGGCTGGATTCAACATAGAACTTGACACCGAAGCGCAACGGTTCGAGTTGCCACGTTCCAAATAGCACACAAAGGTAGACAAGTAAATGAGTGAGGAGAATCAATAGAGTTTTGACAAGTATAAGAGTGAAACAGAATGAGTAATGGTAGAAAGGAGTATGAAGTTTAAAGAGACTGAATACATCTGCGTAAGCCATTGACAACGATTTTGAGCCATGTCACCTATTGTCTCCAGCCATTGATTCTTAGAGTCCCGAAGGTGGGCCCCAACCTGGAAGTCTGCATCTCCCTACCTGACTCAGTTTAACTGTCAAGGATTTCATGGATTGATGCTATGTTTTCGTTTGGCCACCACTTACTCTTTTCCAACCTGCACCTATATCAGCTAGTAATGCCCGTCCGTCGGTGGAGGCGATGGTTAGGCATGCGCAGCACATGACCTAGCCATCTCAATCTATGTAACTTTATAGCCTCTTCGATTGATTTTCCCTCTTTGCCCAACACTCTACGCCTAACGTCAACTTTACTTACTTTATTATACCACCTAACGTCGTGATAAAGAGATCGTAGACATCTATGATCAAATTCAGTCAACCTTTACATGTCTTCAATTCGTATTGGCCATGTTTCAGAGCCATAGAGAAGGACGGAGCAAACTGCTGAGCAGTACACACGTCCCTTGGTTGACAGTCGGATGTCACGCCTACGCCAGAGATGGTGTAAGTTAGCGAAAGCAGCCCGAGCTTTTTGGATCCGTGCTGAGATTTCGTCACCAATCAATCCGTGGGTGCTGATAGAACTTCCCAAATAGGTAAAGTGGTCAACATGTTCTATCACTTCACTCCCTATCAACCAGTAATTGCTTGCTAACTGAGTCAAACTAAGTACACGGCTGATTAGCTCAGTCTTAAACGAACGAAACCTCTGTTTGGTGCTTCGATCACTTTGATATGGCTGGCCAGTAAGCACTACTTTTTCCATAGAATAAACCAAGTTGAAAGTTCTCTATTGTATATACTTATGTTGTTCAGAATCAAGCTGTCAATGTGGTGGAACATTGAATGAGCATCATATGGTTTGTTTATTCGGACAAATCGCCATCTGGTGGGAAAGAACATTGGCTCGTGGCCTTTGCCTAATCATACTCTGGTTGGTCGAAGACTAGAGGAAATCGATCAGAAGTGTTATTGTGGTTTACATTAACGTCTTTATTCATAGACTTTGTACCGTGTAACCCTGTTGTTCTGCTTCATTATCGGTGAAGAAATAAACGGTCTTCGGATTGCCAATCTATTTTTTGATATTCTCACCCCGGTTACCGCAACGATTAGTCGTCTTCTGGAATCAGCTCTTCGTATTCAGGATATTTTCTGACGTGGATATTTGACACAAGCTTTTATTCAAGTATTGGTTTGTAGGGATTTGGTTGATTGGTTACAAAATTTCATCATGAGCTGACATTGGTTAGAGAACCATTGGAAAACCTGGGACTACTGGACAGCTGTTTCGTCCTAGTTTTGGACTCTTCACAGTACACACCCACTGGGATTCGAACCCAGGACCTTCAGCTAGGTAGTTACCTGGGTGACCAGTAGGGTGCAGCAGGTCGAGTGTGAAGACAAATACTCGCCGAAGACATTGGCTAGCGGTTGCGCTATATCATGAATTGGCAGAAGTTAGAATTCATGGGCCGTTAATCGGGCCCCAGTGGCTTAATGGTTTACGAGGTCGCCTTGTAATCAGAAAGTCCTGGGTTCGAACCCCGGTGGGTGCGTACTAATGGAGAGTCCCACACTAAGACGAAACAGCTGTCAAGCACTCTCAGGTTTTCCAGTGGTTCTCTAATTGATGTCAGCTCATGATGAAATCCTGTAAACAAGCTGTTATTATTATTACTATTATCAATACTTTCGCTTTGTTGAATTAAAATCAATAAACTTATAATGTTGTCGTCTGTTGTATTCTTTCCCTCTCCACTCTGTATATAAACATATATATACATGTATAGATTGCTTTATTGAAGATTCTCTTAGCTGCTAGTCCTACATCTCGTACAAAAAACGAATCGATCGATATATTGGGTGAAATAACACCTGAAGAAACACGGTAAGTCTATACAGTTTTTCTTTTTCTTTTTTCAAAGTGATGGATACAAGTAAACCGTAAAGTTACCCTTTTTTATGTGAATTCTGACATAACAATAAGCAGGAACCAATCTATCTGAAACGTGTAAGGTGTGTATGCATTTATTGTGACTCTTATTTCAAACATTTTGATCGTATACAAGTGCTTGTCACATACACATTTATAAAATTAAAGGTAAAAAGAGTATGCAGCGCCAGAAATTGATCAGAGTAGGTTAAAATGTTTCCAGGTCACGATCACAGATTAGAGGTTGACAAATGAAGGAAGAAAAATTGGGTGTGAAAATATTGATATAAGTATCAAACTCTGGCTCTGTAGTACAACAAAAAACCTAAACGATGAAATGAAACAGATAGAAGAAGAGGCGTTCGTGTTAAATAACTATCCTATAAAATTCATTACGAATATCATAATTGGTCAAAAGCAAAATAAAATTAATTGTGAAACTGATAATGATAACATAAATAAGAAAGAATATAAGACATCTACAGTTTTATCAAATAAGGATGGGATGTCTGAGACCCAACGTAGGATTCTCAATAAATCAGGAATTCGGGTAGTGGCATTCAAACCTAGAAACTCACTCACAAGTTCTGTAGGCTAAGGACCAAATAAAACAAAATAATATAATTTACAAAACACCTTGCAATGACTGTGAGGTCAACTACTTAGGTCAAACTAGTAGGTCGAGGATATTCAGATTGTCGGAACATAAGAATTTAGCTGAAGTAAGAATGATTGACCCGGCGAGGATAAGTAATTTAGAAAAAAACTCAGCAATCTCACTGTATGCATTAACACATAACTACACAATAGGGTTGGTGGGACAAAGTCGAAATTCTAAGAAGTAATCTAGGTAAGTGGAGAGAGAGGTTGATTACCGAATCCTTGTTCATCGAGTCTACACACCCAACACAACACATACAATAGAAGTGACTCAACGCAAATACCAGAGATACGGAAAATATTATTGTCACCAGTCAAATCAGAGAATAATAAATAATATTAAAATGTATTCAATTCACATCATGACATTCTAACAAGTTATTTATTGGTTTTACTATAAAACATTTAATTTTCCATCTGACTGATTGAATATACATTATCTTATATTGAGTCTATTCAAATGTCTAATCATCAGTGTTTACTCATGTATATTAAAGGAAGCAAGAAAGTTGTGTGAGTAGCGCCTTGTTATGATTATGGGTGGCAATAATTTGTCCACGAAACGTCGTCATCAGTAAAAATATTACTGTAAAGTAACGCGCTGTATGTGAAAATGTTATCAAGTAAACCGAATTCCTGAATTTACAATTTACACAATTCAAAGAGAGTGAAATTTCACCACAGCGTTTGCTTTGGAACTCAAAATTATTCAAATCACAGTGTATATTGGGTGTTGTTCTGCTTGATACCATAAAAATGATGGTAATTAATGCGTCGTTGGCATAGCGGTTGGGACGCTCGCCGACCATGTACATGGTCCGGGGTTCTATTCCCGGCCGACGTACACTTGATACGACCTGCTAAATTTGGGCTATGGATATCGCATGCTGAAAATTCCATGCTTGTATCAAAAATACTGTGTGGAGTCAGGCTACAACAAAAATAAAAAAAATAAAAAAGTACAAATGCGTAAAACTCTATGTACTTACTACTACTACTACTACTGTAACAACAGGAGACAAGGGCCAGGCAACAGATCAGTTTTATTACGAAAACCAACAGGTATTTATATGTATTTTACGTACATTAATAGGCTTCTGCTCGCAGAAAGAAGGCGGTCTTCTGATTGGTTGTTTGCAAACAAACGCAGTCTTCTGCTTTCTCGTTTTCGATATTTCTCGGAAATGCGAGCCACTTGTCTGCGAATCATATTTGTCCACGTCTAGGTCAGCTGTGATCGGTTGTTGAATCAGCCTAGATTAATTTCTACCAATCAGCGTAGATCAATGTCTACCAATTGGCTAGCAGCTTGCTCTCACCACACTACTACTGTAACAACAACAACTACTACAACAACAACAAGGGCCAGGCAACAGAACGTTTATTACGGAAAATCAACACATATTTATAGATTTTAATGTACATTATTGTAGGTTAATTTTAGTAGAAAATACAGTCTTGTGATTGGTTGTTTCTCACAGAAAGTTAACCTTGCATCTCTTGTGGCTGTGTCAGTTCATCTATATGTTAACTGTATCCGCCTGTCCACCTTGACCTTGTTTTCACATGACTAACATTGACCTCAATTACTGTCAACCAATTTGGCTAGCAACCATCTCTCACCACACTACTACTACTACTACTACTACTGTAACAACAGAAGACAATGGCCAGGCAACAGATCGTTTATTAAGGAAATCAACAGATATATATATATATATATATATATATATATATATATATATATAGATTTTCAAGTACATTATTATAGATTATTGTAAGCAAACAAACACAGTCTTCTGGTTGGTGGTTTCCTCACTGAAATTAATCTTTCATCTCTTTGTGGCCGTTTCTTGAAGTTCAGATTATCTATCTGCAAATCGTATCCGCCTACGCAAAGTCTGCTGTGATTGGTTGTTGAGTTAGTCTTTGTTCGTATTTTTCTCACGACCAATATTGGGGACGTAAACATTAACGTAAATTACTGTCTGCCAATTTGGCTAGCAGCCAGCTATCACCACACTACTACTCACTGATTGAGATGAGTAGTTGTATACCCCTCTCATCAATTAGGAGTGCTTGGCGATCGGACTGACTGTTCATTGATATTGATATTCAACTTGTACAGATTAAATCTCCATTCTGTATATATCAGAGCTTAAACACTAGTCTTTATATTTATTATCATTATTTTTCCCTTGGGTTCCGCTCGAGTGGAACATAGGGCCTCAAAAGCCCTTTGTCCGGTCTTTCTGCAGTCCTCTTCATCTGGCCCAACTATTGCCCTGTAAACTTTCATTTCTTCCATCTCACTGTTGGACACACGCTCAACTCGTCGTTTCCCCTTCAGATACACTTAAGGACCTGGTGCGCGATATTATTCGATCATCTCCTCAGCGTGTATCCTATCCATCTCGATTTTCTTCAACATATTTGCTGGGCAATAGGTTCTTGGTTTGTTCTCCACCTCAGAATTTCTTCTTGCTAATTCTTTCCGACCGGTCATTTGATCTTCAGTATGGAGAGATAGCCAAGACAGTTGTTGATAAAAAATTGTAGTAAATAGCCTGTTGGAAATGCTTTCCGTGGCGCGATCGCGAATCCTCTGAACAATATGGGAAAACTGACTTGACATTGGTGTTAGGAATCCGAATTTTATCCTTTATGCGAAGTTTAGAAGACTTCCAAACTGATTTCAGAGCCGTGAAGGTTTGCGGTTCCCGTTTTGACATCTTCATCCGTACTGTCGCCTGCAGTTGAAACGATGCTGCCTAGATTAGTGAAAGAAGTCACGTCTTTCAATTTTCCCCCTTTGGTAGTGGTTGGTGCTTGTTATTGTTTGTTGACTTGAAGTCTTTGTTGTCTGCCTCTTCTGCTAGTTCATTGGTTTTCATCTGTAAATCTTTGAATTTATATGACAGTAGAAATAAGTCATCGACGAAACCCAAATTTTCAAGAGTCGTGTAGGGTCCAGCGTATTCCTGTCTTCTAGCTCCTCACTCTAAATCTTCTTCGTAACCCAGTGCACTGCAGTTAAGAGTGTAATCGGTGGTAGTAGGAAGGTATCCTTGTCTTACTCCTGTTTTTCCCTTCCAAAACGGCTTCGCTGAGTTTTCCATTGTAGATCACCTGATATGTGGCATTGTCATATAGCTAGCTGTTGAATGAGATTGATAAAAGATTAGGGGCGCGCCATAGTGTTGAAGTGGTTATTGATATAAGTATAAAACGTGGGCACTGTGGTAGAGTATAACTCCATCATAGATAAGATTTTATTTTGATAAATTACACAGTGTCTGTTGTACAGTAATATTAACTGATGACGTTTCGAGCACAAACTATTGCTCATAATCATATCAAGGCATTACTCACGCAACTTTTTACTACATTTATATACATGTGTGGAATCGATTAGATATTGGAATAAAATCAAAATAGGATAATGCACATTCGTAAATAATAATATGAGTGTTATCAATAAAATACAATCAGATGGAAAATAAGACGATTGTTTTTATAGTTATAATAAGCAACTTGTTAGAATGTTGTGTTATGCTTGAATTGAAATAGAATTTTAAGATTATTTATTATCCTTCTCTGATTTGACTGATGGTAATAACATCTTCCATGTCTCTGGTATTTGCATTGAGTCATTTCTGTTTCATGTGTTGGGTGTAGACTGGATGAGGCAGCATTCAGTAATCATTCTCTCTCTCCAGCTGCCTATATATATTTTTCCTTCACGTTCTCCAGTGGAACAAGCTAGTGGCTTGAAGTTTCTGTAACAGTGTTTATTTTACAGGATGGGGTTGCTAGCCTCATGTCCAACCTTTCCTCTTCACCAGCCTTATTTCTGGCTTGGCGAGGTAAAGGAGTGCGTCGGCCGGGGGTCGAACCCCAGACCATGTGCATGGTCGGAGAGCGTCCTAACCGCTATGCCATCGACGCACAGCTACCTATATTAGGCTCTAGAATTTTACTCTGTCCAACACAGCCTATTGTGTGGTTGTGTGTTAATGCATGCAGTGCGATTGCTGAGCTTTTTTTTCTGTAAATTACTCATCTTCGTGGGATCAACCATTCTCACCTTAGCTAAATTCTTATGTTCCGATAATCTGACCACTGTCCCGATCTACTAGTTTTACCTATGTAGCTGGGTCCACTGTGTCCTTTAACCTACAGAGCTTGTCCTTGAGTGCGTTTGAAGGTTTGAATGCCACCACTCTAATTCCTGCTTTATTTAGAATCCTACGTAGGGTCTCAGATGTACCCTCTTTATATGGCATAACATTGGATGACTTATTTTCTTTCTTATTTATGTTACCATTACTAGTTTCACAATTATTTTTATTTTGCTTCTGATCATTTTTGATATTCCTAATGAATTTTGTAGGATAGTTATTCAACACCAACGCTTCTTCTATCTGTTTTATTTATTCATTTAGATCTTTTCTTGTACTACTTAGTGCTACTTCTCGGTTTGTTAGACACTTAACTAAGCCTGCCTTCACAAACAGACAACGGATGAGATGAATTAAAGTCTAAATGTCTATTAGAATGCGTTGGTATTTTTTTTATAAATGCTAGAATGTAGTTTACCTTCTTTTCGTTTTATTTTACAATCTAACATAGCTAATTCTCCTTGTTCATTTTCCGATTCAAATGTAAATTTTATTCCCTCCACTAAAGAGTTAATATGTGTCAAAAAGCTAGAGATATGTTGTGTTTTTAACACTGGGAAAGTCCCATCCACATACCTCCACCATTTTGTTGGAGTAGTATTAGGTGTATTGAGAGCACTATCTTCCCAGCTGTCCATAAATATGTCTGCTACGATAGGGGATATTGATGATCCCATCGCTACACCATCTGTTTGTTAATATATTTTGCCCTGGAATTTAAAGATAGTAGATTTGAGGCATAACTGAATCCCTAAAATAATTTCTTCAGTGGGCAGCTTTGTCGTATGGATGAGTTCAGGGTCTGAAGTTAGTTCTCTTTTAACTGCATCTAAGGCCATACTGATGGGTATATTAGTATAAAGACTAGTTATATCAAAACTAACCATTGTTTCATCATTCTCTAGTTGAATGTCATTTAGTTTACTTTTCATCTCATATGAATTAATTAGTCTCGAGTTTGAACGATTTCTAATGGAGCATGTTGAAGTGGTTTCCTAATTACTTTTCGGCCAGCATTGTCGAAGGCGTTTTCAAATTCAATGAAATTGAGTGAGAGGTTTTGACTGCCATTCTATGCCGTCATATAAGGTATGTGAAGAGATGATCATCTACACAAAATTACCACCAAATAGGGGAGAGATGGGTTTGACGTCATTGGAGACTAAACGAACCCGTATTGTGGGGAAACATTTGAGATACACGAAAAGAAGACAAAGAAACTCATCACGAAGGGCAGAAGTAGTAGGACAGCACGGAAGATCTGTGTACAAACGACAATTTTATTACATGCTAAACATAATTTCCCTATATGTGTGTATATCAAACTGTAAATAAACATTCCCATTACCAACGTCTCGTGTATTCTGCCGTTACACACCGGGATACAAGTAAAAACGAGGCATATCTGATGCAATTATTATTATTGTTCCCTTGGGTTCCTAGTGGAATATCGGGCTTCAACTGCACATCTCCACTTGATTCTGTCTTCTGCGGTACTTTTCACTTGCATCCATGTTATTCCATACTGTTTCAACTCCTCTTCACACGATCTCCTCCATGTCACCCTTGCACCGACGAACCACTCGCCACTTCCCTTTCGGGTTCCACTCGAGCGATGGCCTGACCTGCGATGTCATCCAGCGGCCTCCTCAGCGAGTGTCCAATCCATCTCCACTTTCTCCTGCATATTTGTTGAGCGATTGGTTCTTGTTTTGTTTGTTCCCATAGTTTCTTGTTGGTGATTCTTTCCGGCTATCTGATCTTGAGTATAGAGCCAGCGAAGACAGTTGTTGATAAAGGTCTGCAACAGGCTGTTGGAAATATTCGTTGTGATCCACCAAGTTTCTGATCCGTATAGAAGAACTGACTTGATGTTTGTATTGAAAATCCGAATTTTATTGTTGATGCTGAGTGACGACAAATTTCTGATGCAATAGGGGCCACATTTTTACTAGCGTAAAATTATGACAAAGAGTTTTTGTATGTCTAATCTTAAAATCTGCTGTCCAGTTACGATGTTATGGAGAAAAAAACACTTAGTTCTATATACGGGAAAGTAGACTTTATCACCAATCCAGTTGAAAAGTTTATCATGAATAGGATTTTATATTTCTTGTTTTTTTATATTTTCTCACTCTTTCTCTTGATTATTCCCTTCATAGAATGAATACTGGTCACGAAGCAACTATATTTAATGTTGATATTAATCGTCATCGTGAAATTATTGTTAAAGCTATATCTGGTTTATTGTTATTAATACTGAAACAATTCAAGCTAAATCATATTTATCAAGTGAGTTCAAGCCTTTTTTGAGGTTGTGTTTTTTCTGTAGCTGTAGTGTTATTTTGATTATGTGTACAACTTGAACACTGTGGTAGTGGTGTTCATAGTCTGGGGGAGAGAGCTCCTGAGTGCTTCCACCACAGGATAAAATTGCAGGCTGTTCATGGTCAAGAGACTGGGATCACTATGATCAATTCCCCTGGGAACCAGCATATAACTGTTCAGTCAACGGGTGAATCATCAGATAGTGTTATGTGTTCTCCGGAGTGAGTTTGCCAACCTTCCACTTAAACCTTCCCTCTTCTACCGAGCCTACTATGAGTTAGTAAATTAAGCAAAGTTTAGGAGAGTGAGTAAGCTGAGAATTGAACCTAGACCACATTGACTCGTTGGGGAACTTTCTTCTTCCACTGAGCCAACGACTTTATTTATTTCCTTTGTGTTCAGCTTTGAAGTTGCAGCAACGGTGATGCTATTTTTCTTTACTGAATGAGGGGGTTGGGTGGTATGGTTAACAATCTCACCCCTGTTAAGATAAATTACCATCAACACAGCTACTGTTGAAATTTCAAGACTTCAAACTTGGGCACCCCTCTTTTTCACTCAGAACTCAAAGGAATGAAAAGAAAAAGAAACAACTTCACATTGAAGTAAATGCTAGAACAGAATGTTGTCTAGAAGGACTATGAAAGCTTTGTGCCTATATCATACAGCTCATGAGGAACACAATCATATCCATCTCAAGGATTGACTTGCTACCAGGGAATAATCTCGTCGACTTAGAATATGCGGACGATGTAGTCCTTCTAGGCGAGGACGCTGACAAAATACAGAGTCTTCTGAACACCTTGAGCAGCAATCCACGAATGTTTGACATGAAATTTGCTCCCGCGAAATGCAAGATGGTGTTACAGGACTGGAATACACATGATTCCTAGTGTAGAAATAGGGAGCGAAGTGGTAGAGGACGTTGACCGCTTCACTTATTTGGGAAGTACCATCATCCCCAACAGGTTGATCTCTGACGAAATCTCAGGACGGATACAGAAGGCTAGTTTCGCATATGCCAGTTTACGCCGTCCCTGGCGTAGACGTGATATCCGACTATCGACCAAAGGTCGTATGTACTGCCCATCAATGCGTTCCGTCCTCCTTCATGGCTGTGAGACCTGGCCATTGAGAGTGGAAGACATGAAAAGACTAGCTGTCTTCGAACCTAGGTGCCTGCGCTCTATCTCCCGTGTGAAGTGGTATAATAAGGTGAGCAGTATTGAGGTTAGGCGTCGGTCGAGTGCTAGGTAAGGCGGGGAAATCAGTCGACGAGACTGTGAAGTTACATCGACTGAGATGGTTAGGACATGTGTTACGTATGCCTAGTCATTGCCTCCTTAGACGGGCAATGTTAGCTGACACAGGGTCAGGCTGGAAATGAGCTAGCGGCGGTCAAACGGAGGCATGGCACCAGTCACGTAAGAAGGTGTAGACTTCCTGGTTGGGGTCCTCGGGACGGTAAAAACCAATGGTTGGAAACAATCGGTGACATGGCTCAAAATCGTTCTCAATGGCTAGCGCAGATGCATCCACTCCTTGTGACTTATGATTTCCAATTAAACTGTTTTGTTCTTCGTTATTACTATTCGTTTGTCTCACACCTCTGTTTACTGTCTATATTATGCATTTCTTCTCTTGGTTTGTGTGCTACATGGAGTGTGGCGACTTGAACTGCTGCACATCAGTGCGAAGTCCTATGTCGGAAACAGACAGACAGACTATCTGAAGCAGAAATCTTCTCCAGTATTTTGAAATCCATCTAATTTTTATTAATATCGTAAAAATTGCCATTCAGACATTTAGAAGACAAATATAAAAATTCGAGGAATCCGACGATAAACGCGCCTTATGTAACTGGCTCTACACGATCAATCATTGAAATTGATGGATACACATAGAAAAGGTAAAATTAATGTAGTTCACCTGTTACTCTTGAATGTAAAATTTGGGGATGGTTTTGAAGGAACAGCGTATTTCACAGTGGCATTGAATGTTATTTTTAAGCGTTATGTTATTATTATTTCACTGATGTTATCACTGAGGAACTGATATTTGTAAAGAACAAGGCATCTTTTGGAACTATTGGTGGTACCTTGGCTTGCTGTGGCCTTTGAATCAAATTCCTGTCGATGAATTTTTCTGGGTAACCACTTTCACTCAGTAACTTCAACTAAGACGTCTCCATCACTATTTTCACTTTCATCGAAAGAAGACACATCAACTGACTGGTCTCCTGAAGGCTTTCATCGGCCCACGTTATTTCTCCTCCCCGATTCCAGCGAAAAATACTCTCCATTGTAAATTATTTAAGTTTGTTTTTATGTTCTTTTAAATATTTCTCTTGTATACTGAAGTTTCCACAGGAGTTAAATTGATTTTCCGATCTCCACACGCTGAGGAGACCGTCGAATGACTTCGCTCGAGTGGAACCTAAATGGAAAAGGTCGAGTGGAGCGTCCCAGGGGGACACCGAGGAGATGAAAACTAAACAGGACTGTGAAGAATAGGAGAAAGTGGAGATATGCTGTTGTAGCCTTACGCTCTACTCAGAACCCAAGGGGACAGCAATAGTAATAAGACATTCATTAGAGCAGATTGCTTCTAGCTCTGTAGACCAAACACTTTATTAGATTGCCTTTGTATTTCAAGGATTCACTGCTCAAAAAAATGAGTATTATTCAGCATACTAATAATTTGTTATCATTCTGTTTTTCCCCCTTCTTCAGTTTGAATATGTATCACAATATTTAGTTTTTGCCAATTGTATCCCGCTAATTTTGAAATTTTTCAATCAAAACACTTGTCTTTATGTACAAGCAAAAAATACGTGAGTCACGCTTTTCATTGATTTATTCATTTATTTATTTGAAGTAATTTCACATTTTATTCTGTATGTTGAAGTGATTCACTAATTAAACACAATTTCTGTTGAATGAGAAACGAGACAAAATGTATGAACATTGCTCCCATAAAATGACCTGGTACTTTTGATAGTGAGCATACTTTGGTCCTCCACTCAAAATGCTCTCTCTCTTTCTCATGTAGGCATGGGTTCATGGCCTCTACTAAAAGTAAGTCGTATTCACTGCCTTCCTGCTCCAGGAGGTGTTCCTCACAAAAGTGAAATGGTGAATTAGGATGTTTGACACTTACAGTTGGAACTGGTGAACGTGGTGATGTACTTGGGGGCGGGGGCTGGTAAGACCTGAACCCTAAACGTATGGTCTACATGGGCTCGAGAATCCGATTGGATTGAATGATGTATGAACTTGTTTTGGTAACCGGCGATCATGGTGACGCTGCTGCTTCACTACCTTGCGCATTGGACTTCAATTCAAAGGTTCAAGAGAGTTGATTCCTTTAAAATAAACCGCCTACTTCAGTTTGGGCGTCCGGACAGTTTCCTGGCCGTCTCACAAACTGACTGACTGGTTTCAACGTAGAATTTTGCACAGATGTGCAGCAGTTCGAGTTGCTACTCCCCCTCCATGTAACACACAAAGCAAGGGAAGAAATTAAAGAGAGATTCAAAAGAGAGACAATAAAAAGAAGTGTTATTGAGAGAAAAAGAATAGTAATATAGAAGAACAATAGAGTTTTATTGAATATAACAAATGATGGAGATTGAATGCGCCTGAGCCATTGAGAACAATTTCGAGACATCATCTATTGGTTCTAGCTATTGGTTCTTTCTTAGAAGTCTTAGGACTCTAACGAGACCGTCTGCACCTCCCTACATGGTTCAAACTAAGTGTTGAAGATTTCATGAACTGATGTCATGCTTTGGGTTGACCACAGCTAACTCTTTTTCAAACTGACCCTATGTCAGCTAACACTGACCATCGAGGAAGGCAATGGCTCTCGGTATGTGCCAGACATGCTCATCTCTTGTTGGGTATAATTTACCAAGTCGGTGTTTTAGTCATAATAATGATTATTATTGTGATAATTGGCGGTGGTAAGACGAAAATTTACGTCATGGTAGGCTTGAAATCAGCTAGACCAGCTGAGCGACGAAAATTAACTTCTCGGCATTAGTCATTCCTGACTGCTTTGTAAATGAGTTTCATGTTACCGTGTTTGCGTGTGTGTGTGTGTTTAGTGTCACCTCACTGACTTCTCAACTACTAGGTCTTCTGTCAATTTTGATAATACAAAGAGAGTAAGTTTTCAACTGGTTTGTGAGATTATCTGACAAACTTGGGCTGGCAGAATGCTGTGGAAGTAGTGTGTTTTTGTTATTGAAAGTGAAATAAGTGGCTTCCATTATGGGTAAATTTTCTTTTGATAGAGTCTCACAGTGTTATACAGTAATATTTACTGATGACGTTTCGAGCACAATTTATTGCTGCTCATAATCATATCAAGGTAATCACACGACTTACTAAATTCACTTATATAGTTCCATTGTTTTTCACTTGATTTGATTGGTAGTAGTATTTTCCATATTTCGGTGACTAATCATTCCTATTGCATGTGTTGGGTGTAGATTCGATGGACAAGGATTCAGTAATCAACCTCTCTCTCCACCTACCAAGATAACTTTTTAGAATTTTAACCCTCTCCCACCCTATTGTGTGGTTGTGTGCTAATGCATGCAGTGCTATTGCTGAGTTTTCTTTTTCTAAATTACTTATCTTCTCTGGGTCAACCATTCTTACCTTAGCTAAATTCTTATGTTCTGACAATCTGACTATCCCTGACCTACTAGTTTGACCTATGCAGTTAACCCCACAGTCATTGTAAGGTATTTTGTAAATTATATTATTTTTGATTACTGAATCCTTGTCCATCGAATCTACACCCAACATATGCAATAGGAATGATTAATCGCTCATACCCGAAATATGGAAAATACTACTACCAATCAAATCAAGTGAAAAACAACGGAACTATATAAATGAATTTAGGAAGTCGTGTGATTACCTTGATGTGATTATGAGCAGCAATAAATTGTGCTCGAAACGTCATCAGTAAATATTACTGTATAACACTGTGAGATTTTATCAAAAGAAAATTTACCCATCATGGAATTAAACTCTACCACAGTGCACAAGTTTTATTCTTATATCAATGAAATAAGTGGCGGTGACTCGGGATGTGTGACACATGTGCTAGCCATTTCAGTTGATGTAACGTCACAACCTCATCGTGCATTGATTTCCCCTACTTACCTAGCAATCGATCGAAGCCTAACCTCAAATATTACTCAGCCTCTTATTCCACCCAATACAGGAGACAGAACGCAGACAGGTATGATCAAAGACAGCCAGCCTTATCATGTTTTCATCTTTCAGTGGCCGTGTCACACAGCCATAAAGGAGAACGGAGCGAACTGCTTCTCAGTACACACATCCTTTGACCAATAGCCGGAAATCACATGTACATCAGAGATGATGTAGGTTGGCATGTGCCAAACCAGCCTTCTGTATCCATACTGAGATTTCGTAAGCTACCAACCTGCTGGGGCTGATGCAACTTCCCAAAGAAGTCAAGTGGTCAACACGCCCCCCCCCTCAACCCTCTTTAAGCTAGATGTGAGTCGATGTAGTCCAGTTACTCTTGTAGCATCATCCTACATTTGACAGGAGCCAATCGCATGCCAAACAACTAAAGATCGTTACTCAAGGTGTTCAGAAGACTCTGCTGTATTTTGTCAGCGTCTTCACCTAGGAGGGGCGACTATATCATTCCCATATTCTATCCTAAGTCAACGAGATTATGCCCTGACGATAACAAGTCAATTGCTGAGCTACTGAATTCACTGTGAAGAAAATATATCCTAGTCACCCCAATTAGTGAAGAAAAAAAGTATTGATCGATATGCTTATTCTTATGAAGGGTAACTAACACTCAATGTCTAATTTCAAAATTACTCACTTCGTGATCAAGAAAATATATACAATTTTCCACTGATAAAACAAAGTAGAACTTCATTTAATAAAAGATTGAAATTATTATTCCCTTGGATTCAGAGTGGAGCATAGGGTTTCGCAAACACATCTCCATTTTGTTCTATTATCTGTCAGCCTCTTCTGCTGCCATAATCTCTCATCTCCTCCTTGCCACACGATCTCCTCCATGTCACCCTCACACCGACGACACACTCGTCATTCGCCATTCGGTTTCCACTTGAGTGATGGACTGCAGCGCACGCGATGTCATTCGACGGCCTCCTCAATGTATGCTCGATCCATCTCCATTTCCTCCAACATATTTGTTGAGCGATCGGCTCTTGGTTGGTTCGTCGCCAGCCAGAGTTTCTTGTTACTTATTCTTTCTGGCCATTTGATCTTCAGTATAGAGCGAAGGCAGCTATTGATATCTATACATTTATTGCGTACACTTTTATGATTCCTTTGCATTCGGAGCGGAACATAGGACTCGAAGCTTCACCTCAGAAGTTTCAGTAGTACTAGAAGTGTTGTTGCTTTCTGTACGCGGTGGAGTATGGTCGCTAGTCTCACTCCCAACCTTTCTATTTTACATTAGAACAAAATTGATGAATGCGTCGTTGAACTCCAGGACCTCATGTCTGATCTATCTGAGTATTTCTACTATTGCACCTTTTATACACGTAGTCATTTTTAATTTAAGGGATGAACTATTTTTTTGTTGGTTTTCAATTTTTTTCCTTCATTTTACGTTTGTTTTTAAAAAAATTCTCTTTTTAGCATTTCATGTCTGGAATTCCCATCTCGTCTAATTGGTAAACCACCCGAGTTAACAGCTGAAATGCTTGTAAGTGTTTTTTTAATGTTAAATGTTCGGACAGATACTAGAATGAGGTAGAATTCAATGCCTCTCTCTCTCTCCCTCCCTCCTAGTTTGGTTGAATTATTAATAGTCTACGAGCTCGCTTTGTGATCAGAAGGTTTTGAGTTTGAACCCTGGCGATGGGTGCGTACTGCTAAAGAGTCTCAAACTAGGCTGACGAAACAGCTGTCCAGTACTCCCTACTGGTTTTCCAATGGTTCTCTAACCGACGATGTCAGCTTATGATTAAATCCTGTAACCAAATTTTCACAAATTTAACGCGGTTTATAGATATGCATGTGATTGTACAGATAGGGAATGATAATTGCTAAGAGAAGAGTTACACTTCATTGGACACCTATTCTATGAATACTAAAAATAACACATCTCCGATCCTGAGAGGTGTTTAGAGGTGGATTGACAATAAAAACCCAACCCATGGTTAAATGTATTGTATTATTATTGTTCCCTTGGGTTCCTAGTGGAACATAGGGCTTCAACTACACGTCTCCACTTACTTCTGTCTTCTGATGTACTTTTCACCTGCATCCATTTTAGTCCATACTGTTTCAGCTCCTCTTCACACGATCTCCTCCATGTCACCCTTGGACGTCCCACTCGCCGCTTCCCTTTCGGGTTCCAATCGAGCGTTGGCCTGACGCGAGATGTCACCCAATGGCCTCCTCAGCGAGTGTCCAATTCATCTCCACTTTCTCCTGCATATTTGTTGGGTTATTGGTTCTTGTTTTGTTTGTTCCCATAGTTTCTTGTTTGTGATTCTTTTTGCGGCCATCTGATCTTGAGTATAGAACGAAGACAGTTGTTGATAAAGGTCTGCAACAGGCTGTTTGAAATATTCTTTGTGACCCGCCGTCAAGTTTCTGACCCGTATAGAAGAAGTGACTGACTTGACGTTTGTATTGAAAATCCGAATTTTGTTGTTGAGCTGAGTGGCGAAGATTTCCAGATTGGTTTCAGGTTGATGATGGTCAAATGTAGTATATAGTAATTAGTGTAAGGAGAGGAAAAGAGCATTAGAGGAGCAACACTGTGGCGGGGGGTGGCGGGTGGCGGACAATACTATAACGTAATATTGTTATTTCAATACACTTATTCGCCTTTATGCATTGAAATAAAGCAAGAACAAGAGTTTGTATAGAATACCAGAATGCTATTATTTACTTTGTCAGCTTCTCACTATCCGCTTATAGCCTAAAGATATTACTTGGATTATGTACAGAACAATTTTAGCATACTTGCAAACGTGGCATAATATGTCATTTGACATGACAGGAGACTTGATTGTAGTCTTCAGAAATTACACTCATATTAGCTTATCTACAGAAAGTTCAAAAATAAATCCTTGTATACAATAGCAGAGAGGAGTTAGGTGTAACAAAGACAAACGGTGGATAGGATGATGAGTGGTTAGTAAACAACATATTTGAAGACATCAAATTCACCATGAGAGAAGAAAAATTCGGCAACAAAATCCCATTTTTACATGTCTTAATCAGGAAAACAAACACAGGATATTTAGAAACACAAGTATATATGAAATCAACACACACAGATCAAATACTCAACTATACTAGCAATAACCCAATGACTCACAAACGAAACGGTGTGCAAACATTGTTTAAAAGAATTCAAATACACTGCAGTACTCCGGTGCTGAAGAGACTGGAGGGGAAATACCTACTAACGGTCTTCAAAAGGAATGGATATCCTCACAATTTCACCAAAGTGTTTAAAATCGAATCACAACACCAACGGGGAACCATCATCAAAGACCACAAGAAAATTTATCCTACCATATTATAAAAAATATCTCTGAAATGACAGCTAGAATATTGAAACCGTCAAATCACTCAATTCGATATTGTGCAAACCGAAAGATCCAACAGAAAAAGGGGATAAAATTAATACCATTTACAAAATAAATTGTATGAACTGTAGCGAACATTACATCGGCCAAAGTGGGCGTTAGCTTCGAATCAGAATCCAGGAACACACAAATCAGCTGTGAAAAGATATATATATTCTTCCATACCATTGCATGTAGATAGTTATTGACATCAGTTTGATTGGGATAATGTCGAAATTTTAAATAGAGGAAACACCAAAAGTAGTGCAGTCAGGGAATTCCTAGAAGCCTGGTACTCAAACGAATATGCAATTAACAAGCATGTTAATATAGACTAAATATACCAACTAATAAAAAGTAAGTCATGTGACCAGAAAGTTTAAAATCCGAGTCAATAAAAAACAATCAATAGATATGTAAAGATGGTTACCGGGAGACGCAATTCTATCATCGCCTTGTGACCAGAAGGTCCTGGGTTCGAATCCCGGTGGGTGCGTACTGATAAAGAGTCCCAAACCAAGATGAAACAGCTGTCCAATACTCCCAGGTTTTCTAGTGGTTCTCTAACTGATGTCAGCTCAAATCCTTCATGCAATCAAACTTAATCCCTACAAAACCAATACTTGGAGATTTAAATCATTTCACTTTATGTCAAAAATTTTGCTGAAGGATGTCGTCCACAAGGACGACGAAAGCTCCACAAGTAAACCAACCAGCTCGCTCAGAGAACACTACTTATTGCAAATGGTAAGTTCAACTCCAATCACGGGGACAATAGACGAGCGAATATGAATCATAGCAAAGGGGGAGGAGGGTTTAAACCCAAAGATTACGTAATCAAATTTAAGAAAGAATAAAGACATTCACTTATTGAGGCAAAGAAAGACTGATAAGTGGTTTCAGGCATTTGATAGTGGTCGTTTCGACACAAACCTGAGGAGAATCGAATTATTTCATCTGTTGATAATTTTGAGAGATTTCATGATTTCCACCTAATGACACCAGAGTATTGATGAGATGTTTGCTAATGGCTCTATTGAAAACGCTTTTCCCCTTTAAAAAGTAGGCTTTTTACGCCCTTCATTCTGTTCTCTGAATGTGTAACTGCTGCCACAGATAGATGTAAATTTGGATACAGAGTTAGAGTTAATATGAGATGGGTATCTATCGACTTTTGATTGCATCAAAGAAGAGCATTATTCAAATGAACTGTCGTCAAGATTTGACAGAATAGTTCTAAAATATTTGGGCGCCGAGTGAGAAGTAGACATTTGTACAAAATTATATTTGTAAAATCTCAGCGAGATTGAAATGAGTAATTCCAACGTTTCGTTCGGCAATCTGGTCCGAACTTCTTCAGGGAAATTAATCGAAATTAACATAACAGAGGTTTATATATAAAAAGGAACATCACTTGTTTTTGAAAATTTGTCCAATCATGAGTCATTCAAAAAGTATCAACAAGTATAATAAACAAAATTTTATGAGCTGTGATCAAAATTTGACCTCGGACTTACAAATATTGGTCTACCTTTGTTAAACACTTTAAACAGAGTGTGTATGTGTGTGTGGGTAAACAGTTGTAAAACATTTCTTAACGTTTCCATAAGAAGAATGCAACAGAATGCATATCCTAAATCCGTAGCTGTCGAGTCACCTGACAACTCCAGTAGGTCGAATAAAGCAGCTCAATCTTCAGAAAGAAGGCAAAGCAATAAGTCCGACAGGGTGCTTCTACTAAACGCTAATCCTAAACACCATAATTTTGAAAATACGTCTAATCATAAAATTCTAGATACTAACAGTTTGAACGGACATGAAGGCGTGATGTTAGCTGATGCATAGGAAATCCTTATTAATAAATAACAATGGATATGTATCACTAATTATTAGTACTTGGTCAAAATTCTCGACTGTCCATATCTTCTTATGGAAACGTTAAGAAATGTTTTACAACTGTTTACCCACACACACATACACACTCTGTTTAAAGTGTTTAACAAAGGTAGACCAATATTTGTAAGTCCGAGGTCAAATTTTGATCACAGCTCATAAAATTTTGTTTATTATACTTGTTAATACTTGTGTTTATGAATCATGATTGGACAAAGTTTTTAAAAACAAAAGATGTGCCTTTTATATATAAACCTCTGTTATGTTAATTTCGATTAATTTCCCTGAAGAAGTTCGGACCAGATTGCCGAACGAAACGTTGGAATTACTCATTTCAATCTCGCTGAGATTTTACAAATATAATTTTTTACGAAGAGCATTATTGTTGGATGAACGGGAACCAACGTAGCTAGGGGATAGGTTCTGGCTAGTGGAGTATCCAGTCTTCTATTGATTATTCCTGCAATAAAATCACCTTTAAAATCGAGTGATGTGTGTATGTCTTCAATACTATTGTTCTAATTCGTAATTATACATAAAAGGCCTCAATCTTATTCTTTTTTTTTCTTGCTCTTGTTTTTTATTAGGTGGGTGATTGGAGTTCTTATTGTTGGCGTAATCTATTCTCTTGTATTAATCTGTTGAGAATATTAAATATGCTAACTAAATGGAAACATTCAAGAATTATGGTATGTTAAATAACATAGTCAAGATTGATCATATATTTGTGTATATATTTCTGGAAATATTGAATGCTTAATGAATGATAAGACCCTTCGTTGCTTCTATATCTAACTGAGTAGACTAGCGTCTATTTGTATACGGGCCTTGTAGAAAGATCTTTTCGATGATCCACTTCATCTCAATGTGATTAAGTTCAAGCACATTCTTCAACTGGTTGAATTCTAAAGAGGGGATGAAAACCGCGTCTTAGATTCCACTGATCACTAACTGTTTATGAAATGATTTCATTGATTTTGCAAAACAAGTTAGGTGGATTATGTTACATAATAACAAAACTTTTTTGACGAATAATAGCAAAAAAAAACAAAACTTACATCCATTACTACTTGTCAATTGACTTCAATGGCTTACCAGTAATAGTTGGTGTTGTATGAATTTATGTTGTTATTATTATTGTCTTTGGTTCCTAGTGGAACATAGGGCTTCAACAACTGACCGCCGTTTCTCTCTGTTCTACGCAGTCCTTTATAGCTGGTCATAAAATTGCCCATAACCTTTCATCTCCTCCTCACACTGTCTGTTCCGTGTCAAACTCGGACGCCCAACTCACTGTTTTCCACCTGATGGTCTGGAGTGCGATACCACTCAACAGTCTCTCCTCGGTGTGTGTCCGATCTATCTCCGTTTCCTTCGGATTATTTGTTGAGTAATAGGTTCGTGGTTGATATTTTTCCCAGACTTTCTTATTGATCATTCTTTCTGGCTGGCCATTTGATCTTCGGTGATGAGCCAGTGAAGGCAGTTACTGATAAAAGTCTGCAGTAGCCTGTTGAAAAAATGCTTTTCGTGACGCCCACCGCAAATTTCTGACCCATAAAGAAAAACTGGCCGACTTAACATTGGTTGGTTGAAAATCCTAATCTTTTTCTTTATACTGCGGAGGTCATAAGACTTCCAAAGTGATTTCAGGGTGTTGAAGTTTTGTGTTACCTTTCCGATTGTTGTTTTAATACCATCACACGTGGTGTCACCTGCAGTTGGAACGATGCTGCCTGGTTAGATAGGCGAAGGAAGTGATCTCTTTCAAATTGTTTCCTTTGGTACTGATAGTCTGGTTGTTGTTGGTGGTGGTGGTGAGTGGTTATCTTCATCACCTCCGTTTTCGCCTATGTTCACTTGAAGTCCTGTCTTTCCTGACTGTCTCTTATGCCAGTTTGTTAGTTTTCGCTTGTAATTATTCGAATTTATGTCATATTTGGCATAAATCGTCCACGAAGTCTAGATCTTCTAGAGTCTTTTTATCGGTCCAGCAGGTGCATTACCCTGTAGTTGCAGATGATTACTTCCACATGTTAATTACCAGAGTCTACTAAAATAAAATGTGATTTATTTATTTATTTTGCAATAGTACGAAATTATTTCCTGTTATCTGACATCTGAATTAGATATGTACTAAGTGGAATTCGATGTATTGATATTTGATCATAGGAATAAAAAGACAGTTGCAGCGAAGAAAATTTACTTTTCGACGAAGTCATCATCTAGGCTGTACATTCGTGTATTTATATCAAATGGATGGGAAAGTTCCAGAACAATTACTGGTTAGGGGTTGAATTAATGAAAATTACAATTAGGAATTAGAATGCCATAATAAACAGGGGGATGGGTAAAACTAAAACAAAGTAGCATAATAACTAAGAAAATTGACATTGTGCAATTGGGGTTAGAAATGTAAAAATAACAAAATATACAGGATGTTTGGATAAGAAACTAATGTGATGAATAATTGTTTTAATAAAAATTACAATTAGGAATTAGAATGCCATAATAAACAGGGGGATGGGTAAAACTAAAACAAGGTAGCATAATCACTAAGAAAAGAAAGAACAACTAAGAAAGAAATACATTCAACCCTGTCCCTGCCATGGCCATCGTAAACAGGTAAATTTTTTAATAATGACCATCCCATCGCCTTTCTTATCTAAACTTCCTGTTTATTCATGTTATTTTAGGTTTTCTTAATCCCTGTCTACACTACCATATTTTCATATCCACACTTCCTGTTTATTTTGTCATTTTATTATCTCTACATATTTAATCCCTGATTGCATAAACAATTATTCACCACACTAGTTTCTTATCCAAACATCCTGCATATTTTGTTATTTTTACATTTCTAACCCCAATTGCACAATGTCAATTTTCTTAGTTATTATGCTACTTTGTTTTAGTTTTACCCATCCCCCTGTTTATTATGGCATTCTAATTCCTAATTGTAATTTTCATTAATTCAACCCCTAACCAGTAATTGTTCTGGAACTTTCCCATCCATTTGATATAAATACACGAATGTACAGCCTAGATGATGACTTCGTCGAAAAGAAAATTTTCTTCGCTGCAACTGTCTTTTTATTCCGTATTGATATTTGTTTCGTTGTGGTGAAAATAGTAAATACTCTATTATGGATAAGATTTTATTTTGATAAATCACACAGTTGTTATACAGTAATATTAACTGATGACCACGTTTCAAGCACAAATCATTGACACTCATAATCATATCAAGGCAATACTAACACAACTTTTTACTTCATTTATATACATGTGTGGAATTGATTAGATATTAGAATAAAAATCACTATATGATAATGTACATTCAGAAATAATAGTAATAATAATAATAATAACACTCATATTATTATTTCTGAATGTACATTATCCTATATTGATCTTTATTCAAATGTCTAATCATCAATTCCACTCATGTATATAAATGAAGCAAGAAAGTTGTGTGAGTAATGCCTTGATATGATTATGAGTGGCAATAGTTTGTGCTCGAAACGTGGTCATCAGTTAATATTACTGTATAACACTGTGTTATTTATCAAAATAAAATCTTATCTATAGTGAAGTTATACTCTACCACAGTGCCCAAGTTTCTTTTACTTATATCAAAATAGTGAATAATCCATATATTATTTGGTAACACTAAAAGATGTAAGATTACAACAAATGCACCAGTAAAAGAAGTTTAGATTGATTTATTTTATATTATAGATAGTCTCTCAGGTTATCTACAGACTTAGTAAGTAATTCATATTAGTTTGTTTATTAGGTATATCACACAGTGAAACAGTATTATTTACTGGATGACGTTTCGAACAAAATTTATTGTTCATAATCATATCAATTGATGTGATTATGAACAATAAATTTTGTTCGAAACGTCATCCAGTAAATAATACTGTTTCACTGTGTGATATACCTAATAAACAAACTAATATGGAATTATCTACAGACTGTTCAGAACTTCATTAGTATAGAGTAAAGTGCAATAGCAGTGGAAAATGTTGGATTAAGATTTACGTTGAAATGTGGTGTGTTCCACTTCTAACAACAACATACAGAAGTAATACATAGTTTGATGTCATCCAGTAAAGTAATCTCTGAGAGAAATGAGCAACAAAAAGTTGTTAAGTTGAGGAGGAGGCATCGAACGTCCCATCGAAGACTAAGCATAACATATGCTGATTATAATTATATTAATTTTTTTTACTTGGGTTTCGAACAGAACATAGGGCTTCACTGCACATGGCTATTTCATTCTGTTCTCTGCAGTTGTCTTTAGCTGGCTTCACGATTTGCCCATAAGCTTTTATCTCCACCTTCTCCTCACACAATTTCCTCCATGCCAAAACTTATCCTCGCTTCCCATCTGGGTTCTAACGCCTGGTGCTAGATGTCACTCACCGATCTCTTCAGAGTATGTTCAGTCTACCTTTATTTTCTGCTGCTGGGCTGTTTTTAGTTGCTTCGTTACCCACCTCAGTTCGTTGTTGCTTATCCTTATCCTTTACCGCTAGACTAATTTTCAGTATGAATGTCTGCAGCAGCCAGTCTGTTAAAACACACTCATCGCAACGCATCAAGTCTCTGAAGCATATTGTAGAAGCACTATGTGCGAATAGCGGACTGAATGTAAGACGGCTTGTAGTAGTGTTCATCAATGATCTCTGTAATCACCGACATACATATAAGAACTCAAAAGTATGGCTACGGTTGACGTTGAATCTTTTACATTCTGTTTTTTTTTCTTTATTCCGTTACACACTCTGAGTGGAGAATAGGATTTCAAGCTTTAAAGTTTCAATAGCGGTGAGATTCAGTTTTCACGGTGTCAGGTTGCTAGCCTCAATGAACCAACCAACCAACCGTCTCCTTTTCGAGCTAATTAACGGCTAATTACATAAACCAGAGAAGCTAGTAACAGTAAGGAAAATAGACACCACAGTCAAATAACCTTGAACTGGCCAATCAGATCGCTCGACATTGCAAATCGATGAAATTCACAGCGAAAACTATAAAAAGCATCGATTTGTTATGCTAAGCTATCTGATTGGCTGGTTGAGGGTCATTCGACTGTGGTGTTTATTCTTTACCGTTGCCGACAAGCTTCAAAGGAGTGAATCCGCGGGGAATCGAATCGCAACCTCACCCATCCAATCGACATAATCTCATTTTTGTAGTATGACATAGTTATTCTTTTATTTTCTTACTTGCCTTTCCCCTTTTTTTTACAGCTTCTAGTTGTCTTCAAATCAGCCCCGATATTAAAACGTACACTACGCGTTAGGCATGCAATGCTTCAGTTGTATGTGCTGAAATTATTAAAATTACAAAGTCGATATTTTGGACGTCAATGGCGTAAAAATAATATGTCAATTATGTCAGCTATCTATCAAAAAGTTAGACATCGATTAACAGATGATTGGGCTTATGGAAATGGTAAATTTTATCATTTTTATCTTAATTATGTTTCCTGTTGTTGATATTTAAATATTTTTCTATGATAAATGGGCCAAGGTTTCGTGTCCGTTTGACAGTTTGCAGCAAGCCACATCTGGAACCCCTGAGCATTGAAATCATATCGTCTAGATATCATCAGTAAGAGTGATTGCAACGGATGTATTCATCAGATAACTTTTGATGAAGTAAAACTGCGTTGATACTTATTATTAAGTGTTACTTTGCAAGAATTTGATTGGTTACAGGTCTTATCACGAGTTGATATCAGTAAGAGAATCAAATGGAAAACCTCAGAAGTTGTAATCAGTGTAGTTCACCAAGTTAGTCAGCTAAGAGATCAGTTACTTGTAAATGACATTGGAAGGTCCTGGGATCGAGCTTCAGTGGTTGCATACTGATAAAGAGTTCCAAGCTGAGGGGGTCAGACAACTGTCCAGTACTCTCAGGCTTTCCATTGGTTCTTTAACTGGTGCATATTAAGATACTGATTGATTGCACTAGTTGATAAAACGCATCCTTTGATTCGTTCGAAATACAGTAGGGTGATGCATAATTGAAGATTTTGAAAAGGCATCAATGGTCAGTATAATCTTACAGTCATCATAACAGATCTATTGACTCAGACAACACACATACGACCGCTCACTTGAATGTCGTCGTCTTTCGCGCAGATTTATGCTCCAGTGCTGAATGTTCTTCTTGCAACAGTACGTGTAGAGACGATGTATTTTCTCTTTCTTTATATGGGACATATGTTTTGAGTTGGACACATTTTTCATATCTTGAGTTTTGTCTAATTAGCTCGACATGCTCCCTCGAAAGACTGAGGTAGAAGTGATAACAAGCGCATTATCGCAAACCAGTGTTGAATGCATTCAGAATCGGAATTTGAAGCTTAATTTCGGCATTTCATTGTTAACGGAAGCCATTTAACTTGTGAGACTTTCATGTTATTAGTTCACTGCAAGTTACATAATATGTTTAACAGTAGGTTTTCAGAAATGTTTGAATAATATTCTGTGTTGGACGACAGTTTGCCGAAACTTGTTCTCTTCATGATGTAATCAATGCAATAAACTCACCCAAACACAGGGTTATTGCTAGTTAGACGTAACGAAATCCTTCGTGGCGAACCACGAATAGTCGTTCAAAAGAGATGGGAAGTGGTGTGTTTTTTCTTCGGATTTGCTGGTCTAGAAACCTATCTGTAAGTCTTGACTGCTAATCCACCGATGAGGAGCTTTAGGCGGAGGACAGTTACACTCATGAACTGCGTCCAACAGACTACTACCTCTAAACAACTGAGATGTACACAGTCACACTGCAACAGATCAACTCCTCTTTTGTCCGTAGAGAATTCAAAATAGTCCGCAGTGTGATTCAATCAGCACAGAAAAACAACTGATCCTTGAAGGAGAAGTAGCTGAGGTTCAATTGTGAATCGACAAATTTGTTTGTTCGCCTACATGATGATATCTCATGTGAAATCAAGGAAGACCATCCAAATTAACATCCAGAAATTTTCTTATGTTCAACGAAAGTTTGTAGAATAAGTCGAATTATTCAATGTTGGTTTGCAGGGATTTGATTGGTAACTGGTTTGATCACGAGTTGGCAACACTGAAAGAACAACTGGAAAACCTGAGAGTACTAGACAGCTGGTTCGTCCTAGTTTGTGGCTCATCAGCAGTCCGCACCCACCAGTGTTTCAACCTGTCAACTATATATATATATATATATATATATATATATATATATATATATATATATATATCATATGAAACCTGTAGCCAATCAAATCCCTCCAGACCAACACTTGAAAAATAACTATTTACTCTCAAAAGAATGGACACGGAACAAAGAGTACTCTTTTCGATAAATTCATCACCAGGTTCTACAATTATATATACATTATAATGAATGAATGAATTAGTCTTACTTTCACTTTGTTACAAGCTTGTTATTCATAGAAACTCGTATATCAAGCAAATGTTTAGGAATTCTTGTGGTTTATAATTCGGAGGCCGATGGCTGGTTCGAATTCCGTCACAACCCAGACCTATCGTATTGCTTTCAAACATCTCACATTACATCAGCAACAGTCTATCAACAACCAAGACTACGTCAGATCGTCTCACCATTAATTAACTCATGGTTGATTAATCGACTTATATTTCGAAAGTAATGATAGAATGACTTTCTCTAGTGAAACAGTATCGAGATAACACCGAGGCTGATCTGAAAAAATTCCCAAGTAACAAAAGTACCCATACCTTCATGATATGAGATTGATTTCACTTGGTAGATCTCCTAACTTTGAGCAAGTACTACACGAAAAGTTTTGGACTTTAGCATTTGCATCCTAACACTTAAAATACTAAGTTATGTCTACTATAGTTGAGATGCATTCACTTAACAGTTTTAATCAATCTGCGTTCAAACTTGAAACATATCGAATCCCTGCAGGCTAACTCTTGAATATTAATCTGGTGGTCGTTAGTCACTGGTCACAGGATGAAGTTGCCTGGAGTTCTAGTGAGAAATCGTGATCAATGGGGTTCGCCACCACCAGATTAAGTATGAAAATGAACAATCGTTGATGATATTAGCCTATGACTCCACTAAAGTCACGAATCGACAAAAGTTAAAATTCCACTCCAAGAGTCTAAACGGTCTACGACTTGGCCCTGGTTAGCGGAAAGTCTTGAGTAAACCCGAGTAGGTGCGTGTATTGTCGATGAGCCCAATACCAATACGAAACTGCTATCCAGTATTCACTGGTATTTTTCCAATGGTTCTCTAACTCATATCACTCTGTGGTCAAAATTGACACACACACACACACACATACAATGATTCACCCTGTTTTTTGTTTCCGCATATACTACAGATGTTGATGCATTACCATGGCAATTTCAAGTAGAAGAATGTTCATTACGTACAAATGTTGATCAATTTATTCAACGTCGTTATTGTGATAATTGGATTGATCCAGAATTTAAACCAGTTGATAATTGTCTAATGAGTGTGCTGAGTCAACCAGTACAATTATCTGATGAATTTAAACAAAATTATGAAAAATGGCTTGAAGAAGAAGTTTTCTCTGTACCAATTAATTGGTCACAAGTATTGGCGCGTTGATCAGTTTGATTGTCATTCTATCTGTTGAATGAACAATTAGGTGATAGCTAGCTGTCTACTCTATCTTCTATTTGTTCTTTATATATTTAATACTGAATAATAATAATAATAATAAAAGCCTGCCTCGAAACCGGTTCTTATTTATTGTATGTTAGAAGCAGAATTATACCAAAGCATGCTGAACATTGACTATAATATTATAATATTATACAACATATAGTAATACAATGTTTTTAATATTTGCTTATTGTCAATGTCTTTTGTTCAAAAATAAAAATAATTTTAAAAATAAAGTTCATCTGAAGTAACTTTTATACTTTGTGTTGAAAAGGGGTGTATGGGTTAATAGATGTATCATGATGCGGATAGCAGACAGCCAAAAGGAGAGGAGTGGTATAATGTGATGAGAGAAATACTGACGACGTTAAGCTGTTGAATGTTTGTTTAATGAGATGGGTAAGTCAATTGCTGAGGTTGTAAAGTAGCTATATTGGTTGAGGTGTTGGTTGGGACGGATATATGTTACGCATGCCAAGCTATTTGTCGAACAATATGAGGTCGGTAACATGGGGTGTTCGGTTGGAAAAGACAGTCAGGAGGTAATCAGTCAATTAGGATTGCAAACTGTCTTTATTTTTTTGGTCTAATTTTATCATAGATGTACAAATGGATTTGACGCTATTGTGATGGTGTGATACAGACAATGTGTTCCAACGGAATATTATTCTCACAGTTCATTATGGCTTTAGCAACAGAATACTATGTGTATTTGAACATTCTATTTCATGTCGTTTAATGCAAACCAAAATCATACGCTCAGTGATTGGTTGACGAATATAAACTGTGTATATAAAAACGGCAATCTGATTAATTAAAAGATACCCCGGGGTGCGTACTGATGAAGAGTCCCTAGCCAGAACGAAACAAAGCTGTTCAGCACTCCCAGGTTTTCCAATGGTTTTCTAACCGATATCAGCTCATGATGAAATCCTGTAACCAATCAATCAAATCAATACTTGAAAAGATACCTTTGCTTCTGTGTCCTACCTTCTGCTGTTACACAATAACTGACTCTAGCAACTTTTTATGGGGATTGATTTGTTACCTTCCTGAACGATCTAGTTACAATATTAATGATCATACCAGTGTTTCTTTGTAATTATTACCCAATTTTCTCCTAGACTGCATTTCATTGTTGTTCTGACATTTGCATATCACCATTTGTTGACTTAATCTCTATTATTTGTCTTTATTCCTAGTGAATCTCTCATTTCAATGCTTCTTTTTGTCGTTGTGTGATAATGTGACTTGATTGAGCGAATCATGGTTATGCTGACCTTGGGTATATTCTACTCGATTCATAGTTACTTCTTACAGTTGATTTTTGGTTAACCAACTCTGTTCTACAGAACTTGTTTGGTACTTTGAAAGTTAGCTGCCTATTGGCGCTGTTTAAGGTAATTTGATGCTATTAATGCTCAGTGGGACTGTAGGTCCGTCTATCTTTGGGGCGTTTCGTGCCTCCACGTCTCTCAAGAAAGTTTCAGACAGCTATACAGTAGGACGCAAAGATCGGTTCAGTCCTTTTCGGTTGTTATAGCCTCCTTACCACACTTTGAGAGAAATTTCCGAATCTTTGGCATGCAATTCCGTCGTGTCAGGTGTAACATAGTGGTGCTGAACTGAAGTACACCGATTACTAACATTAAGTTAGGGAGTGGAGTGGTTGAGCACTTCTCTTACTTGGACAATTAGACGTGATATTGGACTATCGATCAAAGTATTGTGTGTACTGTGCAGTGGTTCTATCTGTCCCCTTTTATGGTGTTGAGACATGACCACTGGAAGTAGAAGATATGAAAACACTCGATGTTTTTGATCATAGGTGCCAGTGTTCTATCTTCCGTCGTACAATGTGGTGAAGGATGTTGAGGTTAAGCGGAGAGTGCTAGATATGGAGATTAAGCCAATCGGTAAGGATGTGAAGGTAAATCGTTTGCAATGGCTAGGACATGGCTTTCCTCGTCAAGCAATATCAGTAGACTTAGGATTGAATTGGAAAATACTTAAACATGGTCACATGAAAGCCAGGTGTCAGTCCATAAAATCTCTAGACCGTTGGTTTGAACCATGTAGGTAGGTAGATAGGTATAGACTCTCTGATCGGGGTTCTTGAGATTCTAAGAATTAATGACACGAGATTATAGGCGACATGGCTCAAAATCGTTCGCAAGGACACAGTTATCTTATATCCTCTTGTTCCTCCATTTTACTATTCTTTTTCCTGTAGATTCGTTGCAAATTTTCCCTTCCTCTGCTTTTGTGTGCTACATGGAGTATGGCAACTTGATCTACTGGATATTTGTTCTAAGTTCTAGGTGTCGAACTCAGTCAGATAGTTAATAGTACTGAAGAATTAACGTCAACCAAGGTTGTTTGATTGTAAAAGGAACTCATGCTGCTGGAAACTAATCACATGGAAATGTAGTTCATTAGCTTCGGGATTGAATTTTCAGTCAATGGGTCACGGATTCGCATCCCGTCTGCTAAGGAAATCAGCTAGTATCATTGGTGTCGCACACACACGCATGGTACATGGACAATGTGTCATCATTGCTCATTTAGCTGTATACAGACTTCTGACTCGTTTTGCTGGGTTATGGTTTCACGAGCTGAGGAAATGTTTCCACTCATCTCAACACAGATTTAGATAACTGTTTCTTCATACACTTTATTCCTCTTCATGAATTTGAATATATAGCAAGAACAACAGCGATTTCTGCAAGAACAAGATGCTACCACCATCCATCATCGTTTATTTAGTCGGCTTCTCATCAGCCACTTACAGCCTAAAGAAACTATTGAGTTTATGTACAGAACAATGTTAACATACTTGCAGATGTGGCATAATGTGTTAGGTGACTAGAGACTGCAGACCGACTTAAAAGGCAGTGCTTGGAAATTACACTTATGTAGCTTGTATACAGAAACTTCAAGTTTAAAGCAAAAATTCAACGCTTGGATATAATGGGGAAAATTTACGTAACAAGGAGATGTGAATAAGATGATTATTGGTTACTAAGTAACAGTGTGGTAAGTTCAACTCAAATCATAGGAACAAGAGACAGGCAAATTTACATTATAGTGTAGGAGAAAGGTCAAGGCCGAAAATTACCTAATCAAATGAAGGAGAGGGATATGGGTAACACCACTCAGTTATCAGGGCAAGGAAAGATTGATAACGATTGTTTTCTGTACGAATAAATCGGGATCCGGCTAAACTGAGCAGAATTCAATCATTATATGTATCGATAATTTGTAAGGATTTCATAGTGTCCACCTACCTCATGACCCGTTTCGACGAGATGCCTCCCAATATTTCTATTGGAAGCGTTTGCTCCTTTGACAGGCAAACTTTTAGTAAATATTCGGAGAATCGAAGCTGTACTGTTCTGTCTTTTCTCCCAATGTAACCGTTGCCACGGATACATATAAGTTTATATACACTGTTAGAAGTAACATAAGAAGGCTATCTATCGACCTTTGATTGTACTGAAGAGGGTGTTGCTCAACAAACGGGAACCAACTTAGTTGCACGATAAGTTCTGGCTAGTGAGGTATTCAATCTTCTGTTGACTATTCCTGCAATATTATCCCCATTAAAATCGAGTTGCATGAAGATAAACATCTTTCCTCTGAGATTTGTTTGGTATGTGAACCTTCAAATCTTCCGTACTTGTTAATGAATTTCTCACGGTAACCTTTGTTCTTCAACATCTTTTCGAGAATGAAAAATTCTTTCTCTGATTTCTCTGTGTAGAACATATTTTCCTTTCTCAGTAAAACAGAGTTTTGACCAGTGCTCGTTTATACCTATTTACGTAGGCCTTTAAGTGAATAAATCTCTGGAGACAACCATCTTCCAAGTGTTGGATGGCAATATCAAGTAAAAATGAAATTTCGCATGACTTCACTGTTCCATAGTGAAGTGAATATTTGTCTTGTATGTGGATCGCTGAATAGCGCAAGTAGGATAAGACGCATGACTTTCATCCCTTTGTTGTAGTACACTACAGATGTGTCATCGACGTATCGACAGTAAGAAGTTGTTTTATCGATTGCAAGCTTCAACTTTATTCTCTCAAGGTTAGACTATGAAGATGTCCAGTTAGGACAGGGCTTCCCATCTCTATTCGATGGTAAAAAGTATTGTACATCCATGGTACACATTACTAGTAGGCGTTCGAATTCCGGCACTCTTATAAAATATAAACAAAACTTGACTAATAGAATTCAGTCTGCACCAAAGATAGGACTAGACATATTACACGAGCTACTGACTACTGTTCAATCAAAATATCCAATACAGTCCTACAGGAGTTCAATCGCAAGCCCGAATAGCTCAATGGTTGTAACGTCTTTGACTGCAGCACTGCCTGACGCCAGTTCGAACCTCAAAAGAGTCATGAGTCCCTTCAAGGTTGCAGATACATCTTGCTGACTGGTGAGTGCCACCAACTAGCACGAAACCTAGGTCATGTCATGCTTCCTGCCGACTGCCTCTAACCATGTAATATCAATAAACTAAACTATATTTACACACACGTTTATCGATAGCAGTAGGAAAATTATCAATTAACAACAAGATTGAACTGTTCAGGTACATGTAGGAAATCTACACCATCACCATGACTACACACATCAATAATTCAAAGCTGCCGCTACAATTTTGCGCATGACAAATTTAAACAAAAGGTCGTATAACCAAGCAAACTTGTTTTCGGCAATTTTAAACACAAAAAGTATACAAATGAGAGAGTGAAAAGGTATAATTATGCTTCTCTTAAAATATATATACACAAACGTATATACATATAAACTCATATACAATATATATTATTCCATTGAAGGGGAATTATCTATTTACATATATATATTACAATAAAGTTATAAATTTATGTATATTAGCATTAGATACAAGTTTATCATTATTATTATTATTTTTGTGCTGATAGAAATGATTCAATTTCTGACATGATAGTAGACAAATGTCCAGACATTGGTTTACACGTGTGAAAATGGTCATTGAGTTTTTCACAGCTGAAAAATATTTTAAAAGAAATAAACACACAAGATTATTATCTAAAAAGGCTGCTGACACAAGTGGTGGAGTAGAAGAAAAAACAATTAGTTCCCCTAATGAATTGAGTTAGACAAAGGCAATAAGAAGACCGTAGTTCGTCTGAATCGTGTAATGTGTTTATTTTTGCGCAACACTTATTTCGAACAATCTAATCACACATGGACTTGTCATAGGAATTGATATATGTGAAAATAATGAGTGCGTCGGTGGCACAGTGGTTAGGATGCTCGCCAACCATGCACATGGTCCGGGGTTCGAATCCCGGCCACAGACGCACTCCTTTACCTCGCTAAGCCAGAAATAAAGCTGGTTAAAGAGGAAAGGTTGGGCATGAGGCTAGCAACCTCATCCTGTAAAAATAAACTCTGCTACAGAAACTTCAAGCCACTAGCTTGAAGCCCTATGTTCCACTGGGAACATAAAGGAATAAAAAAAGGGGTGAGAAAATAAATTTCGGTCAATGTAAAAAAGAGGTTTTAAAAGTCAAAAAAACCATGCAGATCACTAAACCAAATAAGAGAGGTAATAGTACATTTACCCTGGCTGGTATCAAAACAAAACAAAAGTTTATCAAGGAAGGTTTAGTGTGATGACGAATTGTTACCTTGAACGCATAAAGGTAGCTTAAACTTCCTAATTGCTAGGGCTTCCACAAATACATTTTTTATAGACAAGCTTAAAAAACGTGTGGAAATATCAATTTTATGTCCTGTACCACCTATAATATGTTTCGAAATAAAGGAGCTAGGTCGTCTGTTCTCACCACTAATGGGTTCTGGGGATTCTATTTGCTTCTGAAGCCATTCAGGAATATTAAAAAACTGTCGACTATACCATACACCTTCACAACAATAAATTGTGTTTGTTTAAACTTGTACTTTTAAAAACAGTCCTTTATGTTCCTAGTGAGTTATAGGGTATTTTTCCAAATTACGCCATCTCTCGCGTACATGTGATATCCCACTCGATCAAAGTATATGTGTACTGCCCAGTTAGCTGTCCGTCCCCTCTTCCTTTATGACTGTGAAACATGACGATTGAAAGTGAAAGATATGCGAAGGCTAGTTGTCTTTGATCATAGGTGTTAGCGTTCTGTCTCTCGTGTTCGGATGGAGGCTGTAGAGGTACATCAATTCAGATCACTAAGTACATTTGTTGCGAATGCCGGGCCCGGCCGACAACTGCTACCTTGCCGTGGTGGTCGGGCTTGAATACCGCAGTGACCCAACAAGCTAAACTGGCTAGGACTCATGTCCCTGCAGGTCCTACCATGACAGGAAGGTTGTCTGGACAGCGGTTAGACTAAAAGCAGTTACCATGGGGTACAAGGGCTCCAAAATTCAATCGGATCAGATGGCGTACGAACCCATATGGTTCATCGGCAACCATGGGAACGCAGCTCCTGACGCTGTCTCGAGGATTAGACTCCAAGTCAAAGGCTCGGGGGGTGGTCCCTTAAGAAAACCACCTGCTTCGATCTGGGTACCCGGGCAGTATCTCAGCCCTCACACAACAAATGAAATAAAACAACAGACTATTATTGAAACTCACCGCGCGCTCGTGAAAATGATTTCAAGAAATAATGATACCTCAAGCAACTTATGTCCTTCCAACCTTACTTTTATTTTTATACTTAGATTCCTGTATTTTACCTTTGCTCACCTTGACTTCTTAACCTTCGATAGCCTTTCGCCTTTTTCTGGATTCCTAGCCTTTCTGAGTCGTTTCGAGATGATAGTGAGTAACCCTCAAAATGGTTGTCCCCAATGTGACATCTAACACAGATATCCTGAAACCGCGTACCGCATTCAAGCTGGCCACCTACAATCTTCGGACGCTGATGCAAATCGGACAACAGGCTGGGTTGGTGAGAACATTGGAAAGCCTCGCTATCGACGTCTGCTGCATTTCGGAGACCCGCATTCAAGATCCCAGTGAAGTGCTTCGACTGTCCTCTCCATCTGGAAGTTCTAGAAGTATGTACCAACTGCGCTTTGTCCGGGGACCCTGTGGCGTCGGCATCCGGCGTCGTACTGAGCGCTAGAACCGAAGCTGCATTGCTCGACTGGATTCCCATTAACAGTTGTTTATATGCTGTAAGGCTGGAAGGTGATACGAGAGTAATGAGTAGAAGGCCAGATAGGCGGTGTCTATTTGTTGTCTCTGCCTATGCACCAACGGATTGCAGCCAGGATGCAATGAAGGATGACTTCTACAGCCAACTTAGCGGTCTCTTGAGACAGGCAGGTCGGAGGGATATCATAGTGCTGGTTGTAGACTTGAATGCACAGGTCGGGCGTTTGAGCTCAGAGGAGAATCGTCTAGGTGGTCAAGGTCAGGACATACCGAAACGTTATCGGATATGGCCAAGAATCGCAGTCATCAATGGCGAACGTGTTGCAATTTCCTTCTTTCCTCTCTTCCTGATGATAGTTAACGAATACTGTTTGAACTTGTTAAACGTGACTGTTTTCCTTCCAGATAAAGTTCTTTATCCATTTTCTACCTATATTTTTACTTTTAATCTATGTTGTTTTATTATTATTGTGTGGCGCATCTTCTTGGTTCCAAATTGTACCAAGTTTTTTCTGCGTTTAAATAAATAAATAAATAATAGAATGCCGAGCCATGAACTTCCTAGATGGTCAATGTTAGCTGACATACGCTTATAATGGGGGAAAGACTTAATAGTGATCAATCCAAAACTTTGCATCAGTACATGGTATCCTTAACAGTTAGTTTGAGCCAAATAAGAAGGTGCAGATTGCCTGTTTGGCGTCCTTAGGATGGTACGAACTAACGACTGGAGATAATTGGCGACATGACTGGAAATCGTTCTCAGTGGTGCAGATGCATTCATAATTAATTTGGGATCTGCTATATCCTGCAGAACCATATTGTTTCTTCTCCTCAATTTTCTGCTTATTATTGTCCTTATGAATCCTTTTTTCCTGTCTTTTGTGCGGAGCAACTTGAACTGCTGCACTTCTGTGCAAAGTTCTATGTGGAAACCAGTCAATCAGTCAGTTAATCATAGGGCCACAAGCTTCAGCATTTTTAGATTTAGTTATCTTACTTTCGTTTTACGTGGTGTTCTTGCTAGCCCCAACCCCCCTCCAAAGGCACCAACCTTCTATCTCTTCTAGGTGTACTACCCGTCTAGGGAAGAGAACCTTGAACCACTTACTCTTGTGTGGTTGGCGAGCATTTTACCAATGAGAATCACCACCTCGGTCCATTAAAAATGTTTACCCCTCACTCACTCGCTCACTCACCGAAGATCATTTTTTCCAAGTCAATACTTTCGAAAATGATGTAGCAAGAGAACCAGAGAAACAAAATGTTATAAGCAGGACTAAAGTCTATGAAATTTGAACTTGTACAGTGTATATCTACGTTTGAGTAATGCATGATATTAAGTCTGAGGAGATTTCAAATGGAATTTAGGCAATTTCTGAAAAAAATAATAAACTGCATTTCGACACGAAGATTCAGTATGAGAAAGAAGTAGTTTTCCTACGGAGAGAGAGGGTTTTTTGTTGAAGAAAGATGGGAGTTTTAGCTGATCGAGCAACGTGTTATTCGTTCACAAACTGTCTTGTGGAAAGTAACCTGTTTACAAACAATGCGCCAATCACTTTATTTTTATTGCTGAGAAGTTGGTTTTTATAGGAAATGTTATTACTTAGTTGTCGCTTAGTTATATGGATTAAAAAACGCGTGATATACAACAACTACAACCCCTTCTGTATTCTGGCACCATGTATCATCTTAGTTATCATTAATGGTAACATTGTTGGTCATTTGTATTAGTCTTATTGTAGCATTGAATCTGATAAATATTCACTCTTATTTATTATTAAATGTACTCAACTTGTTTCAGTATTTATTTAAGCAAACGTAAATATACTGGGAGTAATTTGATGGATAGTGACTCTAACAATAGTGTGCGTTTTGTTCTATTTGGAGTTGGCCATCTGGATGTACCTCTGTAATCCCCATTGAGTCATGATGTTTCCGCTGAGGCTTGAACCCAATACTCATCGTTTCAAACGCCGATTCGTTATCCACCAGATTACCACTTCAGCACATGCATATCTTGGATTCCATCGCCAGAATCAACATTCATGAAAATTATTATTTCAAATTAATCCGTACTAGAAGCCGACACATCAACATCAACAGAGGCGAAACATTTCGGTTTAGTCAATCAATGACGAATTTTATATTGATGGAGTATAACGAGTTGACAGGTATCATACACAGTTCAAATGTAGCTCTTTTTCTGCTGCTATATGTAACCACCTTAGAGGTAATGGTGTATTAATTGAAATTATCCTGAGTTCATGAAACTATACGGATTTTAAGCTTCTTTTAGTTACTGTACTAAGTGTAGCTCCTTAAGGCTAAGTTGATTATGTATATTAGCGCATTGTATGTAAACAGGTTGCTTCCCACAAGACAGTTTGTGAACGAATAACAAGTTGCTCGATCAGCTTAAACTCCCATCTTCTTTAAACAAAAAACCCTCTCTCTCCGTAGGAAAACTACTTCTTTCTCATACTGAATCTTCGTGTCAAAATGCAGTTTATTATTTTTTTCAGAAATTGCCTAAATTCCATTTGAAATCTCCTCAGACTTAATATCATGCATTACTCAAACGTAGATATACACTGTACAAGTTCAAATTTCATAGACTTTAGTCCTGCTTATAACATTTTGTTTCTCTGGTTCTCTTGCTACATCATTTTCGAAAGTATTGACTTGGAAAAAATGATCTTCGGTGAGTGAGCGAGTGAGTGAGGGGTAAACATTTTTAATGGACCGAGGTGGTGATTCTCATTGGTAAAATGCTCGCCAACCACACAAGAGTAAGTGGTTCAAGGTTCTCTTCCCTAGACGGGTAGTACACCTGGAAGAGATAGAAGGTTGGTGCCTTTGGAGGGGGGTTGGGGCTAGCAAGAACACCACGTAAAACGAAAGTAAGATAACTAAATCTAAAAATGCTGAAGCTTGTGGCCCTATGATTAACTGACTGATTGACTGGTTTCCACATAGAACTTTGCACAGAAGTGCAGCAGTTCAAGTTGCTCCGCACAAAAGACAGGAAAAAAGGATTCATAAGGACAATAATAAGCAGAAAATTGAGGAGAAGAAACAATATGGTTCTGCAGGATATAGCAGATCCCAAATTAATTATGAATGCATCTGCACCACTGAGAACGATTTCCAGTCATGTCGCCAATTATCTCCAGTCGTTAGTTCGTACCATCCTAAGGACGCCAAACAGGCAATCTGCACCTTCTTATTTGGCTCAAACTAACTGTTAAGGATACCATGTACTGATGCAAAGTTTTGATTTGACCACTATTAATTCTCAATTCTGTAATATACGTTAATTCATTTGTTAATTAGCATCATGTATGCATGAGAACACACACATTACATAAACAACTTGGTACAGTCAAGGGTGGGGTAGACTTCGGTCTTCTTCTCCAAATTTCCTCATACAGACAAGTGTTTATAGCTTCTGTCAAGTTATTCTCATTTACTGTCTACCTATAGGATTTGGTGAACCCGAATTCCAAACCTATGGTGAACATGGGCTCCAGAATCCGAACGGATTGAATAGTGTATAAACTAGTTTTCAACGCCTAAAGCTATGGGGGAAGTAGTTCCACTGATGTGTGAATCAGACTTCAAGAGAAAAGGCTCGGGGCTGGCCCCTTAAAACAACAAACTGTCTTGGACTGGGCGTCTAAGTAGTATTCCAAACCTCACACATGATATCAGATTTTGTGTAGAGCATCTTTTTATGCTTATAATGTACCGAAATTGAGTCCTTATAAGTAAAATGAGTACATGATTTCAATAGCCTCACCAAGTGTACTGCATGCGGTTTATAAACAATGGTGACTTATATATATATATATATATGTATGTATATATATATATATATATATATATATATATATATATATAGATTGCGTCACAGAACACCGTTAGGGAAGGCTTTAAAAGTGGGCTTTGAGTACTTACTGCGAGTTTACTAACCATTTACTTCTGACGACCCTAAACATGACTGGCTATCTCAGGAGGTACCTTGACCCTCTTTTTTCTTCCGGGTAATGGTATTGATTATTTTGCTGGTTTTATGGTTGTCAGTTTGTTCAGATCACTTTTTAGTGTTTGATAAATCTGATACAAGTCTAATCATGAGATGAGATGACATCAGTTAGAGAACCAGTGGAAAACCAGTCAGGGAGTACTGGACAGCTGTTTCGTCTCATTAGTTTGGACTCTTCATCAGTACGCACCCACTGGGGTTTGAACCTAGCACCTTCCGATTAAAAGGTGAGCTCGTAGACCATTCAGCCACTGGGACTCGATCCAACAGCCAATGAATTCCAACTTCTGACAATCCGCGTAACCACCAGTCAATGTAACAGGCGAATAACTAATCTCTTACCTGACTTGGTGAACTCGCCTGGTTACGACTTCTGTGTATAGTCTAGAGCCAGTCGCTTAGTGAGCATCGGATCAGTTATCATTGTGTTGGTTTGCAATGATTTGATTGGTTGGTTACATGTTGGATCGATAGTTCACATCAATTAAAAAGAACCATTGGAGCACCTGAGAGTACTGAGCAGCTATTTCGTCGCATTAGTTTGGAACTACTCAGCATACAGCATCTACTTGACTGCGAATCCAAGACCTTCCCGGTGACAAGGCCAGCTTGTAGACTACTATTCAGCTCACTGGGACACGATCTAATGGCCAGTCCATCAATTCCAACTTCTATCACGTTTTCCAATGGTTCTCTAACTGATGTCAACTCATGTTTATGCCTGTAACCAATCAAATCCCTGCAAACCAACACTTGGTAATAAATCTGATATATGATGATGTGTCTGTTGATTTACAGATTTATCTACCTTTCAGGCATCTAGAAACACCCTGGTATTTTTGTTGTTTTTCTTTACTCTTTCTCTAAGACTTCTGCACTTTCCCAATCAAATTGATGTCCGTAGTTGTATGTATGCATTCATATAAGGCAATGGATATCAACATGTCAATTGACAGCCAGTTTATGTTCATGAATGAGAAGTGAAAGAGGACTTTCCACTTTGATCAGTATATAGTGTGTCGGTGACACAGCAGTTAGGACTCTCACCGACCATGCACATGATAGGTGATCCCTTGTCGACGCACACCTGATATTAATCATCGGCATGCAAAATTTGGGCTACCGATATCACATGCTGAAAATCCTATACTTGTACCAAAAGTATGGCGGCCTGTTCGACACCTGGGCTACCACCTTTCCGTACATCTACATTTTTTTCCTTCACGTTCCCCAGTGGAACATAGGGCTTCAAGCTAGCGGCTTGAAGTTTCTGTAGCAGTGTTTATTTTACAGGATGGGGTTGCTAGCCTCATGCCCAACCTTTCCTCTTCACCAGCATTATTTTTGGCTTAGTGAGGTAAAGGAGTGCGTTGGCCGGGGATCGAACCCCGGACCATGTGCATGGTAGGCGAGCTTCCCAACCACTATACCACCGACGCTCTTAAAGACCTAGGTTTCGTGATAGTTGGTGGCACTCACCAGTCAGCAAGGTGTATATGCAACCTTGAAGGAACTCGTGTCCCTTCTGAGATTCGAACTCAAGTCACCCAGTGGGGCTGCAGTCAGTCAGAGACGTTACCACTGAGCTATTCAGGCTCAAAAAGGTCAACGTAGCCATTTTCAGTCAGAATTCTTTTATTTATTAATTTTTTTATATTTTGATTATAGCTTGATTGCACACCATATTTTTGGTATAAGTATGAAATTTTCAGCATGAGATATCGGTAACCCAAATTTTGCAGGCCGACCATTGATATCAGGTGTGCGTCCGACTATATTAGCACTATGAGTAGTACAAAATTTTCCTGTCATTAACCATCATGTAATATTAGTTTTGTGGTTGTTTTTTTGTTCGGCAATATTAACTGACAATCATGGTTGTGAACGCCATTATCACCATCTTAAGATTTTGTATTATGCAGGATTACTCACACTACCACCACAAACACCGCATTAGAGCTGACAATAAAAATCCTGAAATGTTATTTTATGATTGTTTAGTGTTGTTCAATCAGATTAACTGATCATCCTGGCGATAAACATTCTTAAATATCATTTCATAACTTCTTGTATGATTATAGCTTTACTGTCACCATGCATAATCATATCATAGCTTCCACTACCCAATACTGAGATATCACTTATTATGTTGTTTATTTTCCTTTCTACTTGTTATTTTTTCGCATTTTTTTATTTTTGTGTTTTTGTTGTTGTTGTTTTTATATTTATTTTTTGAAATACTCCTTTTAAATGTTGGATAAAATTAGATGCAAGTATTGTAGATATGTGGTGAAAATTCCACACTGTACCACTAGTACTGTTTCTGGAATAAAGCAAAATTATTATTATTATTTTTAAAAGTACTGTGGGGAATCAAGCTCTAATGGAAAGATTAAAAAATATTAAGTTAAATAAAGTTTCTTATAGTCATCACAATTTATCTCGTAGATTATATCAATTTTGTCTCATAGTATGGAAGAAAATAATAATTTTATTGTTTTGTGAGCAATATCTCTACTTCAAAAGGTTAAAATATTCCTACAGTGATTTCAAAAAATGTTCTACATACGCGTAATAGGACGATTTTTTCTTTGCGCTTTCGACAAACCACAGCCCAAAACAGACAGTTAATCTGATTAACGCAAAATTCTAGGGTAACTTCACTTCACACTTCAGTGTAAAGTTGTCTAGGAGGGATAATGAAACATTTACAAATAATAATACCAGGCGGTTCAGAGGATACAATCCCATTGAAGAAAATGGTGTACACACACAGGTGTAAAAACAAATACACACAGCTGGTATTTCTTTTCATTTAACAAAAAAAAATAAGACGACGTACCATAAATTTCCACGTAATGTTTCAAATTCAACAGATGCTTGATCATCCGGTGTACAGAAATCCAAAGAAAACAGAGTAAAGCATACACGAAGGCGAAATCTCCGTCTAGACATTGTTACAGTAATACTGATTCACATATAAATAAATAAATAAAAACATTAAAGATAAAAATTAATTATGTGAAATAGAAGAGAGTATGACAAATGACTACGACTGTCAATATTAGTGAGTGAGCAACAGCATATGTTTTGTTTATTCGAATGGATCTACATTTCCGCAGGAGGCAAAAGGGCGGCCGCGACCTAATCGTAAGCTGTTTGGCAGAAGACTGGAGAAAAATGATTGTAAGTATTGTTGTGATGAGTGCTGATATTTATTCCTAGACTCTTTGTTGTAGTGTAACGACAAAAGACAAGGGCCAGGAAACAGATCGTTTATTGATAAAATCAAGAGGTATTTATAGATTTTCATGTGCATTATTATTAACCTTATTGTTAGTGGAAAGCAACCTCTTCTCATTGGTTATTCTGTTATTTCTATGTGGCCGTTTCTCAGAAAATCAAGTTATATATATCTGTGAATCATATTGCACACACTTTAACTCCGCTGTGACTGGCCGGTGATTTTCTCAAGGTTAATAAGCTTTGTTATTGTTTTTCTCATGACCCTGATTCGGGACGTGAACATGGACGTAAATTGTTGTCTACAATTTTGGCTTACAGATAGCTCTCACCACAGTAGTAGTGGTGGTCCATTGTCAGCAGAGAAATAAACAATCCCTGAAATGCCAAACTGTTTTCTGATATTCTCGAGTTGGTTACCACACCATAGTGTTATGAATGAGTTGTGAAGATTAGTTTTCTGGCAGCAGAGTCAAGTTCAGCATCTTTGTGTTGACAGTCTTTAAAGGTGGCAGCTTATGATTTGATCCCTGATGTGGACAATTGACAATGATAAGGGCGCGTATCAAGTGATCCACAGCAGAAGGAAACTCAATGAAGCCTTTGAAGGGGAGACAGCAGTAACACACACAAGGCTGCTTGCCAACTATCACCGGTAGTGTATTTCTAATTGTGATGGACAAGCATCAATCACTATCAATGGGAGAAATTTGAAAGAGGTTACTTCTTCTTCCACTTATCTAGGGAGCATTATTTCAACTACAGGCGGAATGGATGAGGATATCGAAACCAGAATCGGAAAGGAAAGACAGAACTTCATCGATTTAAAATCAGTTCAGAAATCTTTTGCACTCCTCAGCATAAAAAACAAGATCCAGTATTTCAACGTCAATCTTAAGTCAATCATTTCTACTATTATATAGGTCAGAAACTTGGCTGCCTTCTCTGGCTTCATATATTGACCAGCAAATGGCCGGTTGGATAGAATTAAAAACAATAAACTCTAGTCGCAAGCCAGTCAAGAAATATGCCAAAGAAAATGGAGATGGATCAAACAAACGTTGAGAAGACCGTTGGGTGACAATGCCCACCAGACAACCGCTCGAGTGGAAACCAAATGGAAAACGGTGAGTTGGGTATGTAGTCGAGGGTGACGTGGAGGCGATTGTGTGAGGAGTATAGATAAAAGCTTATGGGCAATCGTGGGGGCACGACCAGGTGAAGAGGAATACATTGAATAGGACAAAGTGAAAATTTTATCGTCAAATTCTTATGATCTATTCAGAACCCAAGGGAATACTAATAGTTATGGGGAAAAAAGTACTAAAAGCATGAAGTATCTAACACAATGTTCAATGATTTCTTTCTGTTATAAAAAAACCCATAGTCAAATCGATAAACTAGTGAATTACCCACAGCTTAATACACTAAAACTACTTATAAAGTTATTACTTAAGACTCTAACCTAAAATTATGTCTGGACCAAACATTTAAGACAGATTGAATAAATACGTATGCGGTGTATGCTAACTAAAGTCAATCTATAAAGATATATGAGTCTGAATAAAATGTCACTGAACAATCCATTTGCAATTAAATGCAGTTGACAACCGTCAAGTGACTCACTGACTGGCTGACTGAGTTCGAACACTGAAATTTGTACACACTTGCAACAGTTCAAGCTGTCACACTCCACGTAGTATACAAAGGTAGAATAAAGAAGAGAGAGAAAACAGATTCAAAAGAACAATAATATGCAGAAATGAGAGGGAGAAAGAAGCGTAATATGGATAAACATGAAAGTGTAATGGATATGAGAGAACCATTTTCAGCCATATCATCTACTGTCACTACAGCCATTGGTTCCTACCATCACGAAGAACTTAAACCAGGAATTTTTCGCCTCCTTACGTGGCTGACTTGATTAAAATAACTGTTATGGATTTCATTGACTGACGCCTCCATGGTGCGGTTTGATCACCACTAGCTCTCTTTCCCTATTCCTACCTGATCAATCCTATGTCAGTCAGCTTACATTGACCTATGAGGAAGGCGATCCATGGCGCAACAGCACATGTCCTAACCGTCTTAATCGACGTAACTTCACAACCTCATCGATTGATTTCCTACCCCCATTGTCATGTAGCTGCTAAATGACTGACTGGTTTCAACATATCATTGATTGTTTCCAGGCATTGGTTTTTGCTGTCTCGAGGACCCCCACCAGGAACTCTACATCTCCCAACGTGTCTTAAACGAACTCTAGTGAATTTCATTGACTGATGCCGCCATGTTTTAGTCTCACCACCACTAGCTCTCCCTCTTTTCTCAACTGATCACTACTATGTCAGTCAGCTAACATCGCCCGTCGAGGAAGACGATCGATCGATGGTTAGGCAGACATGAACAGCAACACATGTTCTAATCATCTTAATCGACGTAGCTTCACAACCATATCATCATCCATTGGTTTTTCCTTCTTACCTAACACTCGATCGAAGTCTAACTTCAATATGGCTCACCTTATTATTCCACCTAACACAGGAGACAAAGACAGGTAGTCGGGATTTTCATGTCTTCTACTTTCAATGGTCATTCATTCACTCACACGCAACCATAAAAGAGGGCGGAGTACACGCGTCCTTCGATCAACAGTCGTCTACGCTTGAGATGGCTTTATTTGGGATATGGCAAACGAGCCTTTTGTATCCGTGATGAGATTTCGTCAGCGATTAATCTGTTGGGGTTGATGGAACTTCCCAAATAAGTGAAATGGTCAAAACGCTCCATCACTTCACCCCCCACCCTATTTTTTAAGCTACGAGTAGGTGTATTCCAGTGCATAGGTATCACCTTACATTTGAAAGGAGCAGATCGTATGCCAAATATCTGAAGATTTCTGCTCAATGTATTGTCAATTGACAATAAGCCACATATCTATGGTGTAAGAGCTAATGATACTACTAATACTACTACCTGGCTTTACAAATCCCGATAAGTGGAGGAGGTTTCGCACAAAACGGACTAATAAGACACCGTCCTCCACTTACTCAGAAAGACAAATGATGGTTTTACCTGATGTGGAAGTATGTACATACATGGCCGACAATTAAAACTGGATTTCAACTGATGAGATAAACAATCCATAATGGGTGTCAGTGTCTGTAAGTATGGTATGTGCTTTGCAACGTCCAAGTGCAAAGTACTGTTACAAGATTGGCAGGAGCCTGTACCTGCACTCACTCTTGCGGGTGAATCGCTTGAAGTTGTCCATAGGTTTTTGTATCTGGGTAGTTGTGCGAGTGCTGGCGTAGGGGTGACGGATGAGATTTCCTACCGTACAATGAAGACTAGGGTGGCATACAACAACTTGAGCCACCTCTGATGCCGTCGCGACATTAGCCTGGCTGTCAAAAGTTGGGTATACAATGCTTCGGTGCGGGCTGTCTTGCTCTACGCCTGTGAAACCTGGCCTCTCCGAGCTGAGGATGTGAGGCGACTCTATGTGTTCGATCATCGTTGTCTCCACAGGATTGTTTGCGTTCGATGGCATCATCGCGTGAGTAATTCTGAAGTTTGGCGGCGTGTGTTTGAATACAGTGGAGATCACCATTCATTGAGTGTCGTCATCTGGAAACACCGGCTCCGGTGGCCTGGACATGTGCTGCGAATGTCACCCTAGAGGCTTCCGTACAGGTCTCTGTTCGCTAGCCAGCCCTGGGAAGGGATGGAAAAGGCGGAGAGGTGGCCAGTCCATGATGTGGCGTAGTGGGATGAAGGACTTTTGTGCTAGATTAGCATCGGTTGGTGTGTCACGACTCCCTGGTTGGGGTCCGCGAGATAGCTCGAATCGATGGCTCGAAACGTTATCGGATATGGCCAAGAATCGTAATCAGTGGCGAACGTGTTGCAATTTCCTTCTTTCCTCCCTTCCTGATGATAGTTAACGAATACTGTTTGAACTTGTTAAACATGACTGTTTTCCTTCCTGATGAAGTTCTTTATCCGTTTTCTACTTAAATATTTTTACTTTTAATCTATGTCGTTTTATTATTAATGTGTGGCGCATCTTTCTTGGTGCCATATTGTACCAAGTTTTTCTTCTGCGTTTAAATAATAATAAAACAAGATAATGAGACTCTTACTTAAATGGTCCTGGAGGAGTGATTGGTTGGAATATAGTTAGCGATTTCGGCACTTCACCAGTAGTAATACTATTATCAATAACGCTGGTCAATGATTGATGATACTGTTGTTGTCTTTGTTGTTGTTGTTGTTGTTTAAATGGTGTTCTTCGTGATGAATGTAATATCTGCGATCGACGGAGTGTAGAACGTGATGTTTGTTCAAATAATTTTCGCAGATTTTTCGGTGTGACACACATACCACTAAACAATTGGTCATTGAGCGAGATCACTGAAAAGACGACATCATATCTAGCCAACCATAAATGACGTAGATCAGCCGCCAACACCATATATGGTGTAATGATGAATTGAATTTGCTTAAAATAGAAGAAATACATACATATATTTTAGAAAAAGTAATATACGCAAGCTATACCATTTCAAAAGCACCACAAAAAGTATGCTCCCAGTTTAGCAGAGCGGTGCATTACTGAATAACAATGATAATAGCTTTATTCCAAGAAATGTTTATATATTGAACAGAATCTTCAGAGGAGTCTATTGCATGATATTTCCACATCGTCCAGGATCTTCAAATACAACACAAATTGACAGTAGATCACGTGACACAGTCCTATCTGACCTGAAGTGCCAACCAATCCAATAGGATTATCTCTTCTTTGTTTCCTTCAAGATATACACAACATTTTGATGATATTAGATAGTTGGAGGCAATCGGCAGGAAGCCTTGGACCTAGGTTTTGTGCTAGTTGGCAATCGTCAGGAAGGCGTATCTGCAACCTTGGATGAACTCATATCCCTTCTGAGATTCGAACCCACGTCATCCAGTGGGGCTGCAGTCAGAGACGTTACCACCACTAAGCTATTCAGGCTCGCGATACGCCTAACTGACGAGTGCCAACTAGCACGTAACCTAGGTCAAGCAAGGCTTCCTGCCGATTGCCTCCAACTATCTAATATCATCAAATCAATATGCACCGTGATGGAGAGCTACCTAGAATGGTGGCCACATTGCAAACCTGACTGATAGAATTCAGTTTACATCAAAGAAAGGACTAGACACTTTACACTAGTTACTAGTGTCCAATCAAAATGCAAAACATCTTGTTGAACGCCAATTATAAAATGTTCAGGAGTACATTTTGTGTACCAAGGACACCGCTCAAGAATGGTCATTTCACGTATTGGGATAAGTTACCATCAAGGATACTGGGATTTTTTTTCATGTTTAGTGGAAACTTGAGAATTGAAGTATGCGCTGAAAATGTTGCGCCTAGTAGGGTAATGAAGCTTCGCAAATAAACCACCTGTAGCTCAGAGAACACAACTACATCAATATCATCTACCTGAGTTAAAAATCTTCTCCATATCATATCTAAAACTTGACAATTACCAGGTTGTAAATGTTTTAGATACTCACCAGAGTAAACGATACTATCAGAGGTGATACTTTACTAGATTTAGACCAGCTGAGTAACAGCAATTATATACAATATATATATTGATTGAAGTTTCCGGTAGCCCAAGTTCTGAGTAGACCAACAAAAGAGGTTCAATACTCAAACAGTTCATGTCACTAAATCAAGCTTGGGGTTTTAACAATCAAGTAAAGATAACACCTTTAAAACACAAAAAGCGGGACGATTTTTACGAGGTATGAAAAAATTCTCATATGATGTAAGTGAGGCCACATGAGTCAGAGAAGAGATCCTCCTTTCGTAAATTCACATCAAAACTGTACGGTTATTCAGGGGATTTATATATACAGTGACAATAAACGCCAGCGGTTACTGTCATTTAGCAACAAAATAAATCAGAGTGTATGAGTAATAACAATTATGTTCGACAAATTGACAACAATCTTACTTAATCAAGAGAGAGTTGACAACTAATTAGTTCAGTCACCCAAAAATAAACACTGTCCTGACGTGCCCATGAACACTGTCACCAGAATGGTTATCATAAGGAGGATGTAGAACAGCCCACAGCTCAATTCTACAGCATACTATTCCATTTGGTCAGGCAGCACCCGCGTTAGACTTTTTTCAAAGGCATTAATTACCAAGTACAGGCCAAGCTGTGTTCAAAAGGATTTCGCCCACATATTCTTCATATAGTCGAAGCCTTAGCAATCCATTAGGAGAAATCTAAACCTTGTGTTCAGAAACGTTTTATCCAGTCTCTTCTACTACCATTGCCTTAGTGCTAATTTCTTTCTTCCTTCTATGTTTTTTTTCTGAATAATTGTATAATAAGCTCTATGTAGTTACTCTTAGGCTTTTCGTAACTCACTTTCAGTCCTTTGTCCTCTTGTTTTTTATAAATTATACCCAAGTGATTATTCACCCCTCACCTAATTTGTTTTCAACTCCATTTTTCGAGCATAGGTGTTCGACTTATTCTGCTATTAACAATAACCTGTAACAAATTGTTATCAGTCTACATTGAATATATAAATTAATGTATGTGTAGAATTTGGGCACTGTGGTAGGATGTAACTCCGTCTTAGATAAGTTTATTTTAAATACCATACAGTGATGCAGTATTGACAACTGGATGACGTTTCGAGGACAAATGGCTGTTCGTAGTCATATCAATCTAGTCTTACATCTTCACATTTTGTCTTTTATATACATATATATTCTCTCTTCCCCCTGTTGTTTACTACCACTTTGCATTTGTGCAGTATAGGGCTCTGTTTCGTTTCGATTACACGTGTGTGGTGTTGGATTGATAAATAAAGATTCTGTGAATAACCCTTTCTCTCTCTCTCTTCACCTAACTATATTTACTCTTCAATTCTATCACCCTGTGCAACCGTATTTTGCCATTACATGCAAGTGAATGCAGTACAATGGGGGTGGCATTTAAAACAATCAACTCTCCTCTTAGAGATAAACTTCCAAAGGTTTTATTCGCTTGTCTAGTGTAATCAAAGTTCCAATACTTAATATTATAGCTATTATATTACTATTCTGTTGCGTCCGCAATGGAACATAGGGCTAAAGCAGCACATCTTCATTTCACTCTCGTCTCTGAAGTCCTTTCTGTTGCCTAAACAATTTTACCCATAAGTTTCCATCTCTTCCTCACACGATTTCATCCTTGTCACTCACTGTTGGACGCCCAACTCGTCACTCGATTCCTATTCGGGTTTCGTTGGAGGACTTGATGTCTCTGACTAGAGGTCTCTTCAGTATATGTGTCCAACCTTTCGCCATTTGTTTTTCCGCAAATTAGTTGGGCGATAGATTCTTTGGTTAGTTCGTTGCCTGGAAGAGTTCCGAATTGATTAGTTCTTCTAGTCGGCAGTCATTATCAAGATGACGCAAGCAGCTGGTGGTTGATGAAAACTAGTATCAGAAATAATTTTCATGATGCGAGTTAAATTTCTGAATCAATCATGCAGAAGCACTGATTGGATATTAGTGTCAAAAATTCCGTTCTTGTTCCTTTAAGGTACTTCTTCCTACTAGTAAAGATTTCATTTGACTACTATAGATTCCCAAGACGAATTACTCGTGTTGGCATGTCAACTCTCTATGAACAGAGTGAAGCTTAGACCCCCTAATGGGTCTTAGGCACCTTGGGTACTCAAAACTGAACCGAATGGTGGATAGAGATTATCATCTGCCCCTAAAAGTCTGTTATTATTATTATTATTTATTCCATGTAAACTATAGACTTTTATGAGAATATTGAAGATCACTATATCAGACGGATAAAGCTAATATGTTTCAAAGATATCTTTAATTGGACACTAGCTAGTAACTAGTATCTCATGTGTCAAGTCCTTTGTTTGACGCAGACTGGATTCTATCAGTCAAGTTTGCAATGTGGCCCTACCATGCTAGGTGCTTCGACATCACAGCGCATTATGAATCAAAGTATCGAATGCAGTCCCTACGAGAAGGAGGCCAATTTCGAGTTCGAATAGCTCAATGGTAGCACCTCTGACTGAAGCACTGGGTGACACATCTTGCTGACTGGTGGTAGTGAGTCCCTAGGTCGAAGTCCTCCTCCTGCCGATTGCCTCCAACCATCTAATCAGCACAACAAATCAAAGATTTCATTGAATAAAACAATATTTTGGCTGTATAAGTGACGGTTCATGAATTTGAAAAAAAGAACCCAAAATATAATGTTTCACAACGGTGAGAAAACAATCGACTTTGATAATTTGAGTTAATAGGACAGAGAAGTTGTTGAAACGCTTGTTTTGAAATATCACCACCATTAAACGTATTCACTTTTTTGCATTTCAAAATGGAACATAGGACTTCGAAGATTGAAGTTTCCATTCCCATTAGGTTGCACTACTACTAACTCCATGCTCAATCGTCCCTTCCTCAAGGAAAGACGAGATCCAGGAGTGTGTGTATGTGTGCATCGGACAATAATTGAACCTACACATTCCGTGTAGCTGATGAGTACATTGTACCATCAAACCACCAACACAGTAATATGAATTCATGGGAGAGAGAGAGAAAAAAAGGTTAAATAAAGAATAAATTTCATTAAAGATGATGCATATACTTGGTTGGTTAGTGAGCTTACTCTAATCGCCTGATCCAATGTTAAACCAATACATAGATTTCTTAGTTCATCTGATCCTTGAGTACTCAAGTAGTCAATACAAACACGGGCTACAGATTCAACAGGTGGACATTCTACTGGGCAATCAACTAGATTATAGGAATAAATAATATAGACAATTAAAAAAGTAATAATTACTATAAGGTATTATATACATGCATACAAAAACACAAACAAATAAGATTTCGGAACAAAAATAGAAGCAATCACAATGTATGTCAAATTACCTCACACTGACGAAACTTTCATAAATAAAATTAATGAGCAAATTACTATGACTACTACAAGATAGAATGTACTACTACTCAACAACCCTTTGCAATTCAGTCCAATTGGCACACCTATTAAACGAAGGCTAGTAAATGGAATGCAGATCGATAGAAAGCAGTCAGAATTGATATCAACATTTTAAGTCAATGGCTGGATTGCAGAGGTAGATGTGTATATTCCTCAAATCTGGATCTAGGTTACATTGTAGGCATGAAATAGTCTCATTGGACAACTCTTCAGGCACCCTGTTTAACTAACCTTGAGCCAATCAACGACCAATCAGAACAATGTATTCGTCTGTTGATCTAGCCAACTTTTGATATGACTAAAAATGGATATATATATATATATATATATATATGATGTGTTTTCCCCTTAAAATAAAGGTCCGTTACAAAACTGTCTTATCTTCTGCCGTAACAATACTACTACTGTAACAACAGAAGACAAGGGCCAGGCAACAGATCGTTCATTAAGGAAAATCAACACATATTTATAGATTTTAATATACATTGTTGTAGATTATTGTTAGTAGAAAATGCAGTCTTTTGATTGGTTGTTTCTCACAGAAAGTTAACCTTGTATCTCTTTGTGGCTGTGTCAGATCATCCATATGCTAACTGTATCCGCCTACGCAAAGCCTTTGTTCTCATTTTCTCACGACCAATATTGGGGACATAAACATTGACGTCAATTACTCTGTCTACCAACTTTGGCTAGCAGCCAGCTCTCACCACACTACTACTACTACATTGGCTGTCGAAACCTCGGTAGGCGGAGAGAGGGTTTCAAACACATCACCTATTACTGGTTGAAAGTCGACACCAGTAAGCTACAGCTCCTCCACCACTGATCCCGATTCATATCATTAGTCATTCTTGACTGTTGATGGAATTTTATCGAAAAAATTTTTGAAGCATCACCACTGAGTTAGAAGGTATAAAACAATATATCGTATCGTAATTAGGCATTCGTTTCTGCGAAACATGAAACTGAAGAATTTCAGTTATACGGCATCAGTAGCAACGAGACTTTATCTAATGCAGCATGTTTAAAAACACAGAACTTAACTTTCATCTGATAAGACAAAATGAAATACATCACCGAGTAAATGCGAAACCGACCCACAAGGTTAAGTATTACTGGCATATATTGATGAAAAAATATATATGGGCAAAGCTAAAGCATAGTAGCGATCTAGGCGAACAAACCGACACTACATTTGTTGAGGAAAAACGTTTAACAAGGTGTAGAAATATTAAACCAGTGCCCTACATTGAAATGTTGCTAGAATAACTTCAAGTCCTTCATCATAGAAAAGTGTAGGCGTAATTATCATCTAAGTTAAGCAGGAAGAGTTAAAAGCTAGAAGTTGGCAATGAAAATATTGTCAAGGAAGACAATGAAAGTCTGTCAATTAAAACACCCAGTAAATAGGATACAACTACATCAAAATCATCCACCTGAGGTACAAATCTTCTCTAACATTTCAAAGATAGATGAAATGTAGGCCCTGGTAGAAGGTGGAATCCACGGGCTGGTCATTTGGATCGGGTCTATGAATTTATCTTGTAACCGGAAGGTCCTGAGTTTGAATCTCAGTGGGTTCGTAACGTTGAAGAGTCTCAAACTAGGAAAAAACAGGTTTCCAGTACTCCCTCCATAATGGTTTTCCGATGGTTCTCTAACTGATATTAGCTCGTGATCAAACTTGAAACAAATCAGATCTATTGCAGACTAACACTTCAAAAAGTATTCTATAAATACCGAGCAGTATCCGTTATTCGTCATTATCTGATTGGATACTACAGGACCATCGACGTCGTGCCTTTCGTTTAGATCACTATTTTGCTTTAAATTCATTATCGAAAGCTGTCATGGAATGGTCAACTGACAAATTTCTACAGCTGGGTACCCATTGGTCGAAAACGAAACCTGGTCCGGTCGCTTGCCACTCGCATTCGGTGCGTATGTAGCCCTGATACTGTGGAGGATGAGATAAATCTTTTGAGGAAAATCCTGATCGAAAATGGATTTCCACCACATTTTATAGACAAGAATATACATTCAAATCGTTTAAAACGTGACTTATCATCCGCACCCAAGAAAGTAGTGTACATGAGCTTGGAATTCAAAAAGGACTTAGCTTCCGATATCATGAAAAGAAGGATATCACTGTCCCTGAAAAGAACATTCCTTGCTGCATCTCTGAGAATAGTCTTTACTAGTCGACCATTACTGTTCAATAACCTGAAGGACAAGATCCCGCTGTTGACCAACTCTGTGTGTTTATCAATTCACCTGCTCGTGTAGAGCTAGGTATATCGATCGTTCGACTCGAGTTTTGTCCAAGAGGGTGCAAGAACACTATCCTGCATGGCTACGAAAAGGTGGCAGTGAAGCAATAAGAAGCGCGATCATTGAATATCTGGTCGATAATGATCACCCTATCTCTATAGCCTCCGCCTTTAAAGTCATCTACAAGGCAAAAAGTAATTTGCCCAAATCCCTACGTACCCAACTCATCTGTATTACTGAAGCTTTGGCTATCGAAACAGAAATGCCGGATCTCTGTGTACAGAAAAAGTTCGTTCAACACCTCCAACTTTCATGGTCTTAATCTCTCTCTATGTTAGAGTTTAGTTATCCCTAACCATATTTTGGCTGTACATATTTTTCGTTTTGTTAATTCAATTTGTATACTCTTCCTTTAATTGCATCAATTGTTACTATTACTATTCTCAATTTGAATTGTTCCCCGGTATTATTTCACTTGTTCCATTTGGCGTTCTAAATCAACTCTGTTTTTGCAACGGTAAGTTTTATATTATCAAATTTCACACAATGTTACATAACGTTTTTGTTTTATTCGATTTGTCTACTAATCCTATAATTGCACACCCTTTCCAAGTTCTATCTATCCTATCAATTATTCTACATATGACATTAATTTGTTTTGCCACTTGACATTTAACTACGATTATAATCACAAACATTTTAGTTTTAATTGCATTTCATACTAGTATTATTATTTTCTGCATTCACATCTATTAAATTCATGTCACACGATAAATTTACTCTAGTCGAATTCTAGGATTTACTAAAAAAGTAATTGATTTATGACTTCTGTATGAAAAACAGAAGTAAAAATTGAGGGCTCGTCAATTGCTTCAACAATTCAATTTCAGAATTACTAACTGAATGAAGTGAATTCGAAAATCATGTTGAAAATGCTGAATTTATAGCGCTTTAATTAAATTATACATACATGTATATGTAATAATTCAAATTATAATAATTTTAGTAAAACAAATGCATTCCCATGCCTTCTTAGAAGGTATAAGCTGAAAAATGATAACTCATGTTGTTTCTGTGATAAAAAAAAATGAAGAAAATCCTGGAAAATTTGGTAGATATTGCCTGGCAGTGGAATCCAGGATACGCAACCCATCCTATTTGGGACTCGTCATCGGGATTTATCTGCACCTCCCAATGAGACTCGACCCTATAGTTTCGAATTCCAAAAGGTTATCCACCAAGTCACTTGGACCACAGGAGACACCTTTTGTGCAATAAGTATCAGTAATTATATGATTCAATTTGGACTTCCCTGTTGATTGGTTGGAGGGAAATGCTCGGTCTTAGGTTGACATGTCTGCTAATTGTGCGAATGCTTCAACGATTTCTGAAGAACTAACCAGAAGTAATCTGGTGGATGGTGACATGTAAGGAGGGGAAATCAATCGACGAGGCTGTGAAATTACATCGACTGAGATGGTTAGGACATGTGTTACGCATGCCTAGCCATCGCCTTCCTCGACGGGAAATCTTAGCTGACATAGGGTCAGCTTGGAAAAGAGAGTTAGTGGTGGTCAAACCACAACATGGAGGCATCAGTCAATGAAGTCCACAACAGTTAAATTGAGCCATGTAGGAAGATGTAGACTTCTTGGTTGGGGTCCTCGGGACGGTGAAAACCAATAAGGGCTGGAGACAATCGGTGATACGGCTCAAAGTGATCATTGTCAATGGCTGGCGCAGATGCATCCACTCCTTGTGACTTATGATTTCCAATGAAACAGAATTGTTATTCGATATTACTATTCCTTTTGCCTCATATCCCTGTCTGCTGTCTCTATGATGCATTTCTTCTACTTTCTTATCTTGCTTTGTGTGCTACATGGAGTGTGGTGACTTGAACTACCGCACATATGCGCAAAGTTCTATGTCGAAAACAGACAGACGTGTCAAAAGAAGTCGTGCACTCCGTTGAAGTCAATCAACGGGGAGTCCAAAATGAATTAAATAAATTCTTGAAAAGCCTAGATATTTTGCATTGATATCTTGCCTTCAAAACTAAAACCAAACAGTTAGTTGTCTAAGAAACATGCTATGTAACATCAATTTTATTCGTTGGGACTTAGCCATTAAATATCAGTTTTCAGTGGTTGACACAACTGTACATCATCCACTCCACTCATCTCATCAACGCATTACTGTGGTGAAAGCTGACTGCAAGCCAAAATTGTAGACAGCAATTTACGTCAATGTTACGTCCCGAATCGGGAACATGAGAAAAACAATAACAAAGCTTAACCTTGAGAAAATCACCAACCACCAATCACAGCAGACTTAACGTGTGCTAATACGATTCGCAGATATATGGCTTAACTTTCTGAGAAACGGTCACAAGCAGTGCAGAGTAACCTTCAGCAAGAAAACAACAAGTCAGAAGACGTCGCTTCTCAGCTGACAATAATGCACAAAAAATCCATAAATATCTCTTGATTTTCTCAAAAAACGATCTGTTGCCTGGTCCTTGTCTTCTGTCGTTACATTATTAGTAGAATGAAGACAAATGCTTATCCTATCAGTCGGTTTTAGTGAAATTTTGCATCAGTTAGACAATCTTAAAATACTCGCTACTCATATAGGAGGCGAAGGATCGGTCACAGGACAACATACTGCTAAACTTCGGCTTAGCTTACTGATAGCCAGTAGTAAATCTGGAGAGGAAGGCAGGTTGGTTTGGCGTAAGGTTAGCAGTACCAACTTTCAATAGAAATACAACCGATATTTATATCATGAATACGGTTGAATGTTAATGTACTCGACTGAGAGTCTGAGGACTGACGATTATAGGCGGTAATCTAGACTGAAAGTACGGTAGGGTGACACTAGAACTCATAACTTCACGGCTAAAATTCGCATGATTAAGCCAATAAGTAAGTCAAGTATGCTGATGACCTCTCTGTCTCTATGCCTGTCAACTTTCAGGCAGATTGTTCCAAATTAAATAACTTTCTGTCGGAAATTAGTCAGTGGTCCTCTTCAAACGGTCTTTAGCTGAATCTGTCTGAATGTCAGGTAGTCAATTTTACTTTCAGACGAAAACGTGATCTACAACAACTAGCTAGCTCACATGGTCCCACTATCATTGACGGCATAGAGGTTGAAATTACATCTAGTGTTAAGTACCTTGGACTTAGTATTTCCTCCGATTTTTCCTGGTCCTCTCACATCTTGCTAGTGACTAGAAAGATGTTTCGCTTAACGTTCTACATTAGGAAGTTAAGGCAGTCTGGTATAAAACAGTCTTTGCTTTCTCAGTTTGTCGATTCTTGTCGATTCTAACCTTTCTTCTTTACTGCTCCCCATTAGTCTTTCCTGGACTACTTAAGAAAGATTTTGCTTTGCTGCGTAGGGCACTAAAAGCTGTTAGTAGGGGAAGTGGGATTTCGTTAAACCAACTGGTCAACACTATTGTGGATAGACATATAATGTCATGTAAGAAACTAGCGAATACTACATTGTCAGACCCCGAATACCCTCTCTATACGCAGCTCTCTCCTTGCATTTCATCTGGTAGAACTTGAAGCAGTTATAGGAGGCTATATGCTAGGACTACCAAGTACAAAAACTCCACAATTCCTTATCTGGCACAGCTGTTATGTGATGAGAAATCCGTTAGGTATGACACGATCAACTTACTGCGACACTCTAAAAAATAGTTCCCATTAGCTTTTGTTCTTCTTTCTTTGTTACTATTATATTGTTGCTCACATATTCTATTACAAACTAATTTTATATTTCATATCCTGTAGTGCATTGTTTAAAATGTGAATACAATGCTGTTCTTTTTTATTTCTTTTATTTATCTTTTTTTCTTTTTGTTGTTGTTGCTTTTTATTTTTAAAATCTTATAAAAATTTATGAGGTAATTAGATGCAATATTGTAATGAACGCTGAAAATTCCATACCTGTACCACAAATACTGTTTGGAATAAAGCTATTATTATTGTTATTATAACAAAACACATGTAACAGCGATATGACATTTCAACTATATTCATACATGAAGCTTAGTCAACTGACATAGTAACAATTATATAGACCTAATAAATGGGGAATACACTGATTACTAAATCAAAGTAATGCGAATAATAATAATAATTTTAATTTTAATTGTTAGATTATCGTCACTAACCGACATCATCTGGAGAGATCATTGAAAAACAACCAAGAGAACTACTCGACAGTTGTTTCGTCCTATTTTGGATATCCTCAACAGTGCTAACCCACTACCCCACCAGGTAACGAAACTTTAGACCGTCAGGTTATGACACCAAGCTCGTGAACGACCATTCAGCCAGCCACTTGGGCTATATCACAGAGTTAACAAAATCAGAATCCAGGGGATTACTTGAAAATTGGTCTCGTAATCTGGAGGTCGCAGGTTCGATCCCTGATGAGGAGTCCCAAAATGAGACGAAACAGCTGTCTAGTACCCCTGGTTGGTTTTCAATGATCTCTATGGTGGCAACTAATGCCGATTCTTGACGAAAATCTAGCTATGGAAATCAATTCAAAATCACCACAAACCAAATAATCTGAATAATAATAATAATATTCACATACCATCATCTGGAGAAGCAACTTGCAACTTTGTTACCTTCAAGTGTTTTAGACTGAGTAAATTTTGCTCATCGCCAACATGATTAAAAGTATGAAAAGGAGATGGAGGAGGGGGGATTTCGCATACTTGACAGGTTAAAATAAAATTCACTAATCCCAATAATGTTGTCAATTCATAAATATGATTTTTAGATGACTTCAATGTAATACGAGACGGCGCAAGTCTGTTTTATCACCAAAGGAAGAAACAATAATAATTAATAATATCTTTTTTTTAAATTGTATTAGGTAATAAATAACAGAATGAAATTGTCTAAAGATCAAGTGAAAAGTCGTGACCAGTGCGGGGTCGTCTCACACACTTGGATGTGACAACAAATATCCGCCGACAACACACTGATCGGCAGAGCCGATCTATACCCCACGAAATTGCCAGAAATTGGAAATCATGGAGGTCACTAGACTCCATGATATACGAGCTGTTATTGTAATCTGAAAGCCTTAGATTCAGTCACCGGTGGGATCATGGCAGGGGGCGGGATGCTTACTGATGAAAAGTATTGGACAAGGTCTCCCACAGCCTAGTGACACAACTTAACCTGATGTCAACTCAATCCTATGTACTGCACATTCAAAAATTATTCTATTATTATTATTATTATTAATTAGCATTGAGGTTCACTTTGAATTCCTATTAAATCCTACTAAAAAGTTGTTGACAGAAGACACAACGAAGCAAAATGAATACGTGAAAGCAGTCATGTAGTATTGAGACATGTCAGCAGCAGCGGCAACTGACAGAGTTCAGAAATCATTACATATAATCGGATTTCAACTCAATGAAAGAATGGTCACTCAATGATAATGTAACCTGGTAGTCCAAAGTTTCTAATAGCTTAGCATAACTGATTTAATCACAGTGCTCCTTATCATTATTATATTGTTCCCTTGGGTTCCTAGTGGAACGTAGGGCTTCAACTGTACGTCTCCACTTGCTCCTGTCTTCTGCTGTACTTTTCACTTGCATCTATGTTAGTCCATACTGTTTCAACTCTTCTTCACACGATCTCCTCCATGTCACCCTTGCACCGACGTCCCACTCGCCGCTTCCCTTTCACGTTCCACTTGAGGGCCTGACGTGCGATGTCACCCAGCGGCCTCCTCAGCGAGTGTCCAATCCATCTCCACTTTCTCCTGCATATTTGTTGGGTAATTGGTTCTTGTTTTGTTTGTTCCCATAGTTTCTTGTTTGTGATTCTTTCCGGCCATCTAATCTTCAGTATAGAACGAAGACAGTTGTTGATAAAGGTCACCCTGCAACAGGCTGTTGAAAATACTCATTCTTTGTGACCCGCCAAGTTTCTGATCCGTATAGAAGAACTGACCGACTTGACGTTTGTATTGAAAACCCGAATTTTGTTGTTGATGTAGGCTGAGTGACGAAGATTTCCAGATTGGTTTCAGGTTGATGAATGTGTTTCTGGCCGTTCCGATTCTCGATTTGACATCCTCGTCCGTTCCTCCTGTGGTTGAGATAATGCTCCCTAGATAAGTGAATGAAGTAACCTCTTTCAAATCCCTCCCGTTGATGGTGATTGGCGCTGTATGTTGCTGTTGTTGGTTGGTTATCCGTCTTGTCTATGTTCACCTGGAGTCCTGTCTTTGCTGCTTCTTCGACCAGTTTCTCGGTTTTCGCTTGTAAGTCTTCGATTTTGTGTGACATCAAACATAAATCATCCACTCGCGGAATCCCGGTGTTCTAGGTTCTTCACGTCGGTCCAGGATATCTCTGTCTTCTCGTTTCCCACTGTCTGACGCATAATCCAGTTCACCACAATCAGGAATATCATTGGTGATAATAAGCACCATTGTCTGACTCCTGTGTTTACTCCAAACGCCTCACTGAGTTTTCCGTTGTGGATCACTTGACATGTATCGTTGTCGTACAGCCGTTGAATAAGGTTGATGAATATTTGGGGTACGCCGTAGTACTCCAGTCAACGCTGTCGAAGGCCTTCTCAAAGTCTATAAAGTTGAGGTAGAGGTTTGATTGCCATTCCATGCTTTGTTCGATGACATTGTAATTGTTTTTAAAATTGACACAGTTTTCGTGACAAAGAATACCTCAAGAAAAAATCAATAGTTTCTTTGATTACCCCAAGAATTTGAGACTTTGAAGCAGTACGCCTAGAAATTGACGTTACTATTATTATTATTATTCCCTTGGATTCCGAGTGGAACATAGGGGCTTTAACAGCACATCACCACTTCACCCTGATCACTGCAGTCCTCTATAGCTCACTCCAAGATTCCCCTATAAGCTTTTATCTCATCAATCGATCTTCTCTACATCAACATCAGACACATGCCCAATTCATCATCTTCCATTCGGATTCCACTCGAAGGCTTGTTATGGTGTGTAATGTAACGCGACGTCTCCTCCCCTCAGATTGTTTCCGATCGATATCTATTTTCGCCGGAATATATGTTGAGCAATACGTTCTTTGGTTGGTTCGTTCCCAGAGTTTCTTGTTGTTAAGTCTTTCTGCCCCTTTGATCCTGAATATGGAGGGAAGGAGGAAGCCATTGATAAAAGTCTGTGGAGACCTGTTAGAGAGGCTTTTAACGACGCGCAGTGCAACTTTCCGACCCATAGAGAAGAACTGAAAGACTTAACATTGGTGTTGAAAATCCGATTCTTGTCGTTTATGCTGAGTACAGAAGATTCCCAAACTGGTTTCAGAGTGATGAAGGTCTGCCTTGTCTTGCCTTTCCGATCCTGACTGGTCTTGACATCCTCATCCATGTCATCCGCGTGTATTTGAAACGATGGTGCCTTGATCAGTGAAGGAAAGGACGTCTGTCAAATTTCTTCTTTTGATATTCATTAGTGCTTGATGCTGTCGTTGTTGGTTGGTTGGTTACTTCCATCACTTTCCTTTCCTCAATGTTCCCTTGAAGTCCTGTTCTTGCTGGCTACCTCTTCTATTAACTAGTTAGTTTTCGCTTGTAATTCTTCGAATTTATATGACATTAGACATAAATCATTCGTAAAGTTCAAATTTTCTAGAGTCTTCTTATCGGTCCAACGTATTCCTTTCTTCTTACTCCCCACGCACGGTGTGCCACATAATCCAGTCCACCAACACAATTAGGAATATCCTTGGTGATAGCAGGCGATCGGCCTTCTCATACTCCTGTCTTCACTTCAAGAGCTTCGCTAAAAATTCCATTGAGGATCCCTTTGACATATAGCACTGTCATACAGCTGTTGAATGAGGTTTACGTCTGCCCACATGCTTTCATCTCCTCTTCGCATGACCTTCTCCTCTATGTCACCCTCTCACTGACGACCAACTCATCGCTTCCCGTTCGGGTTCCACTAAAGCAAAGACCTGGCGTGTGATATCACTTGATGGTTTGTTTTCTCAGAGTATGGCCAGTCCACCTCCATTTCTTCCTGCTTATTTGTTGCACAATCGGTTCGTTCATTGCCAGAGATTCCTGCTGATGATCTTTTATGACCGGCCATATGATCTTGAGTAGTATTGAGCGAAGACAGCTGTTGATGAAGGTCTGTGGTTTGTTTGAGATGCTCTTTATGACGCGCCAAGTTTCTGATCCGTATAGTAGCACTGACTGACTTCACATTGGAGTTGAAAATCCGGATCTTATTTTTCATGATGAGTGCTGTTGATCTCCTCCACACAGACTTGAGAGAAATGAAAGCTTGCCTTGCTTTCCCGATCAGCGCTTTGATATCCTCATCAGTTCCGTCAGCCTGTAGTTGAAACGATGCTTCCCAGGCAGGTCGGTAGTTAAAGGAGGTTGCTTCTTTCAGATTCCTACCATTTATGCTGATTTTTGTCTGTTGTAGTTGCTGTTGGCCAGGAATCTTCATCTCCTCTGTTTTCTCTATGTTCACCTGAAGTCCTATCTTCTCTAGATGCTTCTTCTGTCAACTTGTTGCTTTTCACTTGTATATCTTCCAGTTTGTGGTTCATGTTAACATACAGAAATCTGATTTATAAAATAACTAGTCACAAGAATACCTTCCTCCCCCTAAAAAAGCACTTGTGGAATACAACCAATGAGAAATCTTTCGAGAAATACCCCCCCCCATCATTGTAAGTCTAAAGGCTTAAATGACCTCAGCCCAAGAAAAACGAACAAACAAGATGGGGGAAACGGTCAACAGTTTACCGATTACTTCGAAATACAAAAGACTAACTGATTGACTGGCTGGTTAGCTGAGTTTCAACATAGAAATTCCACAAAGAAGTCCACAACCAGTTAAAGTTTCTACGCTACATAGAGAACGGAAAGGGTTTAGGGAAGAAATATATGGGAGAAAGAATAGCAACACGAGGAATTGGTTACAGGATTTCATCATGAGCTGACATCATCGGTTAGAGAACCATTGGAAAACCTGCAGGGAGTACTGGACAGCCAGCTGTTTCATCCAACCTAGTTTGGGACTCTTCATCAGTATGGACCTACAACCAAGGTTCGAACCAAGGACCTTCTGGTTACAAGGCTAGCAAGCTCGTAAACCATTAAGCCACTGGGACTCGATTCAATATCCCATAAATTCCAAATTCTACCAATTCACGACACAGTGCGTCCGCTAGCCTGTAACCAATCAATCAAATCCCTGCAAACCAATACTTGAAAGCACGAGGAATTATTGGATCTGAGTCATTCATTACAAACAGTGAATACACACACACCTGTACACTATTGACAGTCATAGTTTTGAACAATGCAACAATCACACACACACACATGAACTCAAACAACTTACAAGTTCACAATTTCTTCTTTAAAAGAGAAATCACGCATATCACCTATAGCATTCCCATATTTATTTCTGTTGTTGTTGATGTTGTAATTCTTCCCACCACCTAATCTACAATCATTTCGATCATGAGGTGATGATGATGGTAGCGTTATTGGGATAGGGAATAATTCTGTACAGCCGACACTTCTATTGAATAAAAGTCTTGAATTATACCGTTTGTTATTATTAGCTCGTTTCACTTCTTGATATTCTTTTAACTTTACTTCTAATGATTCTTTCTCTTGTAAGAGTTGGTTATTTGACTGACGTAGTTGAGTTTGACGATTTTTTGCATCTATTATCTTTTGATTGGTTTCATTCAATTCTGAATAAAAAAATAATAATAATAATTACAATAACACAATGAAATCTTCGAAACATTGATACTACTGAATAAAGAATATCCTCTTTCAATTTTGATCACGGATTGATAAAAGGTAGAGAAGCATTAAAAACTACTACAGATTACTGGACAGCTGTTTCGACCCTAGATTTGGACTCCTCAGCAGTAGACACCCACTATCAGTGTTCGAACTCATGACTTTCCGGCTACAAGTCAAGAGCGTACACCATTTAGTTACTGGGAGACGACTCAATGACCAGCGTGACCACCAGCCAGTGTCATCGCTGGCGAGTATTTATCCTCACTTCCGACTGAATGGACACCGCGGGTCACGACTTCTCACTAGAACTGCAGGCAACTTTTCCCCACGGCCAGTCACTAATGAGCATCAGATTATTTTTCAACAGTTCACTTGTAGGGATTAGTGCTTGCACTAAAATCACGAATTCATGGGCCATTGAGTCGTGTCCCTTTGGCTGAACAGTCCACGAGCTTGACTTCTAGGCGAAAGGTCTTGGGTTCTAAACCTGGTGAGCACGTACTGGCGAGGAGTCCCAGACAGCTGTACAGTACTCTCTGGTATCTAATAATTCTCTAATTGAGATCAATGCGTAATCAAACCTGAAATAAAATCAATTTCCTACAAAACAAATTCATGACAAGAATATTCTTTTCGATCACCTCTTCATGAGATTTACAGTTATATGCATACATATTATCACATTCTCGCGTAGTGCATGGTGGGTTACCAACAATGTGCCATTTAATTTCTGAGTCGTGTCCCTTTGGCTGAACGGTCCACGAGCTTGGCGAAAGGTCCTGGGTTCTAAACCTGGTGAGCACGTACTGGCGAGGAGTACCAGACAGCTGTACAGTACTCCCTGGTATCTAATAATTCTCTATCTGAGATCAATCTGTGATAAAAAAATCAATATCCTACAAACAAATTCATGAAAAGAATATTCTTTTCGATCACCTCTTCATGAGATTTTACAGTTATATGCATCCATAATTATTATTATTCTCTCCAGTCGCGAGTGGAACATGTGGGGGTTATTAATACTGCACCATTGAACTTTCTGATCTCTGCAGTCTTACGTAGTTGGCTCCACGATTGCCCATACGTTTTCATTACCTCCTCGTCATCATATAATATCCACTACGTCACAATTGGTCTCCTAACTTGTCATTTCCCATTGGGATTCCATTCAGGGTTTCCTCAAAATGTACATCTGATCCATCTCAGCTTACTTCTGCATAATAGTTGGGCAGTATTTCATTGCAAGAGTCCCATAGAATAGAACGAAGTTTAGATGTGCTGTTGAAGCCCTTTACTCCACTCAGAATACAAAGAAAAAACAATAGCAATAATAATGGTTAAATTATAACCTAGGTTTGTCAGTTCGCTACACCGAAATATTCTAAGGATGGTTCCTATGCAATGTTTAACAGTATGTTAATGATTATTAATTTCATTGTCATTACACGTATGACCAAGACATGATGTCAGTTAACTGTTGGTGACAGATACATCAAACGCCTGACATCCCACTGAATTTAGTGTAAATATCTTGGCACACTGCTTACTCACAATCCATAATATTATGCATATAACATCTACCGTAGCCATTGTCACTGGTGAAATCCCATAAAACTATGCATGTTTAAAGGCAAATCGGAATTTTAACGTTGGATATAAGAGGAATGATTGTGAGACTGAAAATTATGCCAACGACGACATAACAACACATCACATCACCGACTTCCTTTCCTCCATCCAATTGCTCAATACAAAACATAAGTAGTAGTAGTACTAGTGGATGATGAAACTTTTCACTCACTTTGACGCAATTCTTTAGCATACTTTTCCAGTTTTTGTAAATCTTTGATTTCTAAAATAATAACAATGAATAAAATAATAATTATTATTTTTAGGATTTAAGCAAATTATGCACTAAACTGAACTATCACTTACTCTACAACATAACAATCATATTCTAAATGTTTCTATATGCAACATAAACGAAAGATATTTTGACTTATATGGTATAACAGTGGATGCCTTATGTGAGGAAGGGACATCTGAGGCCTTACGTAGGATTCTCAATAAAGCAGGAATTAGGGTGGTGGCATTCAAACCTACAAACTCTGTAGGCTAAAGGACCCTGTCGGTTGACCCAATTAGACAAAATAATATAATTTACAAAATACCTTGCAATGACTGATTGAGGTCAACTACATAGGTCAAACTAGTAGATAGGGTCGGTAGTCAGATTGTCGGAACATAAGAATTTAGCTAAGGTAAGAATGGTTGACCCCGAGAAGATAAGTAATTTTTAAAAAAAACGCTCAGCGATTGCACTACATGCATTGACACACAACCACACAATAGGGTGGAAGAGGGTTAAAATTCTAATAAGTAATCTAGGTAGGTGGAGAGAGAGAGATTGATTACTGAATCCTGCCTGGTTCATTGAGTCTACACCCAACACATGCAACAGAAATGACTCAATGCAAATACCAGAGACATGGAAGATATTATTACCACCAGTCAGTCAAATCAGAGGAGGATAATAAATAATCTTAAAATTCTATTTCAATTCAAGCACATTATAACATTCTAACAAGTTACTTATTTTGACTATAAAAACACTCGTCTTATTTCCCATCTGATTGTATTTGATCAATAACACTCATATTATTATTTCTGAATGTACATTATCTCATATTGATTTTAATTCAAATGTCTAATCATCAATTCCACTCATGTATATAAATGAAGCAAGAAAGTTGTGTGAGCAGTGACTTGATATGATTATGAGCAGCAATAATTTGTGCTCAAAACGTGGTCATCAGTTAATATTACAGTATAACACACTGGATGATTTATCAAAATAAAATCTTATCTATAATGGTGTTATACTCTACCACCACAGTGCCAAAGTTTTATACTTATTTCATGCTTGTTGTTGACTAGATTTCATGGACTGATACAAAGTTTTGATTCGACCACCACTAGTTCTTTCGTCAGATAAAACATTGCTGCTCGACAAGAAAGGGGACGGATGGATTAACTTGCGTAACACAACTCTTAGTCATCTCAACAGTCTATGTCTAACCTCAATATTACTCACCCGCAGACAGACAGTTAGCGCTTTCCATCGGTATCACATTCAGTGGCCATATCCCACCACAGCTATAAACGAGGACAGGGCGTGCTAGTGCGCAGTACACAAGTGCTTTGATCGACAGTTGTCTCTACGCCAGAGATGGAGTAAGTTGGCGGATGCTATACGAGCCTTTTGTATCCCCAACTAGTAGCCTTTATAATATGTATGTGTAGCAAATATATATAACGAATAATTACCCAGTAAAAAACGACATCAATATAATAATTATTATTATAACAGGTAACTATTCAGAAATAAGTGTGTCCCAGTAGCTAAAGATTTCGACTTCCAATTTAGGGGCTCTCTTAGGATCGAATCACACTCCACATACTTTAGCCTAGTCGACTACTACTACTACACAGCAATTGTGGCAGGCACATAGTCTGGAACATGACAGTTCTTACAATTACAAACACATCCACAAATACAAAAAATGCACAAAAATTCTGGTCACCAATTTACTTTTCTGTAGTTTGTTGTATTTATCTTCTCTTTTCTTTAGTTTTTCTTCAATTGTATTATGTATCACTTTCAGATTTTCAATCTCAAACTACAATCAAATAATACACGTAAAAAGAAACAATGTGGATCAATATAATCAAATGAAATCAAGGAGAATGTGTGCAGAATAATAATAATAATAATAGGAAATTGTGAAACTAAGATTAAAATATACAACTGTAGCACAGTATAATGATGATAATGAAGTTATTAATTTTTATTTATTATTACATGGAGGATTTCATCATGAGCTGACATCAGTTAGAGAACCACTGGAAAACCTGAGAGTACTGGACAGCTGTTTCGTCAGACTAGTTTGGCACTCTTCAGCAGTACGAACCCACCGGGATTTGAAGAGTCCTCCATGCAATCAAACAAAATCCCTACAAAACCAATACTTGAAAATTATTTATTATTACTTTACATTCCCAGTAGAACATAGGACTTCAAGCTAGAGTCAGCTTGAAGTTTCTGTAGCAGTGGTGATTATCTTTTACAGGATGGAGTTGCTAGCCAGCCTCATGCCCAAACTTCCCTCTTTACCAGTCTTACTACTGGCTTAGCGAGCGAGGTAAAAAAGGGGTGAGTCGGTGGCCGGGCGGGAATCGAACCTCGGACCACCTGAGTCGTCGGCGAGCACTCTACCGCTGTGCCACCGACGCACATAATGAAGTTAGAAGTACAAATAAAAACAATATTCACAGTTAACTGGCGTGACTGGGAAAGACCACTATTTCTAGGTTGGAAAGCGGTTGAAACAAACATTTTGTGAACACAAAGATTTGGTTGTTAAAAGCTTTTATGCCGACTGTTTCAGCTATGCTTGGCAATCGAAGGCGCGTACAAACTTAGGGAATTGAGGTGGCAGCAGCTTGTATAGAATTGTAAAGACAGAATTTTCTTTATCAATCTTGTGCTGCTTATCCACCACCAGTGGGTGTGCCAATATGGAACTCTTGATTGAGTTTACGACTACTCCTTTACCTAACCATTTTGGACAATGCTCACAAGTCGAGTCGTTCTACCGACGTAACTGTCTCCATAAGTATAGTTGTATTTAGCAATGCTCGTTGATTTGGCCATTCTCGATATTTTATCCTTCACCTGCATTTGGATTGTACAACAAGTGATGAATTTAAAAACGTGGCTCGCCATCACAGTGCTCTCAGAATTGTTGTTATTAAATGGTTAGAGGCAATCGCCAAGAAGCCTTAGACACCTAGGTTTTGTGTTTGTTGATGCTTGTCAACGTGGGAGTATCTGCAGAGCTCCAATAACTCAGTGGTGGTAACATCTCTGACTGCACTGAAGCACTGGGTAACACGGGTTCGAATCTCAAAAGGGACATGAGTTCCTTTAAATTCACATATATGCCCTGTTGACTAGTGAGGACCAACATTCGTGGACCCTATGTATCAAGGCTTCCTGCCGATTGCCTATAAACCAACTAATAACAAAAATTCAGAGTGCACCGTGATAACGAGCAGCCACCTAGCATGCTGGATACATGGCAAACTTGACTGAGAGAATCCAGTTTGCACCGAACAAAGGGCTAAATACACGACACTAGTTACCAACTCGCATCCAATCAAAACAGTTGTATACTACTTGGTTGGCGTCCCATTTGATATTTTCATTTCGCTTTCTCCCCAGAAGTTTGGAACAGTTTGACAAACGAAACGTTAGGAACATTTATTTTTAATATAGAAGACATTTACATGTCTATTTTCTCACTCAGTACCCAATGCCTGTGATTGACTGAGTTCTGACGTAGAACTTTGCACAAAACTGCAGCAATTCAAATTGCACACCCCATATAACATTCGAAGGTAGAGAAAAAGAATAACCTGAAGAAAACTATAATGAGTCGAAATTTATCGGAGGCAAAATAATTACAAAGAGACATAAGAATGAATGAATTGATATACAGACCTAATTTTCTACATGTCCTTTTTACAAGTCTGTTTGTATTTCTATCACCCCACATGTGACCTTTGAAATCCTAATGGTTGTTCTGTCTGTCTGTTTTCAATATAGAACTTTGCATCGATGTGCAGCAGTTCAGGTCGCCACACTCCATGTAGCACACAAAGCAAGAGAAGAAAGTAGAAGAAATGCATAATAGAGACAGTAAACAGAGGTGAGAGACAAAGGAATGGTAATAACGAAGAACAATATAGCTTCGTTGGAAATCATAAGTCACAAGGACTGGATGCATCTGCGCCAGCCATTGACAACGATCACCGATTGTATCCAGCCCTTATTGGTTTTCACCGTCCCGAGGACCCCAACCAGGAAGTCTACACCTTCCTACGTGACTGGCTGGCTCAAACTAACTGTTGTGGATTCCATTGACTGGTGAAGCCATGTTTTGGTTTGACCACCGCCAGCTCTTTTCCAACCTGACCCTATGTCAGCTAACATTGCCCGTCGAGGAAAGCGATGGCTAGGCATACGTAACACATGTCCTAACCATCTCAATCGATGTAACTTCACAGCCTCGTCGATTGATTTCCCCTCCTTAACTTGCACTCGAACGAAGCCTAACCTCAATATTGCTCACCCTATTATACCACTTCACACACACGGGAGACAGAACGCAGGCACCTATGATCAAAGACAGCTAGCTGGTCTTTTCATGTCTTCCACTCTCAATGGCCAGGTCTCACAGCCATAAAGGAGGAAGGACTGTTGTTGTCTGTTTTAATTTGTCAATGTAGTTAGTGTTTCTCAGGGTCATTTAGAGCACAGTGGTTAGGACTCTCGCCGACCATGCACATGGTCCGGGGTTCGATCCCCTGCCGGCGCACACCCGATATCTATGGTCGGCCTGAATTTGGGCTACCGATATCCATGCTGAAAATTCCACACTTGTACTGAAAATACGGTGTGGAATCAAGCTGTAAATCAAAAAATATATATATATAAGCAAGCGCTGTCAATCACTTTCGCTGGTGGTGATCCAAGACAGTAGAAGCTCTCCATGTCAACAGTCAGTTTTCTCCTTCTTGCCTTCTTGTGTCACATATTCGGTGGTACCGTATCATGTCGTTATTGTCATTATTAGTGGTTAGAACAACCGCGAGAATAATTTCGAGCCATATCACCAATAGGTGTCAACCATTGATTGTTGGCGTCACGGTGACTTTAGCCAGGCAAACTTGAACTGCTGCAACATATCGGCGCAAAGCTCTACGTTAAAACCAGTCAGTCGTTAGTCAGTCAGAAGGAGTGAATTGGAGAAACAAACAATCTCTGGAATTATACAAATTCCAGTGCAAACGCCTATCCGACTGTTTCACAATGAATAATATTTTTTTAATAGAAATTATTCAATTAAGCCGAATCCCTTCAAATGTCAACGTTGTTAATTTCACTTTCAGACGAAAGCGCAACTCACATGAACTGGTTAGTTCTCATGATTCCACTAGTATAGATGACACAGAAGTTGAAACTGAATCGAATGCTAAATACCTTGGACTGTGTATTTCCACTGATCACCCCACCTATCCAGGTCTTCACACATCATGTTACTTTGCTAGAAAAATATTTTGCTTAATATCCTCTAAAGGGGAGGTTAATACAATCTGGTATCACTCAGTCAGTGTCTACTTTCTAAGTTTGTGTTAATTCATGCACTCTATCTATTCTTCTTTATTGCTCACCTCACTTCATCGCTTCTGATCCACTTAAGAAAGACTATGTTTGTTACACTGAGAAGGGCATTAAAAGCCGTCCGTCAGTAGAGCTAGTGGCGTGATGCTAGCTAACCCCCCAACTCGTTAATACTATTGTTGATAGATACATGGATTCCTGCAAGAAATTAGCGAATATTAATCTTGTCAAACCCTGAACATCTCCTCTCTCTCTCTCTCTTACTATACAACTCTCTCCTTGCTGCATTGCATCAGGTAGTGGAAAGTAGAAGCAAGTACAGAAGACTTTATGCTCGGACGACTAAGTAAAAAAACAAAACACTCTACAATACCTTATTAGGCAGGCACACATTTTATATGATGAGAAAAGTGTGTACGGCATGACACTACTAGGTAAAGTCCTTTTTATTCATTTTTTTTTAAATTATCATAGGGTTGTTAGTATTTTCACTTAAATTCTATACATATACTTATTGAACAATATTATCAATGTAGATAATATAAGTAGAAAACTTCGGCACTGTGGTAGAGTATAACTCACTTATGGATAAGATTTTATTTTGATAACATCACCCAGTGTGTTATACAGTAATATTAACTGATGACCAGGTTTCGACCACAAACTATTACTGCTCATAATCATATCAAGTCACTACTCACACAACTTTCTTGCTTCATTTAAATACACGAGTGGCATTGATAATAAGACATTTGAATTAAAATCAATATAGGATAATGTACATTCAGAAATAATAATATGAGTGTTATCAATCAACTAAAATCAGATGGGAAATAAGACGAGTGATTTTATAGTCAAAATAAGTAACTTGTTAGAATGTTATGATGTACGTGAATTGAAATAGAATTTTGAGATTATTTATTATCCTTCTCTGATTTGAATGGTGGTAATAATATCTTCTATATTTCTGGTATTTGCAATGAGTCATTTCTGTTTCATTTGTTGTGTGTAGACTCAATGAACCAGGCAGGATTCAGTAATCTCCACCTACCTAGATTACTTCTTAGAATTTTAACCCTCTTCCACCCTATTGTGTGGTTGTGTGTCAATGCATGCAGTGCAATCGCTGAGCTTTTTTCTAAATTACTTATCTTCTCGGGGTCAACTCATTCTTACCTTAGCTAAATTCTTATGTTCTGACAATCTGACTACCCCCATCTACTAGTTTGACCTATGTAGTTGACCTCACTCAGTCATTGCAAGGTATTTTGTAAATTATATTAATTTGTCTAAGTGGGTCAACCGACAGGGTCCTTTAGCCTACAGAGTTTGTAGGTTTGAATGCCACCACCCTAATTCCTGCTTTATTGAGAATCCTACGTAGGGTCTCAGATGTCCCCTCCTTATATGGTATAAAAGTAGATGCCTTATATTCTCTCTTATTTATTTTATCATTATTAGTTTCACCATTATGTTTTATTTCGCTTTTGACCTTTTTGATATTCCTAATGAATTTTATAGGATAGTTAGGCATTTAACACCAACGCCTCTTCTTCTATCTGTTTCATTTCATCATTTAGGTCTTTTTTATGCCACTTAGTGGTATTGCTCGGTTTGTTAGACATTTAAGTAAGCCAGCCTTTACAGACAACGAACGGATGAGATGAATTAAAGTCTAAATATCTATTAGAATGCGGCGTAGGGTTTGCTTTTTATAAACGCCGCTAATGTACAGTTTACCTTCTTCCGTTCGTTTTATTTTACAATCTAACACCATAGCTAATTCTCCTTGTTCATTTTCTGATTCAAATGTAAATTGTATTCCCTTCACTAGTGTGAGTTTATATGCATCAAGAAGCTAGAGAGAGAGAGATGTTCTGTTTCTAACACTGTGATGAAAGTGTCATCCATGTCATGTATATTAAATGAAGCAAAAAGTTGTGTAAGTAAGTAATGCCTTGATATGATTATGAGTGGCAATATAGTTTGTGCTCAAAACGTCGTCGCATCAGTTAATAATATTACTGTATAACACACTGTGTGATGTTATCAAAATAAAATCTTATCTATAATCAATGTAGACGGCCTGTGTTTAATTTTTATAGTTATTATTATTGTTCCCTTGGGTTCCTAGTGGAACATAGGGCTTCAACTACACGTCTCCACTTGCTTCTGTCTTCTGCTGTGCTTTTCACTTGCATCCATGTTAGTCCACACTGTTTCAACTCCTCTTCACACGATCTCCTCCATGTCACCCTTGCACCAACATCCCACTCGCCGCTTCACTTTCGGGTTCCACTCGAGCGATGGCCTGACGCTTGATGTCACCCAACGGCCCTCTCAGCGAGTGTCCAATCCATCTCCACTTTCTCCTGCATATTTGTTGGGCGATTAGTTCTTGTTTTGTTTGTTCCCATAGTTTCTTGTTGGTGATTCTTTCCGGCCATCTGATCTTCAGTATACAGCGAAGACAGTTGTTGATAAAGGTCTGCAACAGGCTTTTGGAAATGTTCTTTGTGACCCGCCAAGTTTCTGATCCGTGTAGAAGAACTGACTTGACATTTGTTTTGAAAATCCGAATTTTGTTGTTGATGCTGAGTGACGAAGATTTCCAGATTGGTTTCAGGTTGATGAATGTGTTTCTCGCCTTCCCGATTCTCGATTTGACATCCTCATCCGTTCCTCCTGTAGTTGAGACAATGCTCCCTGCCTAGATAAGTGAATGAAGTAACCTCTTTCAAATCCCTCCCGTTGATGGTAATTGGCGCTGTATGTTGCTGTTGTTGTTGGTTGGTTATTTTCATAACCTCCGTTTTGTCTGTGTTTAATTTTATTACCCCTATAATGCGAAGAATTAGATGCAATACTGTACCACATGCTGAAGAATCCATATTTGTACTCAAAGTACAGTTTGGAATAAAGCTACTACTATTATTATTATTATTTCTACGAATGAAAAAGAAATAACTGTATGAAACGGGGTGGATATCTTTTTACAATAAACAAGAGAACAATAATGACAAAGAAGACTATATGAAGCAACAACAATAACAACAACAAAAGGAGCAATATATTATTACCTTTAGTTCTGAATTACGAGCAGCCATATTTTCATCTATAATTTGATAGCATTCCTGTTTAGCTAATTTAAAACAATTATGCAACCGTTGATGTAAACCAGCCATAAATTCTAAACTCTTAAAAGAAACAGAAAGAATACACAAGATAATATAAACAGGTGAGAAATTTGGCGAATCACACCACACTAAAAGCATTTCTAACAGTCTGCTGTAGACCTTCATCAGCAGCTGTCTCCTTTGCTGGCTCCAATACTGAAGATCACATGGCCGACGAGAAAGAATATTAGCAATCAACAAATATTGCGGGAAAATGGATGGAAAAGACTCGGATACACATGCTGAGGAGAAAGCTGGATGACATGGCGCACCAGGTCATCATCACCCAAACAGGAAACGGAATGGGAAAAGATGAGTTGGCAATGGGTCCGAGAATGATATGGAGGAGATCGTGTGAGGAAGGAATGAGGAGAGCCTGTGAATAATCATGGGGTCGGATGAAGAGGACTGCTGAGTACAGTACGAAATGGGGACGTGCTGTTCCACTCGGGACCCAAAGGAATTATAATAATAATAATGAATCGCTGAAATTAGTTTGATAACCTCAATGAGCTAATCATAGTCAGCGGGTGATGGAGCCTTTTGCGTAAAACTGTTTTTCCTAAGACTAGGCAAAACATAAGCTTCTTGTCTGGTAAATCCTAATTATCGGATTCACGTGACATGGGTTTCTTCATATAAAGCAATATCAGGTGAACATGAAGCTTTGGTGCGATTAGTAGAAATTGGAAAACAACCCTGTTTATAAATCCACTAATAAGCACATGAGATTCAGGAACGAAGAGGAAAAATGGCTGATAGACCTGTTGGCCAACTGACTGACTGACTGGTTTCAACATAGAACCTCGTACAGAAGTGCACCCACCGGTTCGGGTTGCCATTCAAGACAAAACGAAGGGAAAGAAGAGATTCAGAAGAACTATAGTTAGCAGAAATGTGATGAAGAAAGAATAGTAACATGGAAAAACATAAAAATTTGACAGATATGAGAGATTACAACGAGTGAATACACATCTGCGCCAGCCATTGACAACAATACTTTCAGCCATATCACCAATTATCTCCACATCTATTGATTCTTATCATTTTGACGACCCCAACCAGGAAGCCAGCCACACTACACCTCCCTGCATGGCTGGCTCAAATTAAGGTGTTAAAGACTTCATGAACTGATGCCGCAATTGTTTTCGTTCGACCGCCGCTAGCTCTTTTCTAACCTCATCTTGTGTCAGCTAACATTGATCGTCGAGAAAAGCGATGGTTAAAACTGTTGTGGACATCGGTGAACATAAGGACGTAATCATCCATGATGATATTCTTACTGCTTTACTGAATAAAGCCAAGGCAAATTCAGAGAACAGACAACTAGCAAGTGTAAACACAAATCAATGACGGTTAATAGTACAACTGCGCTAAAAAGCAAATCTGAGTACCTTACTCAACCAAGGCCCTAACCTCAAACTAACCAGCTGTCGTGTTTGGTATTCTTACACCACTTTCAACACTTTTTCTTTAACGGAATATAGCGTTGTTTTCACTTGGTTCCGCTGTCCTGTCTCTGACTGGACGTTTCAAGGGTGTTGGTGTGTTCCTAGTAGGAAGACCACATGTATTATTGATATAAGTATAAATCTTGGGCACTGTGGTAGAGTATAACTCCATTATAGATAAGATTTTATTTTGATAAATCACACAGTGTTATACAGTAATATTAACTGATGCAACCACGTTTCGAGAACAAACTATTGCCACCCATAATCATATCAAGTTGGTGTGTTCGCCCCCCCCCTAGGGGATCTATCTCCCCTTATGTTTGTCATAGAACACTGTAGTGAGTGGTCCCCTAAGTCACAGACCAGCTGAGATTTATGCATTCAAAAGTATTCTATCCCCCCCCAACACACACACACACAAACTATGGAACAATCAATTAATGCTTGATAATGATGATCAAACTGCGTCAGTGGTTCAGAGGTAGGATGCTCGCCAACCCCACGCCACACCTGTTCCGGGGGATCAATCTCCAACCGACGCACTCCTAAACCTCATTAAGTCAATAGTAGTAGCTGAGCAAAGAGAAGGGGAAAGTTGAACATGAGGTTAGCAATCTCACTCCATAAACATAAAACCACTGCTACAAACAAGAACCTTAAAACTCTAGCTTGAAACAGTATACTCCACTTGGAATGTAAAGGAATAAAAATAATCAAATAGTAGCATGATAATGATAGGTAAACATTTCGGTGATGCGCTTAAGGAAGGAAGGGATTAACTCTTCAACAAATTTATTAATTAGGAAATTTCCATCAGACTTGGTGATCACAATACATGGTGACACTTTGAGACAATGTGAACATGAGGAAAAATGGGCAATAGACAATAAGACTGACTGACGGAGTTTCAACATAGAACTTTGTACAGGAGTGAAAGGGGAAGGCACGGATGATGTCAAGCCAGCCAGCCAGAATCGGAGAGGCAGGATACGCACGCCTTCATCAACCTGAAACCAGTTTGGAAATCTTCCGCTGTCATTTTCAACACAAATGTCAAGTCGGTCTTTCTATACGGGTCAGAAACTTGCACTGCTCGTCAATCACGCAAAGGATTTCCAACAGGTTGCATGCAGGCTTTCATCAACAGCTGCCTTCCCTGGCTCCATACTGAAGATCAAATGGTCAGCCAGAAAGAATTAGTAACAAGCAACTATGGCTGGTGGGGAACAAACCAACCAACAGCCGACTGCTCAACAAATATGTAGGAGAAAATGGAGATGAGTAAAGTGGACATATGCTGAGGAAACCATCGAATGACGTCGTGCACCAGGCCATCACTCAAGTGGAATCCAACTGGGAAGCGACTGGCGATTCGTTGGTGCGAGGATGACATGGAGGAGATCGTGTGGCGAGGAGGAGTTTGGGCAATAATCATAGACCCACCTGAAGAGGATGGCAGAAAACAGAACAAAGTGCAGATGTGTTGTTGTTGTTGAAGCCCTATGTTCCACTCGAAACGCAAGGGAATAGTAATAATAATAACAATAGAAAGCAAATACTTTACCTGATCAGTGTTCATTTCAGATATTCTTTTCAAGACTACATTCAATTGAGGTGAAATTGATACAGTGCCAATTCTTTCTCGATTTCTAAAGAATATATTGAAAGAAATATAAAGCTTCTTTAAAACTGGAATAAGTTTAGGCAGAAGAAAATAAGTGTGTGCTGGCAATGGCTGGCGGTTGCACTATTTATCACGAATTGCCAGAAGCTAGAAGTTATAGGACATTAGATTCCATCCTGGTGGATGAATGAATGAATGAATGAGTGGTCAACAGGTTCGCCTTTTAATCTGAAGGTCCTGGGGGTTTGATCCCTGGCAGTTGTGCGGTGAGCCATGCAGGATGCATACTGATGAAGAGTCCCAAACTAGGACAGAACACAGCTAGCCATTCAGTGCACTTCTGGTTTTATTAATATCTCTCTAACTGATATCACAGCTTGTGATCAGACTTCAGAACAGGTGGAACACGGTCAGATGTCATACTTTCCAGTAAAATCACTCATAGCATTGTTTCCATAATTCTTGAATCTTTCTGAAATGCAACTGTTGGGTAATAAACATCACAATTATTTGACTGTTTCTAACTAACAATCGGTACTAGAATGAATCATAGTGGCTGAAAGTGTTTTTTTGGAGTGGAACATAAAACTTCATTTTTTGAAGTCTTAATATCTTATAAGAGAAAAGAAGGCGTTCAGCGAAGAGACTCTTTTCGGCGAATTCATTCACTGAGCTGTACAATCGCATTTATATACAATTTTGTTTGTGTGTGTGTGTACAATAGATTTATAAAGTTTAGATAATTACGTAATATAAGTATTTTTTGGCTTGGATACAAACGTTAATTAGATAGAAAATAAAATAAAATTGATTAAGTGAATTGGATGACGTCATACAATGGCAGCTCAATTACGACTGACGTTCTCCACGAGACCAATGATTCGTATGAACGTAAAGGACAAGCTACCGCTGTCAGCCTCATCTATGTGCATCTACCAATTCACCTGCTCGTGTGGAGCCAGGTATATCGGCCGTACTCAGCGTTCACTATCCAAACGCGTCAATGAACATTTACCTTCATGGTTTTATAAAGGAGAAAACCGATGCCCCTGCAGCTCGATCCCTGAACATTTGATCGAATCTGGACACCAAGTCAAACCACAAATAAACTTCAAAGTTATCTACAGAATACAAGGCAATCTTGCTAAAAGTGTACGGATCAAACTTCTCCACATCGTAGAAGCAATGGCAATTCATCTGCTAAATCCTGAACTCTGCATACAAAAGAAATTCGTTCATTCATTAAATCTACAATGGACGTAATCTTTCTTAATTTCAGTCTTACTAATTGTATTATTTTGCCTTTTGCATTTTATTATTTCACATCTTCATTTGTATTATTCTCCACCCCACCCTTTTGTAATCTCTACCCTCATTAACAATGTTGCTAACTCAACCCACGTCCAATTTCTAGTCAACTGTGTTACGTCATCCGATTAACTTACTTAATTTTCAACTGTATTATTCTCTACCCCCAACCCTTATTTGATTTTAACCACCACTCATTAACACTGTTGTCAACCTGATCTACTCTGAATTCTACTCAATTGTATTACGTCATCCAATTCACTTAATCAATTTTATTTTATTTTCTATCTAATTAACGTTTGTTTCCAAGCCAAATAATACTTATATTACGTAATTATCTAAACTTTATAAATCTAATGTACACACACACAAACAAAATTGTATATAAATGCGATTGTACAGCTCAGTGAATGAATTCGCCGAAAAGAGTCCTTTTTGCTGAACGCCTTCTTCTCTCTTATATGACTGAATGGGGATTTTCAAGTGTCTTAATATATCTATCGTGCAGAACAGAAGTGTTCGATCTGTATTGACATGTCGGCCCCATGTACGGATACTTCAAAGATATTATCTGAGGATTTATTCTGAAGTAATTTGATGGTGGATAGTGATTAGCAATGGATAGAATCCAAAATGCGCATTTCGTCCTATTTCCGACATGTCAAGTCAAGTTGAATTAAGATAACCACTGATGCCCGGCGTCGCATAAGAGAGAGAGAAGGCTCTCATGACCCAAGTGGTCTAGTGGATATAAGGCTTTGGCGTTTGAAACGATAAGTAATGCGCGTTTCAGCCTTACCGGGGACATCATCACTCTCACTAGGAAATGCAGGTACATCCAGCTGACGAGTTCCGAATGAGGGTGAAATGCGCATCCTCGGTTTCACTGCTAGTCAGTCACCGTCTACCAAAATTAGAATTTCGACGATTAAAAGTGATTATTTGCATCATGTCAGTAAAAATTTCCAACCATTGATTATTTTCTCTTTAGCATTCTTAGAACCATATGTCAGGTGATACATACCGCACCCCACCCCCCCCCGCCCGAAATCAATGGGACAAGCAGTCACAAAATTCATACAATAGTGGTGCCATATTTTATTCTGATCACTTCAATATCATCATAATTGATCACAGCCAGCATTATTCCCAAAAGGAAAGGTATTGTAACAACAGAAGACAAGGGTCAGGCAACAGATCGATTATTAAGGAAAATCAACACATATTTATAGATTTTAATATACATTATTGTAGATTATTGTTAGTAGAAAATACAGTCTTTTGATTGGTTGTTTCTCACAGAAAGTTAACCTTGCATCTCTTTGTGGTTGTGTCAGATCATCCATATACTAACTGTATCCGCCTACGCAAAGTCTTTGTTCTTATCTTTCTCACGACCAATATTGGGGACATAAACATTGACGTCAATTACTCTGTCTACCAACTTTGGCTAGCAGCCAGCTCTCACCACAGTATTACCTAAGGCAGATACACCATATATGTCCCTATCTACCTGGATCGAAAATTCACTGCCTCATTATTCATAGACTTATATCCATCTCTCTAATTTACCCTTTAAGGTCTAAATTCAACGTTTATTTTACAATGTAGCTAGCTCCAAATGACATCGTCAACAATGGGAGTCAAGCGCATCTGCAGTGAAAAATCTGAAACATTCCCATTTTTCCAATTACTGCACAATTTATATATATATATAATACGTATATATAGAATAAGATGGTTAGGGGGTACCAAAACAAATTGTGAAGAACAACTTACAGCAGTTTCCAATAGTGGAATCGTTCCATATTATCTCTTTCAACAATATATCGTCGTACAGCTAATCTATCATATAGATTTAAGTTTTGACTTTGTTGTAATTGTAAGTACTGTTGGAAAAAAAAAGAATGATAATAACGAGAAAGTGAGGACATAAGATTTCAAATAATATATATATATATATGTTGGACACCAAGTGCGTCTTATCCTTTGTTTAGTACAGACTGAATTTTATCAGAGAAGTTTGTAATGCGGCCACCATGCAGCTAAATAGCTCCCCATTACGGTGCACTCCAAATCGATGTTAAATGGTTGGAGGCAATCGGCAGGAAGAAGTCTTGAACCTAGATTTCTCGCTTATTGACGGCATTCATCAGCAACGCATATCTGAAGTCTTCAAGGAACTCATGTCTCTTCTGAGATTCGAATCCTGGTCACCTAGTTCTTCAGTCAGAGGAGTTATCACTGAGCTAACCAGACTCGCGATTGATACCATCCCCCCCCCCCGCATAGGACTATATTGAATATATTGACTGATATCTTTTTTTGCATCTCTCTCACTTTTTTCGCCCACCACAGTATCCACGGTCGTTGTGCCACGACCTTTTATCAGCTTTCGCTCCTCATCATCATAATTGGAGCTCACTGAAATCAGTCTTCTTGCGCCTATCAGCTTGGGTGTGGTAGCAGAAATCTACAGGCTTTTACTAGCTTTCAGTTTTAGGTTATTAACAGCCTTTACAGCTGTGTCTGAAGCTAACTTTATATTGTGTTAGGCTTCCCCAAGAGGACTTTTGCTGTCTATCTCAGATACTCGTTTCTCTATTTCTTTCTTAAATATAGACTCAGCGTCCTAATCAAGTTGGGGGGAGGGCCTAACTACTTCGTTGTTAACAGTTTTTCATGTTCTTTCAATCGCAAGCACAAGTGGACGTGAACCAGGGCGTGATCGGAGTCGATGCACGTGTTCCAGAAATAGCAGCAGTCTCCTACTGACCCTCACCAACGATATCCGATCGCCATGTGGTCTCTGTTTAAGTCCACCGTTGATTTGGTGATGGAGGTCGTCAGGTTAGGCAATGTCTAAAGTTAGTGCTGACAAGGAACAGACGATTATCTGAACAGAACTGTAGAAGACGATCACCGTCGTCGGTTCATCAGCAGGGAACTCTGTACGTACCACCAACATACTTCTTAGTTTGGTATAACTTCCCTACTTTTGTATTCAATTCGCCTGCTAAAACAACTATATTTGAGCGTTTTGCCTTTTGCAGCAAACTAGGCAGTTTCTAGTAGAAATCATCCTTTAATTCATCCGAACTGTAGTCTGGTGGGACATAAGCAAAGATTAAGAAAAGACAACGACGGGTAAAGCTGTCCTTCCTTTTACTAACGGACCCGTTCAGACAGACCACACACGACTATCTAGAAGAATCCAGTCAAGAAGTGATTTTTCTGCCGTAACACTCGATGCTATCCCTACTGCACCTGCGAGTCCTTGCGGACTAATTGAAGAATCTTATGACACCCATAAAGTGAATTTCGCACACATTCATATAATTGGCTCAATTAGTGAAGTGAAAACTTCTTCGACCACTGTTAGGCACACAGAACGTCAGTCTCAAAATTCAGCTACACCTCCGTCAGTGTGCTGTCACTGCGGTTCATGGCATTTTCTCAGATCTCTCCCAATCAAGAAACATAAATACCGCAAATGTCACCGTTACCTACATAAAGAGGGCTACTGTTCACCAGAGAAAAACTCTGCTATGAGGAACAAGCATGGTTCCTTCTAGCAGAAACAAGCTCTCGGATACAGACAGTTTTCACAACGTCCAAATACGATTTTACTAGCAGGTACGTAGCATAAACATCGGTCCTACGTCCCTAACTGAGGTTACAAAAGCTATCTCTAATCTCAGACGAGACAAAGCAGCAGGACCTGATGCAGTGACAGGGAGATTTGTTTGACTATTATAGTATCTAAAGTTCTAGGCTCAATAATCATGCGTAGATTATGGTGTGATGCTCAGGAGGAACAAACATGAGAGAATCCGGCACCCTATAGACCAGGAAGAGGGTGTAATGATCATATCTTCACCCTTCGACAGATTATGAAACATAGGCATACCTACCGGCGCGCAACAACCGCTAAAGTTCTTGACAAAATACAGCAGTCTTCTGAACACCTGGAGCAGCAATCGTTGAATAATTGGCATGAGATTCCAGAGCTCCTGTCAAATGTAAGGTGATGCTACAGGACTCACTCGACTACATCGACTCACCCCCAGCCTACAGATATGCAGCAGTGAAGTGGTAGGTGGAGCATGTTGACCACTTCACTTATTTGGGGAGTTGCATCAGCCAACACCAGCGGGTTGATCACTGACGACATCTTAGCACGCGAACAGAAGGCGCGTTTGGCATATGCCAACTAAAGTCATCTCTGGCTTAGTAGACGTGATATCCGGCTGTCGACCAGAGGACGTGTGTACCGCTCAGCAGTTCACTCCATCCTCCTTTGTGGCTGCGTGTGAGTAAGACATGAATGGCCACTGAGAGTAGAAGACATGAAAAGCCCGACTACCTGTCTGTCTTTGATCATAAATGCCTGCGTTTTATTTCCCGTGTTAGGTGGAATAATAAGGTGAGTAATATTGAGGTCAGGCTTCGATCGAGTGCTAGGTAAGAAGAGAAAATCAATCGATTATGTGGTTGTGAAGTTACGTCGATTAAGACGATTAGGAAATGTGGAGCTGCGCATGTCTGCCTAACCATCGATCGATCGCCTTCCTCGACGGGAGATGTTATCTGACTGACATAGGATTGATCAGGTAGGAAAAGGGAGAGAGAGAGCTAGTGGTGATCAAACCGAACCATGACGGCGTCAGTCAATGATATCCATAACAGTTTGTTTAAGCCACTTTGGGAGATGTAGACTTCCTGGTTGGGGTCCTCGAGACAGTTAAAACCAATGGCTGGAGACAATTGGTGATATGACTGAGAATTGTTGTCAATAATGGCTGGCGCAGATGCATTCACTCTTTGTGATTTACTGTATCCAATAAGGGTCCATTGTTGTTCATCCATATTACTAATTTTTTCCTTTTCCATTTCTCTTTATTATTTCTCTCTTTACTCTTTTCTCTTGCTTTCTGTGCCACATGGAGGGAGTATGGCAGCTCGAACTGCTGCACATGTGTGCGAAGTCCTGTGTTGAAACCAGTCAGTGAGTGAACTTTATAAACTGAGGATAGCTAGTTAACGTAGAAGGACTTTTATGAAGTTCTGCTTACAACCTGACTTTGAGGAGATCTCGTGTCAAGGGTTCTGATTGACTGGAAGCTAGATGATGATGATGAACTGACTTCAGGCAGAGAACTCTTATAAACCAGGGAATAGTACTGGGACAGTTATTTCCATTCTGCTTCTCTAAATGAATTCGGTTCGTGATCAAAGTTGCAGCCAATCAAATCCCTGCAAAGCAACACTTATATATGCCACATAGTGAAGTGATAACCGATGCCATTGGCTGGCTGATGGTAAGCGCTACTCATATTTGAATAATAAGAGGCAGTCGTTAGGATTTATGGACTATCGGATTCTGTACGAATGGTTCACTGGTTTAACTAGCTTGCCTTTCAACCTGTGCACGCCGGGTTCGATCCCTGACAGGGTGGTTGTGGATGTGTACTGATGAAGAGTGCCAAACTCGGACGAAACAGCTTTCCAGTACTCCAGTACAATCAAAATATTAATATTTCACTAGAAAGGCGAGTCAACACACAAACAAAATGGGGCAAACAATATATATTCAAGAAAAAAGAGATTTTCCACTCACTTCATCCAATCCATATTTTGTTGTATCGGTTAATGAAAATGTTGTCTGATTTACACCTTGTAGGTCCCAGTTACTGTCGGAATTTTCACGCATGAAATCGAAAATACTCTTAATGTTAGAAAACTCGAATGCCTATCACAATTCAAATAGAAAATAAACAAAAGAAAAAAATATTTAAATTATGCTTTTTTATTTTAACAAGACGAGAAACACAACAATTATGTACAGTAATGTTAGTAGTATAAACCAAAGGGTTCACTACTAAAAGCTGAAAACCAAAGGAATAGAATAACATTCCATAACGCAAACATTTTCCAGGATAGACAAACGATTAAGTGGTTAGTGGTTAATGAGAATATTCCAGATTTTGCTGATGGTGAGTAATGGAGAGCGAATACACTGACTGACCGTGGGCAGTGGTGGGTAACAAAGGCGAAAGAGATGGAAAAAGCATCGGCGATAGGCAACACTAGGCAACTCTTTAGACTCATCAGGGAAACGGGTGGGAGAAGGAAAATCATAAGTGAGACTATTTCTGAGAAAAATGGCTCCTTAATTAGCTCTCAGGATAGACGCCTTGAACGCTGGAAAGAAAACTTTGAGGAACAATTTAACTTGCCTACAGCCACACTGAGCCTCCCCGCCATCCAGCACACACCCGAATAAGATATAGACACTGGCCCGCCGTCTGTAAGTGAGGTCACAAAAGCTATCTGTAATCTGAAACGAGGCAAAGCGGCAGGACCCGACCGAATAATTCCGGAGGTGTTTAAATATGGGGGTGATGTACTAGTATATAGTTTAACTAAGGTACTAGGTAACGTCTGGGAATCATAGACGGTTCCATCAGACTGGGGTAAGTCACTTATTATACCAATATTCAAGTAGGGAGACAAGTCCTCATGTGATAATCATAGGGGAATCAGCCAGACGAACATAGGCTCAGTAATCACGAACAGACTAAGCCGAACTCGGGAGGAACAAACGAGGGAAAATCAAGCGAGCTTCAGGCCAGGTAGAGGGTGCATAGATCATATCTTCACTCTCCGACAGATCCCAGAACATAGGCACACTTTTAGGCGTCCAACAATTGCCATATTCCTTGACTTGAAGGAGGCCTTCGACTCCGTGGATCGAAAGGTACTATGGCAATGTTTGACTGTGAAGGGAGTGCCAAGAAAGTACATTGCACTAATCAAGGCACTCTACTCAAACTCACGTAGCCGTGTAAGGGGTTATGGGGAATTGTCATCTGAATTGATAACAACGAGTGGTATCCGTCAGAGATGTCCACTTTCCCGTAGAGGAAGGCGATCGATCGATGGTTAGGCAGACATGCACAGCAACACATGTTCTAACCATCTTAATCGACGTAACTTCACAACCACATCATTGATTGATTTTCCCTTCTTACCTAGCACTCGATCGAAGCCTGACCTCAATATTACTCACCTTATTATTGTTTTTTTATTTTTTATTTTGATTATAGCTTGAAACTACACAGTATTTTCAGTACAAGTATGGAATTTTCAGCATGTGATATCGGTAGCCCAAATTTCGCAGGCCAGCAGAGGATCGAAACCCGGACCATGTGCATGGTCGGCGAGAGTCCTAATCGCTGTGCTACCGACACGGGAAATGAAACGCAGACACCTTTGATCAAAGACAGCTAGTCGGGCTTTTCATGTCTTCGACTTTCCAATGGTCATTCGTGTCTCACTCACACGCAGCCATAAAGAAGGACGGAGTGAACTGCTGAGCGGTTCACACTTCACTATGGAATATTTTAACACTTTCCATTGTGACTTTCAAAAAAACAATTAGCATCCCAAGAATCCCGCAGCACCGGAAATCTAATCACGGATTCTCGCATTAATGTCAACTTCAGCGGATATTGCGCTTCTCTGCGATGGTACTGTCTCATCATGCATAACATAAAATCAAATGAATATTGGTAAACTCACTCCTATATAGGCAAACTTATATCTAATATCAGCATTGCTTACTTTGTGATATTTTATACAATGGGTGATATATATCCAAGGTGATAGCCAGAATTATAACCCTGTTATTTTTCGTGACCTTGACTAGTTTTCTAGCCGGTGGTCCCAAGCCCAAAGCAAGAGGGAGGGTTAGATGTGGGGTTAGCGACCCTATCCGGGAAAATCAATCAAACCTGCTAAGGAGGCTTCAATGCACAAGGAAAATATTTCTGCATTCCGCAGAAAGGAAAAAAATTCGGATTTTCAACACAAATACTAAGTCAGTCAGTCACTTCTACTATATGGATCTGGAACTTGGCATGTCATCATGAAAAACATTGCCAGCAGGCTACTGAAAACTCTTATCAACAACTGCCTCCTCCGTTGACTCCATACTAAAGATCAAATGATCGGCCGGTCGGTCGGTCAATTTTCGACATAGAACTTTGCACATATGTGCGGCAGTTCAAGTCGCCACAATCTATGTAGCACGCAAAGCAAGAGAAGAAAGTAGAAGAAATGCATAATATAGACAGTGAACAGAGGTGTGAGACAAAGGAATAGTAATAACGGAGAACAAAACAGTTTAATTGGAAATCATAAGTCACAAGGAGTGGATGCATCTGCGCCACTGAGAACGATTTTGAGCCATGTCACCAATTGTTTCCAACCATTGGTTTTTACCATCCCGAGGACCCCAACCAGGAAGTCTACATCTTCATACGTGGCTTAGACTAACTGTTGTGGATTTCATTGACTGATGCCTGCATGTTTTCGTTTGACCGCCGCTAGCTCTTTTCCAGCCTGGCCCTATATCAGCTAACATTGCCTGTTGTCGAGGAAGGCGATGACTAGGCATACGTAGCACATGTCCTAACCATCTCAGTCAATGTAATTTCACAGTTTCGTCGATTGATTTCCCCGCCTTACCTATCACTCGACCGAAGCCTAACCTCAATATTGCTCACCTTATTATACCACTTCACGCGGGAGATAGAACGCAGACACCTATGATCGAAGAGAGCTAATCTTTTCATGTCTTCTGCTCTCAATGGCCAGGTCTCACAGCCATAAAGGAGGACGGAGCGGCCAAATGATCGTCCAGAAATAATTCGCTAAAAAGAAACTATCGCTCAACAAATATGTAGAAGAAAATGGAGATAGGTTGGAACTACGCTGAGAAAACCGACGAATGATATCGTTTGAGTGGAAACCGGATAGGAAACGTCAAGTTGGACGTCGGAGGCTGACATGGAAGAGATCGTGAGAAGGTAAGATCAGAGATTATGGGTAATCGTCACGTCGGGTCAAGAGGACTGTAGAAAATAGAACAAAGTGAAGACGTGCTACTGAGGCCCTACGTTCCACTCGGAACCCAAGGGGACAATAATAATAAATAATATTCCTCGCTTTTAACAACAATACTTCACAATTGTATTTCACAACAGAGTGAATCAATGCACGGTACCCGTGTCAATATCTGAATAAACAGTCTCTATGCGTTGATGAAACTTTCTCAACACGCGAAATGGTCAACCCTTAAAGTTGGAGTAGATGGTGACCAATCATAAAATACACTTAGTGTATTCACCAAAGATAGAAACTTCACACGATTACATTTGCAACAGTTTCAACTATACTATGTGCGGTATCTAGTATATATATATATACATTACTACAGCATAAACACTTGGTATATTATCGGTACCAAGATGCCCTAAACAAAATCTCAGTCTGTACGATGGCTGGGATACTTGCTGGAACGCTTAGACCAAAGTAGGTGGTTGTCTTAAGGGGCCACCTGTCAAGCCTTTGGCTTGAAGCTGAAGCCGCCACCGAGGTCAATAACATCACATTTTACACATTGGCTTAAAAAATATATACATCAAACTCCAATTCTTCACAATTGATGAATACAACATATTAATGAATAATACTTACTAACAATAAATAAAGGTTACACTAATTTCTGAATAGATTCAGAGCTGAAACGTTCTACTTCAAGTCTATTGATGAAGCGCCCTACAATCGGATAACTAAAGCTTGGAGAATAATATTCCATCCGACAATCTTCATTGGAATCATGAAACTTCTTTATGACTTCAAAGATTTCACAGCAATCTTCAGTGGTTTTACACATAGACACAGAGGTATTTTAAGAGCCCGATTTTGTAGTGATTAAGCATGCTGCTATTGCGTCGGTGGCATAGCGGTTAGGACGCTCGCCGATCATGCACATGGTCCGGAGTTCGAACCCCGGCCACAGACGCACTCCTTTACCTCGCTAAGCCAGAAATAATGCTGGTGAGGAGGAAAGGTGGTTGGGCATGAGGCTAGCAACTCCATCCTGTAAAATAAACACTGCTACAGAAACTTTAAGCCACTAGCTTGAAGCCCTATGTTCCACTGGGGAACGTGAAGGAAAAGAAAAAAAACATGCTGCTATAGTAAAAGTTACTGGAATCTCACAATTGTTAATTATCTAAACTGTAAATATATCAGCTCTTAGTGAAGTAAAATAGCACCCAGCATCAATGTGCGGAGATGGTTCAGATATATTAGGTGAGTGAGCTAACTGATTTTCACAAGACTTTTCCCCCTAAAGTCCACTTAGTCTACGTATAGCCAAAGGAAGCACTAGCATCCTAGACAAAATAATTATAAAATTGACTCGCCCATATAGTGATCGATTGGAATGACTTGGGACTTAAACTAATTAATAACCCACTTAGTCCCAAACAATCCCCACTGTTCGGGACTCTTCATCAGTCCGCACCCACCACCAGAGTTCGAACCCCGGACCTTCCGGTTACGAGGCGAGCTCGTAGATCATTCGACCACTGGCATCCGACCCCCTGGTCTATGAATTCCAACTTCTGCCACCTTTGTGATGATTAATCTTATGCTCATTAGCGACAGACCCTACACAGGAAGTTACTTGGGCTTCTAGCAGGGTCCACCAAATCATACAAGGAGTTACTCGTCTATGACACTGGCTGGCGGTTGCGCCATATATATATATATATATCATGAATCGGCAGGAGTTGGGATTCACGGGCCAATGGGTCGGGTCCCAGTGGCTGAGAATGGTCTACGAGCTCGCCTTGTAACCTGAAGGTCCTCGGTTTGAACCCTGTGTCACTGTGAAGAGTCCCACATTAGGACGAAACAGCCAGCAAGTAGTTCCTGTTGGTTTTCCAACGGTTCTCTAACTGATGTCAGTCAGTCGACAGATTAGTGCTGGTAAAGTAGCAAGTAATTATTTTTTTTTTAAAGTTGTAGGAGGCCATCATCAGTCTTGTTAGTCAGTAGCATCGATAAGGGAATTCATAAATTTCTTTTCAATAATAAAGGAATGCATAGAAAAATAACCATACAAACGAAAAACTCACAGCAACATCAACAACAGGTTCAAGTTGACACTTTGCTAACTGCTTGTGAAACTGATAGTGTAGCCTTCTACTGTTGGAGATAAGTTTTTCCGGCCTGTATTCTTCATTATCTCTTAGATTTCTGAAAGGATTGACCTTCTTTACAAGGGATAACATAACTCCACCATTTCTATCACCAATTCGACTTTCTCTTTCATTGATATCAGCTTGACGTAATGGTGTATTAATCAAACTGATAAATGTGACTTTCTCAGGATTAGATGATTGCGGTGTTTTCAGCATAGTCGATTGTAGATTATTAAAACGTCGCCTTTTTGAATTTAGTAGTGAAGGCGTCAAATCCAAGTTGACAAGAGGTATTTCTAATACTGTAGTTATTCTACGTGATGATAATGGTTTCACTACATCAGTCAGTACTGCATCAGCGAGCGGTGATAATACATGAGGTGTATGCATTTTCTTCTGTTTTGTCTCTGTGTCTCCTCTATTTGCCACAGGTGTAATATTTGAGAGTTTATCCTGTGGTGAATGAGTAGTAGTAGTAGTATCATGTTTTTCGGGTAAATTACAAACAATCTCGTCACTGCTTACAACTACAGACATATCATCGACATCAGTGGTTGGCAAAGCAGAGACACCGTCATTTTGAACCTCCATGTCTGATGCATCACATTTAGGTAAAGCATCATTAGTTTTGATATCTAATGTATTTTCAACAATCATCATTTCATCCTCTGGATTACAGTCTGGCGATAACTTCATGCTAACTTGACTGCCTTCTTCATCATTGCCGCCTTCTTCAATCTCCATAGTTACCATCTGTTGTTGACCATCCTCACTACGACTATTAGTTGATAATCGATCAACTATGTGACAAGAAGAAGTATACGTGACTGCTTCCATTGAAACATCATGAATCGATGTAACACCTCCAACAGTGTTGTCATCCTTACGAGTATTACCTGTTGTTGTCTCGAAATCATCCTCCATAGATATATCTGAAATAATACGATTTCTGAAAGGAATAAAGAGATTTTTTTAAAAACACAATCACAACATAACTACATAAATCTAATTGGATGGGAAAGTTCCAGAATAATTTCCGGTTAAGAGTCAAATTAATAAAAATTACAATTAGGAATTAGAATACCACGGATAAATCAAACAAAGTAGCATAATAACTAAGAAGATTGACATTGTGCAATTGGGGAAGGAAGTTGCTCTTGTGGAGCTGAGTATATCGGCCGTACCATGCGCGAACTTGAAAAACGCGCTCGCGAACACTACTCAGCCTGGCTAGTAAAAGCAGACCGAAAACCTGTATACAGTTCAGTGACAGGACATCTGGTTAACTCAGGACATTCAGCGCCTTTCGAAAAATCCTTCAAAGTAATATACAAGATTCAATCAAACCTATCAAAGGGAGTCAAATCAAGACATCTGGGTATAGCTGAGGCACTAGCTATCCAAAAACTCAAACCCACACTTTGTATCCAAAAGAAATACGTCCAACCCCTGTCCCTACTATGGCCATCATAAACACGTAAATTTTTTTAGTAATGATCATCCCATCGCCTTTCTTATCTAAACTTTCTGTTTATCCATGTTATTTTAAGTTTTTCTTAATCCCTGTCTACATTACCATATTTTCATATCCACACTTCCTGTTTATTTTGTCATTTTACTATTTCTACATATTTAATCCCTGATTGCATAAACAATTATTCATCACATTAGTTTTTTATCCAAACATCCTGTCTATTTTGTTATTTCTACGCTTCTAACCCCCAATTGCACAATGTCAATCTTCTTAGTTATTATACTACTTTGTTTGAGTTTTATCCGTCCCCCTGTTTATTATGGTATTCTAATTCCTAATTGTAATTTTTATTAATTTGACCCTTAACCGGAAATTATTCTGGAGCTTTCCCATCCATTTGATATAAATACACGAATGTACAGCCTAGATGATAAATCCAATTAATGATGTATAAAACCACTACGTTTATCGAGTAGTAGACTAGCCCTCTATAATTGACTTTCACGGGTATCGCCTGAAGATTTACTGTCAAAGCCAACAATATTGGATATGCAGGGAAGATTGTGCATCTGCTTATATTCAATTTCTGTTTAGCGTGTGTTGTTATACAACTCGAACTCATGCAGTCAGCCATGCAGTGAGAGCCTACGAAGAGTTGTCATCTGGCAACTGTGATGACAACCAGTGGTGTCCGTCAACGATGGCCAACATTGTCCCAGAGTCTTCTGAACACTTTGACCATAGATTTTCGAATGTTTCGCATTCAATTCTAGAGTTCGTGTTAAATGTAAGATGATGCTACAGGCATATGCCAAATGAAGCCATCTCAAGCGTAGAACGCTGTCGATCGAAGGACGGATGTACTGATCAGCAGTTCATTCCTTACTGCTTTATGGCTGTGAGTGAGACATGAATGACTATTAGAAGTCAAAGACATGAAAAGCCCGAGTACAGGTCTTTGATCATAAATGCCTGCGTGTTAGGTGGAATAATAAGGTGAGCAATATTGAGGTTAGGCTTCAATCGAGTGCTAGATAAGAAGGGAAAATCAATCGGTGATATGGTTGTGAAGTTACGTCGATTAAGACGATTAGAATGTGTTGCCGCACATGTCTGTCTAACCATCGACCGATCGCCTTCATCGACAGGCGATGTTAGCTGACTGACATAGTATTGATCAGGTAGGAAAAGGGAGAGAGAGCTAGTGGTTATAAAACCAAACTATGTCAGCGTCAGTCAATGAAATCCACGAGAGTTCGTTTAAGCCATGTCGGGAGATGTAGAGTTACTGGTTGGAGTCCTCGAGACAGTAAAAACCAATGGCTGGAAACAATCGATGATATGTTGAAACCAGTCAGTCAGTCATTCAACAGCTATATGACAATGTCACGTGCCAAGTGATCCACAACGGATAACTCACAGAAGCCACTGAAGTGAAGACAGGAGTAGGATATGGCCGCTTGTTATCACCAATGATATTCCTATCTCTAGTGGACTGGATTATGCGGCACACTATGTGTGTGGGGGGGGGGGAGCGAGATGACAGAAATACGCCGAATCGATAAGAAAACTCTAAAATATCTGGATTTCGAGGACGATCTGTGTCTGTCACACAAACTCGAAAACTTACAGGTCAAAGCTAACAAGTTCGTAGAAGAGATAGGAAGCAAGGACAGAAGTTCAAGTGAACATAGAGAAAACGGAGGTGATGAAGATAACCAACCAGCAACTATAAGCACCAATCACTATCATCAAAAGGAAGAAATTTAAAAGAGGTCACTTCCTTCTAAGAAGCATCGTTTCAACTACAGGCGACAGCACAGATGAGGATGTCAAAAGCAGAATGCGAAAAATAAGACAGACCTTCATCCTTCTGAAATCTGTTTGAAAATCTTCTCCACTCAGTTTAAAGAACAAGATTCGGGTTTTCAACACCAATGCTAAGTCAGTCACTTCTATATGGATCTGAAACTTGGCGCGTACATCACGAAAAGCTAATGCAGACTTTTATCAGCAGCTGCCTCTTTCTCTGACTCCATACTGAAGATAAAATGACCGTACAGAAAGAATTAGCAACAAGAAACTTTGGGGACGAACCAACCAAGAACCTATCACTCACTAAATATGTAGAAAATGGACATAGATTGGGTAAACTCTGAGGAGACCATCGAATAACATCGTGAGCAATGCAGGCCTCCGCTCGAGTAGAACGCTCCGTCCTCCTCTATGACTGTGAGACCTGGCCATTGAGAGTGGAAGACATGAAAAGCCCGACTAGCTGTCTTTGATCATAGGTGTCCACGTCCTATCTCCCGTGTGAAATGGTATAATAGGGTGAGCAATATTGAGGTTAGGCGTCGAGTGCTAAGTAAGGAGGGGAAATCAATAGACGAGTTACGATTAAGATGGCGAGGACATGTGTTACGCATGCCTAGTCATCGCCTTCCTCGGCAGGAAATCTTAGCTGACATTGGGTCAACTTGGAAAAGAGCCAGTGATGGTCAAACTAAAACATGGCTTCATCAGTCAATGAAATCCACAACAGTTAGTTTAAGCCAGCCAATCACGTAGGAAGGTGTAGACTTCCTGGCTGGGGTCCTCGGGATGGTAAGAACCGATGACGGATGGAGACAATCGGTGATATGGCTCAAAATCGTCCTCAATGGCTGACACAGATGCATCCACTCCTTGTGACTTATAATTTCCAATAAAACTATATTGTTATTCGATATTACTATTCCTTTTGCCTCATATCCCTGTCTACTGCCTCTATTTTGCGTTTCTTTTTACTTTCTTCTCTGGCTTTGTGTGCTGATTGAAGTGTGGCGACTCGAACTGCTGCACATCGGTGCAAAGTTCTATGTTGAAACCAGTCAGTTAGTCAGGAACGCGAATGTGAAACAACCAACTGGGCATCACTTCGAGGGTTACATAGAGGTCGTATGTGCAATAGTGGGTCCAACTAAAGGGGAATATACAGAATAGGACAAAATGGGGGTGTTCTGTTGAAGCCGTATGTTCCACTTAGATCGCAAGCTGCTGCTGCTGCTGGATTCAGCAGCAAGGGAACAATAATAACAACCAGTGGACAAAAACAATAGTCTCGTATTTGCTAGAAATAATTACTAGACTCTCCACTTACTCCCTAAACTATCCCTACCTAGCTACTTATAAAGTGAAAAGTTCTTCGCAGCTGCACTTAATTTGTTGGTTACTGGGAGTCTGATGCCTTTAAAAATACCATAAGTCAAACAGAATCAACATCGAAAGAATGCTAACTCAATCACTCCAACTTATTATATATACACGCACAGTATTAATACACAATACCTACATATTCGATCAGTCTGAACCATATTCAAATACAGTAATTCATATCCTGTGCTTGCATACAGCGCTGTACAGTACGCTAAATGCCGTTAAAGTATGATAGAATTGTACAAACAAAAGCCATTAGTTAACATAGGTGATTCATAAGACAAACTACACCTTACTTGACACAGATTTCTGATTCCCCTTCACTGTCCTGATTCCAAACATGTATGTACTGAGAAAATGAAACTCTTCTATTTAAATTTTTAGTTGATAAAGTAGTCTCCTAACCACACAAAAAAAACAAAAGCATTCAATTTATATTATTCAGAAGAAAAAGTAACCTACCGCTGCACTATCATTAACTGGATCGAATGGCATCTTCAAAGACTGCAAGTAAAACGCTATCATTAAAATGTAAGTTATACATACCGACCTCCGCATTTTTTGGTGAATTGCGGTGAATTGGATCCAGGAGAGACAATCTAGGGAAATAATTTGCTTGAAAATAAAATAGCAATCTTTTTTATTCGAAACTGAGACGTTAACAGTCATAAATCAATACATGATTCCATGAAACCAAAGTCAAAAAGAGAAGAATGTAGTTCAGTGCCGAAGAAAATAATGTACATGAATCTGGACTTCATAAAAGACTTAACGCGAAGTATGCCACAGAGGAGAATCTCTAATTCCGTACAGATATTTCCTGTAGCAATGCTAAAAGTGATACTCTCTATTCTTCCCCACTACTTTAAGGTGATTTGAAGAACAAACTCCCGCGTAAGACCACTCCAATGTAGTAATTCATCTGCTCCTGTGAAGATAAACACATAGGTCGTCCTTTCAAGACGTTGAAATGCAGCATGGCTAAGAAAAGGCGGTAATGGATCAATCAGAAGGGATATAATTTAACACCTCATCAGCACCTGTCATAGCATTCCAACTGACTCATCGTTCAGTCATTCACAAAGTGAACAAAGACCCACCAAAGACGATGTGTTCCCAACCTTTTTGTACTGCAGAAGTCCTCGTCATATATGCTGAGCTGTGCTCAGAAAGAAACTAGTTCAACCTCTACATTTACCATGGATATAGTACTGTTTGGCTTCTTAGTCATTGTTTTTTATTTCCTTCATTTCTTTTATCCTTAGTTATAAAAATTATTGCAATCCGTTTCTATGCACATCCCGTTCAAATCTATCTTCGTTGAAAACTGTTTTACGCATTACGCAACAATTTTTTGATCCTGGGTAGTTTTGTTTCCGTGCTCTATATTCACACCGAACTTTCATACCTCTTTTAGGCTCCCTGTCACTATGATGAAGTAAATAATAATTGTAACTGTGTGAATTTGTATATAAAAATGCGATTCTACAGCTTCTGAAGATGAAATTGTCGAAAAGATATCTTCGCTGAACTTCTTTTCTCTCTAAAGTTCCATTAAACGATGGTCTTTACAAAAACTTTTATTTTAAGGGATATACTCCTTGGCGTAAATTATTCAACACTACTTAAACTTTTTATCGTTGCCTTCTGATGCCTGTTACTAAAAGTTTTTTTGTTCATAGATGTTATTTTAATCACTCTAAAAGTGGCTATAAAAGAATAATTTTCAAGCCCACAAAATGGCCAGGAAAAAGGTTTTTACAACACAAAATACTGCCACGATTTTACTCTACCCATGCACTGAGGATTTGAATGCATCAGTTACAAAAACCAAACCTCCAAACGACGCACTACCATGACAACCACGCATAGTCCCTTTTACGTCGCAATTATACAACTGATAACCACAAGTACAACTCTGCACCTACAATCATGTGACCATCAATATTGATCGGGATCATTATTAAATACTGAAATGCCTCTGAGATTTCTACCAACACTTATATCTATAATTCCGCTATTATTTTATCCTTTTTCGTTCCCAGTGGAACATAGGGCTTCATCTAGGCATCTAATAGTGACTATAAGTGTAATCTAGATTGATCGACTGTCCAAGATAGAACTTCGCAAAAATTGAGGCACTTTCAGTGACCATAGTTCACACAACACACTGAGGTAGAGAAAAATTCAAAGGAGTTACAATAACCACATAGATGTGCAAGAAAGTATAAGTACATGGAGCATAATGAGAATTCGATGGATTTAGCAGTTCGCATAGAGTGAATACATTTAAGCGATCCAGAAGGATTTCGACAGTCACAAAACACTGACTGTTAGCTTCTTACACACATGTAGATCAAACCAACAGTCACATCTTCATGGACTAGTGCCAGGTTTTGGTTTGACAACCCTTAACTGTCTTCCAACCTAATCCTATGTCATCTAACATCGCTCAATGAACTGCCGCACATATGTGCAAAGTTCTATGTCGAAAACAGACAGACAATGAGGAAAGTGACGGATTGGCATGTGTGATGCATACCCTAGTCATCTCAATTAACATAACTTCGCAGTCTCACCCATTAACTTTCCCTTCTTACCTAACACTGCTAAACATCAATCTCACTTACTATTTCATACCAACATAGGAGATATAAAGCAAATACCATGGGTCAGACAACTAACCTATTCAAATCTTTCAATTTCAACTACCACGTCTCATCCATTAAGGGCGAGGCCAAATGTTGCACAGAACATACCCCTGAAAGATACTCGGATATCACGTCTACTCCTGAAATGACGTGAGTCGACAAATGGAAAGTAAGCTATTTGTATCCGCGCCGAAATTTCTCAGCCATTACTTTATTAAGGATGATGCTACTTCCCAAATTAGTGAGGTTGTCACTACGTCCAACTATTTCACTACCTGTCTTTAAGATAGAAGTCTGTGCAGTATAACCCTGCATTATGTGATGTCTGACCGGGGTGAGTCGTATGCCAACCATAATCAATAATCTGTTTAGCGTGACTACAGAAAACTACAGAACTTCATTCTCACGCTAGGTACAAAGTGACAATTTATCCCTTATTTCTCCACCGAAAAAAATGATAAACCTGCGCAGAACGAAGGTGGTTAAGCTGTTGTAGTGTTTCGAGACAACTACGGAAGTAAAATTCAGGCAGTTGCCTCGAGAATACAGATAAATGTTTACACTACCGCTATAATTGCAACTTGAATAACAAATATCACAAATATTACAATCTGTCAGTAGTCAGTGCATGTTAGAACTATTTGACAGATAGCAATAAGAACAGCTACACAAGATATTTCACTTAAAACTCAAATATTAGGTCTAGGATCACTTTTCCAAATACATCCGAACCAAAAGATAACCTCAGTAGCAACTATACCAAAGACAGGATAAACTAGCCTTCAATGGAAAAAACAAAAGTAACAACAAAAGAAGGGGAAATCTAACTCACCACCAAACAATCTCGAAGTTCAAATGAGCGGGAAGTACGTAGGAGCCGCCCAATCACAATAGTCTCCCTCCCAGTATAGTAAAATACATAAATTACCTGAAGAACTAATACTTTCATTTACAGGCGCACTTTCGCAAGTTGCAAGCATCAGTAGACATACATTTATTTCCTTTCAGATTACGATGCAGATGGTTGCTGAAAACTGGAATATTGTTGAGTAGGCAGCTTGACTAGTCTCCTGTAATATTTCTACTTATTCTTAAAAGACTGTCTTTAGATTAGTCCTAGGACTATAGCAGGAAGAATTATCCGAAAATCCCTAGTGAGCAATATATTTACTGTATTGATTTTTCTTTGAGTGTTTGAAGTTATTTATCGCCCCTGACTTGTGCTTCACTTCGCTACTGAGTAATGCTGGGCCGCTGACAGGAGGGTGGTTAACTTGAATATTAGTGGAACGTCAGGCTTCAAGTCACGACGTTTCAGTAACTATGGTGTTGTCCTAAGGTGGTGTGGTTTCTAGCCTCACCCCAAATGTCAACTAATTTCCTATTGCTGTTGCTATCAAACGAGGTGAGGTTTGGGAGTGTATGTACTAGAATTCGGACCCACGCCCCCCGTATGGCTGGTGAGTATTCTACCTCTGAACAACTGACGTGCCAGAACAATACGGTAACGCCCGGTATTTTCAGCCGGCAACTCATACAAGTACCGACCGGGACCAACTTTGCTTAACTTTTGTATTTATTTTCAACCCTGTACAGCCACCGGCAGTCTGACAGTACTAGACAACACTTCTTTTTAGCTGATTAATTAAATGTATTGGGTGTTGCTGTTACAAAGAGAGACGGGTAAAGCACCTTCAACACGCAGAAAAGCCTTGTATTTACAACTTTTATATAGACACGAATGCAGCTTGTTACGCAACTTGTTAGGTATTTTGCTTCATACATTGTCTCAGTTTATTATAAAACTCGTTTCAGAGCCTGGCAATCCCTTCCCAGGATTACTACATCATTGCTTATTTTTTATTGTCAGCTTTATAAATATATATCAAGTGCAGCTGAACTTCTATGTATTTTTTTCGCTTGAATAAACCAGCCCGTATTAGACAATAAGATGCCTGATTACGAAGTTATACTGGCACAAAATTTATTCACTAGGATTATGTGTACCACTACTATTTCCAAATAGTTCGTGCGAAGCTACCTTTACCGCCATAACGCAACAGAATTCAGCAAGCATACAAGCTGTCATTGGCAAAGTAGTGTAGAAATAGTGTGACGGATAAATATATTTATTTACCTACTCATTCACTGAACAGTTTTATTTCAGCTTATGACATCTAACAAGTAATCAGCGGAAAATGCAAAAAATCCTAACTTTGTGCTTGAACCACTGACAGTGACAACTGTCTTATGTAGCCAACTCCTCTAGCCATATTACTACATCAATAGTGTTTAGTGATGCAAATGTCTTAGAAACTGCTCTTAAGATAAACGTTGAACACACTAGTAAAACTCTACTGATTTGAATAATAATAAAGAATAAGTGGAATAATCGGTTCACTTCCCATACTTCTTCATACATTAAGTACCATTACCGAGTTTGTATCAGTTCCTATATGTCTTTGAGGATTTTCGCTGGTGATTAGCCCGATCTCACGTGATCCTCCGAACTTCATAGGCTGCAGCTGAACACTGGAAGGTTGCCAGGAGCTAGACTACAACACTTTGACATCTGAAAACGTAAGAATTCTTTATTAAGACCGAAGTAGTGTACTTTAAACTGGTTGAACTACACTATTTTGAATATCTACATCCTATGAACGAGCAATCCGTGACTTTCATAGCTCCTGTTGGATTCAGAAAACCGGACAAAGTGTCCATGATCCAGGATTTCAGCATAGATATTCGTTTACGTGTATAATTTTGAATTCTGAAGAAATTGTTGGGTTTGCTTTTGCCACTCTCATGTTGCACACAATGCCCCTACAAATGGTTTTGCTTATTCTCTTTCAGACCACAGAATATATTCGCAAGTCCAAATTACGCAATATATTACGGAATATCCGAGGCTGCTAGGATGCTGGAATTTCAATCAATCAGAGTGCTTAGACTCTTCCGCATTTCTTGTTTTATTCGTGTAATTATATCACAAGACCACCACACGAACACGTGCACATATTTCGTAAGCTCCCAACTGAACGCCATGAAGTTCTTGAAAAAAATGAAGAGGCCTAGACAATTGGTTCTCTTTTCATATGCAACAATGCTACGTCACGTGACATACTTCAATTTATTTCTTTGCGCGTAATTCCTGTGTAAAGAGGGGATATTTTGGAAGATATTTGCACAGTATATTCACATATTGTCTGAAATGGAGCTATGTTATCTGCGAGTAAATTTAGCTAAGAACACATCTTGACATTTTATTATTGTGTTTACCAGTTGTTTATTTCCTGATGTTTTGTGTGGGCAGTGTAGCAGTATTCAGGGCAAGATGAAATTGTTCACTACTTAACTAGCGTCTGCCTTCCCTTTCTGTGTTATAGGAGCCCCCAGAGACAAGTGAGTAGACACCTGTTCGCCGGTAGAAGCTAGGTAAAACCCTAATTCATCGACTTAGTGTTGGGTAGCCCGTTGGTGTCAGTTCCTGAAATAGTTTCTTTCTCCACTTGACCAAGTTTGGCCTGTTGTCTCCATTGACTTCTAATCTCCGGGTGGAAAGGTAAACTTGAAATAAGTACAAAACTTGGGCACTGTGGTAAAGTGTAACTCCATTATTGATAAGATTTTATTTTGATAAATCACACAATGTTACACAGTAATATTAACTGATGACGTTTCGAGCACAAATTATTGCTCATAATCATATCAAGTTACTCACACAACTTTTTCCTTCATTTATATATAATATATATTTCACATAAATTAAACATTTACATGATTAACATACCGTTTGTACAGGCATGATCATATTCGACAAGTACGATTTGAAATGGAACACCGTTTTTTGACATCAAAAATTGGAAAAATGGAAAAAAACCTCTAGAAACTTTGTTAGAATAGATTACAATATACTGGTTCAAGTCTAATTTATAGTCTATAATATACTTATAGTCAGTTAAATTCATGCGGGAATTCCGAAATGTTGCGTTAATGGAAGGTAAGAAGAGAGGTGATTAACATGTGCTAGAGTACGACATACAGGATACAGGCCTTGTGATCATTATCATTTTGTCAATTAATAAGGGTTCAAATATTTTAAAAAAAACAACTCCATAGTAGAGGGTAAGTACAGCATTATTTTGGTAATAACAGATACAAGGGACCAGCTTTGCGATGACAAACAGTACTCAGAATGGAATTTCTTCCGTTGTTCGTTGTGTGTGCCAACAATATTCTGAATAACTCTCAAGTAATAAAAACGTAGAAAGCAGCACTACTGTTCATTTGCAGTGCATCAATGAAATACCTTCGAGAAGAGAAGGAAGAAGAAAACAGAAAGAGAGGTGCAGAGGCAGCCAGCAAATAATAATAATTTAAGCAAACAATATGCGATAAACGCAGGGTTTATTCCCCTATTTTGTCACTAATAATTTAGAGTCATTGAGTTTTATAGTGTTACTAACAGTTAGTTCAAGTTTGTGGTAGTAAACAACAACAAAAAAATATAGAATAACAAATTTTTTTTAAAAAACAAGGGCAAAACGAATAATGATTTTTAAACCTATATAGGATAATGGGAATAGAAAGTGGAGAAGCTAAATCCAAACGCCAAATTACATAAAATATATAGAAGTGAAGAAAAACAAAAAGAGTGATGATACTTATTTATGCTGATGTTCTGATTTATACAGTTAGATGTCCTCCTGAAGTAGAGAAATCGTACCATGAGGTTGTTTTCAACGAGTTTATACACAAGCTTTGTTATACAGGCAGCTATTATTTTATTTTATTATTATTTTTTTTGAAGTCATTCACACTCAGGAACCTTAGCAATAGAGCGCACTCCCACAGATAAGGGTGGTTCTCTTAAGTCCCCACCATCATATCCACTGAATAGCGGTCACCACCCTCCCACCTTTTAATCTGCTAGGCCCTGGCGAAATGCTCCTCTTGTTTTTAGAAGAATTTTTTATTGCTAAGTGTCATATAGGCAGTTTTCGCCTTCACCAGCTTACTCAACGAAACTCATGGTATGAACGACTACTTTCAGTCAGCCACTTTGTGTGCATCGTCCCTAACAGCATTTTAAAAACATATATATACAATAAAAAAGTAAGGAAATCAGAGATTTGCAGTCTACCTTCTAGATTTTAGTTATAAACATATGAAACGAAGGGGCAATATGAAATGGTATGAGAAGAGAAAAATACATAAAGGTACACAGTTATGTTTATATATGCATAAAAAGAGGCAGTAGTTAATTATAATAGATGGTTCAGAAGAATGAAGGATTAATAATAACAGAACCGTAAAATAAAAATCCGCTAATATTTAAAACTCACAGTGAAGTTAAGCTGATTTTTTAGGCAATCCGGCATAGGGCTGGAATTTGCGTAGACGTAGGTGGTATTTACTCACAACATTAGCTAGTCACCAGAGGAGATTTTAGTCCCAGCTATATCCAGGTTGTTTACTACTCAACCTTGAGGTAGAACTTCCACCACACTGAACCGCCCAAAATACAGTTTTGCCAGGGATATTCACCATAATATTTGACTAATTTGACAGTCAGTAGCTGGGATTAAATGGAGTTGAATCACTGAAAAGGTATGACATAAGGTGTGAGGGTAGTTCATGTAGATTCAGTGCAGCTTTCGTGGTATATCAGGCTGAGTATTCCACTGCAGGTTTGTATGAAAGGATTGTGAATATTTTGTGATGGTGCTTGCTAGACAAACAATTGAATCAACTAAAAAAAGGAACTGAGAACAGCATGAGTGCACCAGGCATCATCCTAGATGAAACCAACAGTCAGTACAACAGAATATATCATGTGGTCAGCATTAGCGGTAAACATTACAATGGCACCAGCAT